GGACTGGAGCTCGAAATTCTGGGCGTGAGACAGCGGCTGGGGCACGTGGCTCTATTTTGTGAGCTTGTCGGGTAGTACCCTGGCTTACTTTCCTTGTCTCGGCATATTCGTCGGCCAGCCGAGCCGCCTCCTTTAAATTGGCGGGGCGCCGATCTCGTACCCAGTCTTGTATGTCCGCCGCCAAATCTTGGAAGAAATGTTCCATTAAGAACAACTGTAACACCTCCTCACCCGTGTGGGCTTTGCACCCTTGGACCCAGTGAGATGCTACTCTCTGTAGTCGGTTTGCCCATTCCATGTGGGAGTCCACAGCTTTCTTTTTGGACTCCCGAAAGCGACGACGATAGGCTTCTGGGGTTACCGCATACCTGGTGAGCAGTGCCTCTTTTACTTTTTGGTACTGCGTGATTTCTTCTGTAGTGAGTGCTCGGAAAGCCTCATTAGCTTTCCCTGACAGTTTTCCCGCCAGGATATTGCTCTGGCGGTATGTGATGTAGTGAGCACTGTCTTTCAAAGTCAGCCAAATATCCATCAATTTCCTCGTCATTTTCTACAAAGGCTTTAAATGCAGTAAAGGGAATTTTCGTTACCGTAGTAGTGGGTAGCGGGGTAGGAACTGTCTGGGTAGTGAGCTGTCGGGCTCTTACCAGTTCCGTTTCTTGTTCCCTCTTGGTTTGTATTTCTTCCCTTGCTTCCCGGAACAGTTGGGTTATTAGTTCTGTAGATGTGACTGGATACAAAGCTAATCTCCGCTGCACAATTGCAGTAATCACATCGTCCTCACTGATGGGTGCCATGGGTTCAGTTACCTCCATGGACCTGTCCATCTCGTCCAGCTCCAGCAGGTCAGCTATCAGCTCCCTCCGTGGTCTGTTGCTGGCACTCCTACCACGATTCTCCAAAAGATCCTTTAGTGTGGGTCTTTTCAGCTTCGCATACTGTGACTCCATTCAGTGCTTGCTTGTTGGATAAAAGGACCATCCCACCGCTGCCACCAATGTAACGGCTACCCTGGTAGAGAGAGGGTATCGGCCGTTGGAGACGTCCTTTTCCCCTGCAAGTTGCTGTGGAGAAGTAAGCTGGTATAATCCCATTCACGATATCCAGAGTAAAAGTCAGGTTCAGCTGTAGCAGGAGCAGAATAACATTCCCAAATAATCCCCTTCCAAGAACGAGACAAGGCTACGTTTTGCAGGGTCAAGAAGATCTGAGGTCTGGGAGAACCAGCCTGCTTTTTATTAGGAACAAGTACACACAGGACACTCCCAGGGGGAGGATGAAAATAACCAATTACACACAGGGTAACACCCCCACGTCTCCTCCCCTCAGATAAACATATAACATAATTATAACGTACATAAATTTACCCACATTCTGGATGTACCCCAAAAACAGGGGGTACACCTTTAAGTCCAGCACCGCTTAATAGCTACCACTCAGGGGAATAACATATTCAAATTTCACGTCATTCGGTTGTGGGGTTCGGGAGTTATGGGTCTTTGAAGTTTTGACCGACCGCACAGGATTTTCAGCCGAAAAGAGTTCCACAAGTTTTGGCCTTGCGGTCGGTCCCCGTTCGTGAATAAAAACCCCACGAACCCCTTGCCCTCCACAGTAATCCTGCCGTTCGCCTGAATCCCCATGCATGCTTAAACAAAACTACCGAACGGCCGGTCGTTCGGTAGTTTCAGCACGAACTTACGAGCTCCTGGAGGTCTCAGCGGCGTTCGCCTGTTTGCGCATCCGTTTTTAGTTCCATGAGTTCACAGGCAAACACCGCCGTTCGTGCGTAAGATGGCCGCGAACACGTGTAAAGTCCCGAAATGGCGGCCACCTATTCTCAGACAAAGGGATTCGTCTGAACCAGGCGAACGGCTGTATTCTCCAGTAATGGTATTCCCTTGCAATAATTTCGCCATTTTCACTGTTTTAGTCCACAGGGCTTTGGTGCTGGTGAAGTCCTGTTACAAGTAGAATTGACAAGAGGTTCATATTGACTGGACAATGCAGCGGCTTTAGAATTCTTCGAACCGGGTCTATCCGTTAACACGAAGTTAAATCTTGGTAAAAAAAAAAAGGGGGGGACTGTCTGGCTTCCCTAGCAGAAAGACGTTTGGCCCCTCCAATATAGGAGAGGTTTTTATTATCTGTTAGGATAGTCAATGGAAGTAATGAACCTTCTAACAGGTGTGGCCATTCTTTTAAGGCTAGGATTATAGCAAGGAGTTCTAACGTTTTTCTGTAGAAGATAATTTTCTAGAATAGAACCTGCAAGAGTGTAGTGGTAGGTCAGGACTTTGTCGTTGGGACAACACCGCTCCTACACCAGTCTCAAAAGCATCTACCTCTAACAGAAAAGGTAGACTAGGATTAGGATGCACTAAAACAAGGGCAGAGGCAAAAGATGTTTTAAGCATCTCAAAAGCCTTTAACGCATTGGAATCCCATCTCCTTGGATTCATACCTTTTTTTGCCATGTTCGTTACTGGAGCAACTATAGATGAAAAAGCCTTTATGAAGCATCTGTAATAGTTTGCGAATCCTACAAATCTTTGAATAGCCTTTAACCCATTAGGTAGTGGCCATTGAAGTATAGAGTTTAATTTCTTGGGAAACACACCCTTCACCAATACTACACACAAATGTACATCTGAATTTAAAAGACAACACTACATCCAAACACACCCCTGCATGCAATTACAAACGTTACATCCAAACACCCCCCTTTATTAAAACGCTACAATTATAAGCAAACACCAACTCTACACACAAAAGTACACCTGCATTTAAAAGCCAACATTACATACAAACACACACCCCTGCATTCAAATGCAAACACTACACACAAGTACACCACTGCATTCCAAAGGTAACAGTACATACAACTACACCCCTACATGCACACACATACTCTATACAAAAACATGCTTACATTCAAATACACAAACACTGTTCACAAATACATCCCTACAAGAATGGCCAAATTATAGATCCCCAGCTGGCATAGAATCGTGGGAGTTGTACAACAGATGGGTATCTATCTTTTCTCCACTCTTGTACCAGGCTCTCTCTACATTACTTCCATCACTAGGTTGGGGTGAGGCCATAATTGCATGCCAGGGAGCTGGATGTTGTGAGTGGTGGGAGAGAGGAAGGGTTGGGAGTGTGTGGGGGAGGGAGGTGTTGTGAGGGTCCAATCAATATTAAAGACGGCCCTGTCTACAGCATGCGTGAGCGTACAGCACCGAGGTCTATGGAGGATCCCGCGAGGCCCTGCCTAGACAGAGCAAATTTCCTGCAGCCATCACTGGTGACAGCTCTCAGGATTGACGTTGTAGCTGACACTGTAGCTCCACCTAGTATCGAAAAAACTCAGGGATAGGAAAAGTACATAAGATAAAGCAGTCCCTACTTCATTTAAGTTTTTAGTTGGAAATAGATTAAACATAAAAAAGAAAGACAGAGTTGGAAAGAGGAAGAGATTAGGAAAAGGTATGTATGGCGTGACAGTGCAGCTTTTAAGTCTATATGTGTGACATATAGGCGGTGATAAGTATATGTAAGTAACGCAGTCCTATCGTGTGGTTTTTTTTGTTGTTGTTTTTTTTTTTTAAGGAATACTCCAAGAATCATAAATCACAACATCTTTATGTAGTGGTTATCATGCCAGCAGGAACCCTTCTGCCTTTTTTATGGAGTCAAATCATTTTTGAATAGTTTCACTTCTTACCTGGGGTCCACCAAAACCCACTCATCAACCTCTACTACCATTTACAGAGAGACAAAAGTTCCTAATCAGGAACTTCTGTTAGCTCTCATAAGCCGTGTCCAGCATTCTGTGGTAATTATTGTCCCAGGTGTGCCCTGGTCCCCTTCCAGTGTAAGTAGCCAAAATGTTTGAGTAAGGTTTGACAACATAACTGGAGTCTGTAGGGCTTCCACCACCGCTTCCTTCTCTCCAAATGGAAGCAACTGCACTATGCTCAGTCCGGCAGTGCAGAGAGATTCTCATTGGCAAAGAACTCTCAGTTGATGTTCTTAGCAAATTAACAGGACCGGACCTTCTCCAGAGGAAAAGGTGACAAGGCGTTCGCAAACAATTATTTACACTAAGAGAGCACCAGGACATTGGTTATAATTCTTAGAGTGATTATTTAATATGTATAGGTATTAAAGAAGGGATTTCAATCTGGCAAGCAATTAAAACCAGAGCTGCGGAGTCAGTACCCAAAACCCTTTGACTCAAACACCTATGGTACAATTTAGCATATATGCCAACTAACACGTCCAGACTTTACACGTAAAGAAAGAAAAAGAAAAAAATTCAATGCATGCACAGCTCCCATTGAAACTAGTAAGTAAATCTAGCTAGATGTAAGCATACCATTTAGGGAAGGCTACATCACAATGTGACATTTATAAGTGGCTAGTGGGAATATAAAACAAAGAAATACTTTGTGTTCCATGGAACATTATGCCTCACTGACTGTGCCTTGGTCCAACAATGCCTGGGAACCACTGACCTAATCACACCTGAACTGGAGTGATAAAACTTAGCCATTACTCTATTAGTACAAAGCCCATCAGTTTCAGTGACCCATACACATTATTATTATTATTATTGCTGCTCCCATATCCACCAGCCTATGATAGCCCACCCTGCAATACTCACATTCCCTGTTATGATAGAGACAGACACAGTCTACAAAATGCAGGACTCCCAGCAAATCAGCACAGCAGCCACACGCTGAAAGACTTCCCACTGGCAGAGAATGCTTGAACCCACTACAGGAGGGGAAGAGGGACATTTGTAAGAGTCTGGCCCATGTCACACTCAGTGTGTTTCTTTTCCTTCATATAATCCCAGCATTCATCTTGGACCTAAACGAAAATAACTTTTTTTTTTTTTCTAATTTTTTTGACTTTTTTAAATTAAAAATCTTAAATGTCCCTTTTTTTTTTTTTGCAGCTTGCTTCCTCGTGCCAGCTTTCAAGATGGCGGGTTACATCCTTTCCCTGGCATGTGGGAGCCGAAGCTCCGATGACGTCACTGAGAGAGCGACGCTGGGCAGGCCAGTGACCTCATCGCGACCGCCTGGATGCGTGCAGGATTTGCGCGGGCAGTGAGCTGCTTACAAGCTAACATCTAGCGTGGGCTTCTTGGAACCCCCTCGTTACCGTCCGCAATGCCCAGCGGGGCCCCAGGAGCCACGGCCGTCGCCATGCAGGAGGCTGTAGAGGCAGCCGGGAAGATTATCGACCGCCAGGTCCTGGAAGACCGAGCCTACCCGGACCTGTCCGAGCTGCTCAATGTCCCCGCTCACAGTAAGCAGGGGTGGGGGCAGGGGCTACTGCCAACAAGCCTTTAAACTTTATACCAAGGGTAGGCAACTTTCCGCACTCCAGATACTGTGGACTACATCTCCCATGATGCTTTGCCAGCACTATGGCTTTAAGAGCATTATGGGAGATGTAGTCCATGACACTTGGAGTACAGAAAGTTGCCTACCCCTGCTGTAGACGTTTAGCTCCTTCCCTGTGGTATGGTGTATACGGGACATACTAAAAGGAATAATGAGGGTGAAAGGTATAAGGGAATGTCCCAAAATTAAAAAATATAAAATAAACATTGATGAGGATTGAAAACCACAAAACTGAAATACATCTATAATGATTGTGGGAATTCATTAATTACAATGACAGGATCTGACAGTCAGATTAACAATTATTATTCACTAAAGGGAGACTTCAAAGTGAATTTAAGGCAAAGGTGCTGAAATGGAAGCATATCTGAGTTAGAGAATTTTTCCAATTAGGCTAGTTGGACCTTACATTTTAAGTTTTCTCTGAATTCTTACTTTAGTAAATACAGTAATCATGTAAGTGTGATTGTTGTGTCATTCTATAGAATGACAGAAGAGAATGCACATAGACGTTAATGAGAGAAAAAAATGAAAACACAAATAGAATCACATACATACTTACTGTGGATGTTTTTCTAAAGGGACACTATAGTCACCAGAACAACTTTAGCATAATAAAGTAGTTTTGGTGTATAGATCACGCATCTGCAGTCTCATTGCTCAATTCACAGCCATTTAGGAGTTAAATTACTTTGTTTATACAACCCTCGTCACACCTCCCTGCCTGTGATTTGCACAGCCTTCCTAAACACTTCCTGTAAAGATAGATCTAATGTTTTAAACTCCATTTATGACAGTCTGTTTAATTTATAATTTATCTCCTCCTCTGTTAATAGCATTCTAGGCTCCAAAAGGAGCCTCTTGTGTGTGATTAAAGTTCAATTTACAGAGCAGGAGATGAAAGCTTCTCCAGATAGTTATTGTCTGGTTGAAAGTGAAACAATGTATTTTCATCTAGGCTGTGATAGTCCCAACCGGGGGAGGTGTGGCTAGGGCTGCATCAACAGTTTTAACTACTAAATGGCAGATATAACTAATCAGTGAGAGTGTTGGGGCATGATCTATACACTGATTCATAAAGCTAAAGTTGTTTTGATGCCTATAGTGCCCCTTTAACTATAGCAACAGGATCTGAGGATCCAATTAAGTGAAATTGTTGCTGCATTCTATGGAATGACAAGGGTGAAGAACAGAATACCCATAGGCATTAATAAACCTCCTTACCACCATTGCTAGCTGTAGTGGTGGTTATAGTGCTTGAAGTGTTCTTCTAGCATTATTATTATTTATATAGCGCCAGTAAATTCCATAGCGCTGTACAATGGGATGTAAGCTCATTGAGCAGGGCTATAAACACTTATGTGTCTGTTAGTCCACCCATTGTACAGCGCTACGGAATTTGTTGGCGCTATAAAAATAATAAAATAATGTCAAGTTGTTAAGGATATTTTGTAACTTAGAAAAAGTATGGAGACAGTCTACGAAATTAATAAAAGTAATGGAACATTTTAGCTTTAAGGAAAGGTTAACAAATTTAAACCTCTTTAGTTTGGCAAAAGCAGCCATAAATCCGTGGCCAATACAAACTATTGTGTGGAAATCTATTCATAAACAGGGCTATACATAGGACACAAGGTCATACATTTAGACTGGAAGAAAGGAGATTTCGTCTAAGGCAAAGGAAAGGTTTTTTTTACTGTAAGAACAATAAGGAGGTGGAATTCTCTGAAGAAGTGATTTTACAGATGTTTAAACAGCAACTAGATTCATGCTTGCAAAAATGTAATATTCAATCATATACTTTTTCAACTGTAGGGTAGTAACTTCTATTTATCCATGGATAAATCTGACTGCCATTCTGGAGTCAAGAATATTTTTTTTTATCCTGGTTTGTTGCAAAATTGAAAAATTCTTCCAATTGTTTGTTTTCTTTTGGCCTTCTTTTGCACCAACAGCATGTGTCTCTTTTCAGCCTATGTAAGTTGGTTGTGTTGTTCAATTGAATGCAGCAATAAACTCACTTAGTCAGTCACTGTAGTTAGGGAATACCCACTGTAATTATTTGTGATTTATTTATTTTTTCTCTCACCAGCAGGTTTATTAATTTTCCCATTAACGTCTATGGACATTCAGTTGTGTTATTTACCCTTGTCATTCCACAGACTGCAACAATAGTCTAATCTGAGTCTTCAAATTGGTCACTGCAGTTGGGGAATGCCCAGGGTGATTATTTATGTCATCTGTTTTGTGGTGCTTAATCCACAGTACTTTTATTCTGTTTCCATTTAATGTCTATAGGGAATCTGTGCTGCAATTCCATAAAATACCACAATATTCTGGCTTAATCTGAATCTAATACCTATAGTAATTATTTACTTAGTCTATGTTTTAAGCAGTTTTAGCTTTGTTTTAAATCTATAATTTGATCTTCAAGGGTTACCCAAAGGAACATAGCTAGATTGACTAGATCTTCATCAGTTATACTTGCAGTTAGGTTGTTTTGGCCTTGCATTTCAAATCAACTTTCAAATTCTGATCATTTTCACTTAAGCTAATGGGTTACTCCAACCCAAAAATGTTTTTTGCAGGGGTTAGAAATTTTTGATAATCTACTTTTCCATGGGACTTAAGTCCGGCTTCGCCTGGGATTTGTGAGCCCGTTCAGCCTCTGAGGTAAACGGCTGCCTGAGATTGGAGGTGGGCAGTCGGCTCACAGTGGGTTGAGGCAGGTGAGTGGGCGGCTGACTGAGTGCGGCGGCATGGGAGCTGTAATCCCCCTGCTCTGCCCCGTTGCACGCCCTCCAATATGACATCACTCCAGCCCCCACATCATTATACATCGTTCAAGGGAGCAGAGCAGGGAGATGACAGGAGCCCCAGTTGACCCCAGGAAAAGCTGATCTTCTCCAGCACTCCAAAATGTAGAGGCTGGGTGGATTTAAATTTAAATAAAAAAGTAATAATTTGTGAGTGTTGCAGTATTAGTGTGTGTATGTTTAGGAGATGACCTGCCCCCCTCCAGTCACATGGGAAAGGTATTTTTACTCACCTTTTTCCCCCCCATGCAATGCTGGTGACGCCTGCAGCTGGCCCCATAGAGATGCATTGAATCAATACATTCCTATGGGGAGTATTAACGTAGGCAACACTGACCCAGGAAGCCCCTCTAGAGGCTGTCTGAGTTTCTCACTAGAGGTGTTACCAGGTAGCAGTGTAAACACTGCCCTTTGTCTGATAAGTCAGTGTTTACATTGAAAAGCATGCAAGAATAGGATATAGTTTTCAGAACAACTACATTAAGCTGCAGTGGTTCTGGTTACTATAGTGTCCCTTGTAAGAATTGTAATTTTGACGTGACTACTAACTTTTTTAGCCGGCTCCTAGATTCCAAGCAAATTTGTCAAGCCCTGACTTAAAGGGACACTATAGTCACTAGAACTACAGCTTATTGAGTTTGTTCTGGTGACTAGAATCATTACCTTCAGGCTTTTTGCTGTAAACTCGTTTTTTTCAGAGAAAATGCAGTGTTTGCATTACAGCCTAGTGATAACTTCACTGGCCACTCCTCAGATGGCTGTTAGAGATCCTTCCTGGGTCATGGCTGCCTAAAATGCATCCAAACATTCAGTATCTCCTCCCTCTGCATGCAGACACTGAACTTTCCTCATATAGATTAATTGATTCAATCCATCTCTGAGGAGATGCTGACTGGCCAGGGTTGTGTTTGAATTGTGCTGGCTCTGCCCCTGATCTGCCTCCTTGTCAGTGTCAGCCAATCCTATGGGGAAGCATTGGGATTGGATCAGGCCACCACTTCTGATGAGGTCAGAGGAAGTTCACAGGCAGAGTCAGCAGCTTCAGACTTGAATACAAGTAAGATTTTACTATATTTAGGGAGGCCAAGGGGGTTAGATAATGGTTTTAACATTATAGGGTCAGGAATACATGTTTGTGTTCCTGACCCTATAGTGCTCATTTAAGTGTTATCCTAATTTATTTGTCCGTTATGACAATCTAGTTGTCCTGACAGAAATGTATTAAAATTAGTGAGGCCCCTTCTTAGAGCTCTCGATATTATTAACAGGGCTATTTGCTAAACTCTTTATTTTCACACATTAAATCTGATTCAAGGAAAACAAATTAAATTTTCACAAATAATATACCAGAGTTGGGGATTTAGAGATTGGTGAATTGTCTGGAGAGTCTGGCGGTGTGTATATGCTGTTTGTGTGTAGTGTGTGTGTGGTGTAAATATCAATGTTTGCTTATAGCACCTTGTTGCAAGATTATATATTTAAAATACTGTGGCTTTATAGAAGCAATTTTATACTCTGTGTGAGTCAGGACCAGAAGTATGGCTGGGCTCACAATAGACAGTTTAAACAGAAGCAGGCATGTCACTTTTTGGGATCTTTGCAAAGACCCTAAAAGACAATCCTGCTTAGAGAGAGATGATGGGAAGACCTAGGAAGAAGTTTCAGTGCAAGTGCTGCATTAAGACAAATTGGTAAATCTGACCGCATAGCACATTACAAAATTAGTGCATGGAGGAGGTCTTGGACCAAATGTTATGGTGGAGGGGAGGGAATCGCTATGACAAAAACAAACCAATTCTACTGTACACTTACATGTTTCTGTAGTGCATTAGTGTCAGGGAAGTGTGCAGCCAACCTATCTGATGTTATTGCAGAGCTCACAAAATGCCCATGCTCAAGAAGCTTTGTCCTTCTGGGGTGATCTGCACACAACTCCAGGACCTTTCAGGCCAGTGTGACTTCACTTCCCTCTCCAGGGTTCTCATGCCCGCTGTGTCTTCCTGCTGCCTGTGATTTCCCTGACTTCAGCCACAGGAAAGCAGGCCACACAGCCAGGATGTAGCCGATCTGCACTACGACATATGTGCATCTTTCAGGGTGTGAGCCCTGTAGCGGGGCTGAGGGATTTTTTTAATTTTTTTTTTTTTCGGCGTTGCCTTTGCCTCCGCCCCTACTTAACGCCAGATGCGACTAAGGTTTTGGTCCTTTCCACTGTCCTTTCTCGCCTTGACTACTGTAATCCGCTTTTCAGTGGTCTTACGAGCTCCCAACTTGCGCCGTTATAGTCCATAATGAATGCGGCGGCGAGGCTCATCTTCCTGTCCGCCCGCACCTCCCATGCCTGACCTTTCTGTCAGTCCCTACATTGGCTTCCTATAAAATATAGAGCTCAGTTTAAAATTCTGGTTCTTGCTTTCAAATATCTACATAATGCTGCTCCCACCTATCTATCCTCCCTTATACACAAATATGTCCCGTCTAGGCCCTTACGATCTGCTGAAGACTTACGTTTATCTTCTGTCCGTACTCCCACCTCTGATGCTCGCCTTCAAGATTTCTCAAGGGCTGCACCGTTCCTGTGGAACTCGCTTCCCTCCTCCGTTAGATGCTCACCAAGTCTCCACTCCTTCAAAAAATCGTTAAAAACCCACTTCTTCATAAAAGCATATCAATTAAACTGTTAATAGCTCCTGACTGGTTCCTCTTCTGCAACTGTCACTAGTCTAATACTATCCTTACCTTTTTGTGTCATTTTACCCCACTCCCTCTAGCATGTAAGCTCATTGAGCAGGGCCCTCAACCCCTCTGTTCCTGTGTGTCCAACTTGTCTGGTTACAACTACATGTCTGTCCATCCACCCATTGTAAAGCGCTGCGGAATTTGACGGCGCTCTATAAATATCATAATAATAATTCACACATCTATACACACAGCCAAATAGGGATCTATCTACTAAACACATGTGCATATACATATGCACATAAGCACAGATAGTGTATGTCTGTGTGTATAGATGTGTGACTAACGCAATCATAGACCCGCACACACAACCACATACATAATCACAGAATTATACACACAATTAGTAATTAAGAGATTCATCTAGCCTCCCTGCTTTGCCTTAGGAGGGCTAGAGTGGAACCTTTTTCTGGTGGCCAGTTGCTGCTGTGATGAGATCGCTATTATCTTTCTGCCCTCGCTTGCCCAGTAGTGATGCTGATGTCGGGGTGACATCATATCCCAGCAGCCAGCTCACTGCAGTAGGCGCGAGGGAGCTGTGCAGAAAGAGCAATGTAAGCAATGAGTGTCTCACAGCCCAGCAGAAGAAGAAAAAATAAACGGGGGGGTGCGGGGAGTGTTTTTATGTTATTAAAATTTATAGACATTTTCTTTTTCTCAGATTAAACAATTTTTTTTAGCAGTTTAAGGTACGTGGCCACCCACACCTTAGCTGCCACTCTAGATCTAGCTAAGGCAGAGACTAAATAGTTCGTACTAGCCATACCAATTCATATAAATGCCAAAAATAATTATACCGGCAATGTGCACTTTGATAGGTTAATATGTGGGCACCTGACACTCTTAGCCAATCACAGCCAACACTGAATTTTAATGGCCAGGTGACTCAAGATACTGTATCCCCTTCAATGTGATGAAGCAGTTACAGTGTCCCTTTGATAACTCTGAAAGTGTCACTCTAAGCGCCATAATCCGTGCAGCTCCTTGTCGTATGGGCAACAAGTCTGGTCACCATCTCCATCGTGTGTGTCAGCATGTGTGTGTGCACGTCTGTTAATCTGTGTGTGCGTGTGTGTGTCTGTCAGTCAAAATGTGTGTAAGTTAACAGGAAGGTGTGGGTACATTTAAATTAGGGGCTTCCAGAGATCTGTCATGCCTAGGGCAGCACCATTTCAAAATACACCACTGGACATGGTGCACATTTTATAAATGCCTACCTCTATATTAGCCCATGCACTCTGTGATCTGAATACTCATGTATTATTGATCTTTGTGTTTTTCAGATAGTCCTACTATATCTGGTGTTTCTGAAATGGATTACCCTCTGCAAGGACCTGGCCAGTTGACTGTTCCCAATCTTCCAGAGCTTAGTATGATGCACAGAGTGCCACTTCCTCCAGAACTGGTCGAGCAGTTTGGGCGTATCCTAAAATGTGTATATTTGCAATGCTGAAAGTCAATTTTAACTGGATCTTTAAATAACTCAAAATCTAATGATTTGCACTACTGGACATTCCTAAAATCTACTAACCACTGCAAGTCTCAAGAGTACATGGGACCCTCATAAGGTGGAATTTTCTTCTCAGAAGAAATTCTTCAGTCATATGCACTTTTGGTCAGACAGTGTTTGAAAACTGAAAGTTATTCTCTTTGGTTTTTAAACACTATCTGGTCCAAGAAAACGTTGTCTGAAAACAGCCAAGGTACACAGTGAAAGGGGGATAACCCCTAGTGAAAATGGATACAAAACAAAGGAAGAAAGGAGGGGGGGAGAAAGAGAGGTACAGATGCCAGTTACAATGAGTAAAAAGATAAAGAAATACTGGTAATAGCTGAAATAGAATAGGGCAGCCTAAGTAGCATGTTAGAAGGCTGCCACATACAATATATGTCGCAGTGTGTCGGCGAATGAGGGTTCTCAACAGTATCAGCCGATATGATAAAAGATATGTATATTAAAGGACCACTCTAGGCACCCAGACCACTTCAGCTTAATGAAGTGGTCTGGGTGCCAGGTCCTTCTAGGGTTAACCCATTTTTTCATAATTATAGCAGTTTCAGAGAAACTGCTATAATTATGAATGAGTTAAGCCTTCCCCCTAATCCTCTAGTGGCTGTCTCATTGACAGCCACTATGGGCGCTTGCGCGTTTCCCTACCGTGATTTCACAGTGAGAAAGCGCTAGTGTTCATAGGTGGTGCTACTGTAAATGCTTCTGAGTGAGATCGGGCTGGACGCGGGCTGGCAAGCAGGCTCTTGCCGCCAGCTGCAAGCGCATTCAGCCGGGCGTAAGTAACGGAGGCGAGAGGAGTGAGTGAGAGCTCTCCGGCCAGCTGAAAAAAGGTAAGTTTTTACTCCCTTTCCCTCCAGAGCCGGCGGGGACCCTGAGGGTGGGGGCACCCTCAGGGCACTATAGTGCCAGGAAAACGAGTATGTTTTCCTGGCACTATAGTGGTCCTTTAAAGTAATCAAAGGTGTCAGCCTGAAACTGTAACAGAGGTATAACAAAATGTATCTAAATGTATCGGTAGATGAGAATTCTCAACCGTATCGGTGGATGTTTTGAAGGTATGTATCTTTAAATAGTACGGGTGCAGCGGTATATTACTATATTTTTGTGTTTCATTCTTATTATAATCAGAGTCTAGCTCATATATACACTAAGATCTCTGTGTTATTTCTATTTTTTTGTTATTTTTTAATTAATTATTACCAATAAACTTGTTTTTTATTTTTTGGACCCTGTGGTCCTTTTTATTTTTATTTTTTTTAATTCTTTATTTTGTCACAGTCAACAAGATATATATATATATATATATATATATATATATATATATATATATATATATATATATATATATATATATATATATATATATATATATATATATAGCGAGTAATACATTCAATGAAGCATATCACTGTTTTTAATCTTCTGCATAGATTGGTGGGATAGCGGTGTTGGCTGTGGTATTTTGTTTTATGGTAATGTAGCTTGTTACTGCCATGGTCATGTCTTTAGCGATGGTTGTGGTTAGTGTAGGTGTCTGGGACATGTATGGCTCTGTGGTTTCAGAAAGTGAGAGAAAATGCGATATCTTTCTATGGCGGGTTGTGTGCTGAGTGGGCACAGCTCCACTTGGTAGAGTAAGTGTAAGTGGTTCCTAGCACGGAGCTGGGGGGGGTAAGGTGTTCGTGAAGGAGCTAGTGTTTCTGAGTTTCGGCTTGTTTAGGTCTGGGAGGTGGCGGAGATGGGTGTGGCCTGCTGTTAGTGCATGGTGTGGTATGTTGCGCGGTGTATATAACACAAACAGAAAACAGAAAGGGTACAATACCCACAGTATAACTTATGCTGCGTCTACAGTTTCTCAGCGTGAGGCAGGCCCTATGAGGCGCCTGTGCCTCATATTACGAGAGAAAAAACGATAACGGTAAAAACAAAGAATCCCAAGAGGATACGTAACCATATATAAAAGCAGCTATATAAATGAAAAGATGTAATGTCCAGAGTCACGTAGTTGCACGGCTGGGTAAGTTCCGATTTGCCGGGATGAACGGGACAGAGTTGGCCGGGTCCCATGTTGTCGGTGCTGGCGTTGCTGCGTGGTTCAGGCCCAGATTGGTCAGGGTTGCCTCTATCTGCGATGCCTCCGCTACCTTGATCTCCGTGTTTTGGTGCTGGATAATGAGCATGTGTGTTGGGCCCCATCGGTACTTGATTCCGTTCGTTGATAGTATGGATGTGAGGGGTCGTAGCGTCTTCCGCCACTGAAGTGTCGGTCGAGAGAGATCTGAGTAGAAGGTAATGTCCATATCCTCAAAGCGGAATGGGGGTTTCCCCCTCAATGCTTTCAAGATGGCTGCCTTATCTTGGCCGTTTTGGAATTTGACCAGTAGGTCGCTGGTGTTGGAGGCCGCAGCTGCATCCCCTCTAGTGTGATACCTTTTGCTTGTTTGGGTGACAACAGTGCTGTGAAGAGCCTACGCAGGCAGTGGGGCAGTTCTGCTTGTGTGATAGTGTCCATGAGGCCCCTGATCTTTAGGTGTTTCCACCTTCTCTTGTCCTCCATTGCTGCTAATTGGTGGCTCAGAGTGGTGTGAGCTGCAGTGAGAGTGGCAATCTGATTCTGCAGCCCTTGGATATGGGCTGCATGTGTTGTGGTTGTCTGCTCAATTATATTTAGGCGCCCGTTAAACCCCCTGAGGTCTTCTCTCACCTGGGAGATTTCTGAGGAGAGGCTGTGGCGGAGATCCGCCAGGAGGCCGGTAAGTATCCCTGTGGTGAGAGGTTCTGACCCTTTGGCTGCTGGCTGGGCAGATGTTGTAGGGTTAATTCCCCGCTCTTCTGTATCGTGGAGGGAGTAGTCAGCCGAGTCGTCTGAGAAATCTCCCATGTCCGCCGCCATGTCAGTCCTCCCCGCGCCATGCGGTCCCCTCAGGAGGTCGCCAATATCGGCACAGAATCTCGGTCGATCCGGACGGGGCTTCTTGGTTTTTCTCCCCATCGTAAGGAGAGTTGTCTGGGGCTGGTTGGGGGGTGTTGTACCCCTATGTTCAGCATGATTAGGGCGTTTTTCGTGCCCGTTTGTCGGAGCTCAAGCAGAGAGCGACCGTTGCCGTCGGATGCTAGCTCCGCCCCCCTGTGGTCCTTTTTAGATGAGCCTGTATTCTACACATTTTGTGTTGTAGTCTCAGGCCCTGACTAGTCCTCTCCCTACCTTAAGGTACACACTTCCTTTGTTTTGTATCTACCTGGTCCAAGGTCCAAAGCTGCCGTATACTAAAATAGAGATGAGTTTTTTTTTTTTTTCTTCTTTTTTTCCCTCAATAGACTTGATTTAAAGGACCACTATAGGCAGCTTAATGAAGTGGTCTGGGTGCCAGGTCCAGCTAGGATTAACCCTTTCTTCTATAAACATAGAAGCCGCGCATGCACTTTCAGCCGACGAGGTAGAGGAGAGTACCCCGCCCGGCGCTGGAAAAAGAGATAAATTTAACCCCTTCCACCCCCCTAGAGCCCGGCGGGTGGGGGCACTATAGTGGTCCTTGAAAACAAATATATATGTAGAGATTGTAGCCGTATTTAGTCCTATGATGCAGATGTAAAATAACAGATACAATTAGTATCTTGTAATACCTTAATAATAAGTTAGGAGCCAGTAATTTTCAACGAGAGTGCAATTCTTAAAGGTACACTATAGTCACCAGATCCACTACAGCTTGATGTAGTTGTTCTGGTGTCTATAGCCTGTCCCTGCAGGCATTTCAGTGTAAACACTGCCTCTTTCGCGAAAAGGCAGTTTACATTGCTGCTTAGTAACACCTCTAGTGACATTCACTCAGATGCGTCACTGCTGTGCCATGTGCAGCACCCAGGTTCAGTGTTTCCAAGCTCTACATGGAGGCGCTGAATGTTCCTCATAGAGATTGATTAATGTAATGCATCTCTATGAGGAGATGCAGATTGGTACATTTGCTGCGCATGCACAAAATCCTCCCAATGTTTTCCTAAGGGATAGCATTGCCTTAGCTGAGATCATAAAGATAGATCATCTCACGGAATCATGTCATATTCCAGCTCCCGACATCATTAGACAGCGTGAGGGAGCACGGAGGAGCTACAGGCAGAGTACTGCTCCCTCGTGCGCCACCCACAATGCTCCCGCGGGCAGCCGCCTCCTCCATGCTCTTCAGGGCGGCCGCCCACCTCCATCTACCTGCGGACAGCTGCCTCCAATATTCCCCATGACTGTCGCCGTCAAAGCTCTCTCCCAAACTAGAGAGCTGGCTAAATTTAGAGTCGCCGTTGCGATCTGGTGCCTAGTATTTGGTGAGCCCTGGTTAAAGTGACATGCGTAAAGATAAGATACAGGTGTGATACAAAATAGACACCATTCTCATAGAGGGTCCTAAATATCTTGTGTGAAGATCAGAGTGAGGGGGGAGAGAGAGGAAAAAAGCAAGCAAACAGTGCAGAAGATGGTGATAGAAGAAGAGTAAAACAATTAACTACTTAGACTAACAATGCATGAATTCACATCCAAGCTGTGCACTTTTTGAAAGGAAATTTAAATATACTCACACACACACACACACACACACACGTTTTGTGAAAAGATTATATAAGATTTCCTTTCAAACCGTGATGGGATTAATATATTGAAAAATAGTTTTGAGATGACAACTGTCCTTTAATCTGTATGTTTCTTTTAATGTTTCTACATATTTGTGACAATCTAACACTTGGGTTTTATTTGTTATTGCTGCATTATAACATACATAAAATGATTTGATATGTCTCGAAATAGTGTTTGTGTATATTCCTACATTGTTAACATGCAGATATGCAGTGCAACTGTATGATGGGTGTGTTTCCAGAAATCAATAGGGCTTGGCTGACTATTGATAGTGATATATTCATGTGGAACTACGAAGATGGGTATGTATCATATAATATTTTTATTTCCCTGAAGTGTCTACCAACACTGTGGCTTGTTTTTTTTTGTTAGTGTGTTTTAAATCCGTTCCAAACTTTTATGCTATCTTGCACATGTTATTATAACTGTCAAATATTCTATTTGTATATTTTGTCTATACATGGCATATTCTCCTTTCTGATGATGACTTTTGTATTGATGAAATTGAAATACAGACTGGGAAAAGATGATGTAATAATGTCTTGATAGGTGTTTCCCTTTACAGGAAAGCATTTAGCAATATAAATATTTCACAGTCAAATTACCTGTCTTTGCTGTGCTTTCTCATTCACAGAGGGGATGTTGCTTATTTTGATGGCCTCAGTGAAATAATACTCTCAGTTGGAATAGTGAAGCCAAAGTCAGGTAAGTTTTTGCTTCCTTCAAAACAAACAAGAACTCAAAACAAGCAAAAAGATAAACTGCCACCCCCCTGCCAAGAGCAAAGACTTCTTGGGATTTACTTTGAGAAGTTCATACAATGAATTTAAACTACCTACCTACCTATTTTATGTTTCAACAGTCCCAAGAAGTGCAGGTGCAAAACAAAAAGGTTTACTTGAAGAGTTACTCCAATCATCTTAACCACTACAGCCTTCTCTAGTGGTTATGATGCCAAGAGTAACCTGGCCCAGTTCCCCAATAATGAGACAAACCATTTTAGGGACGATTTGCTTTCTTACCTGGGTCCCATCAGACTCTCTCTTGTTTAAAGGCAGAGTTACATCATCTGGTTTCTGAGGAGCAGCAGGATCTGGATACTGATCCTGCTGCTCATTTATTGGCAGAGAGCATCGATTGACTACGAATCAGTGAGCATGTGGGCATTGGATTTTGCACAGAATTGGCATTGGCCAGCATGGAACTCTTGTTCCAGGCTGACTGACACCACAATGACGACATCAGCAGCAGCGGGGTAAATCTCCATTGTTGCAGAACGTGTCGCTGGGGTGTCATCAGTGCATAGTCTCCAGGCACCATTACTACTTCATATGACTGAAGTGTTCATGGTCCCTGGAGTAATTAATATTTGCCTTTCTCTCTGTAATATGTTTCTATCATGATGCGTTGTTTTTACAGGTATTTTCCAACCTCACATCAATTACCTGCTTGTACTTGCAACACCTGTTGACATTGTGATCCTGGGAGTGAGTTTTACCGGCCTACAAGCAGGTCAGTCATTGAGCTTTTGATGAACCTAGTCCTGTCCTACACCAGGGTTGGCTACCCTTGGAAACACAAATGTTTGAAAAGTACAGTGACCATACATATTGTGTGCCTAACGTATTAAATGTGGCTTCTGAACTTGGAGTGCCATTAATAAATGGTTCAGATAACTTTCCCAGATTAAGCTAGTTTGAGCAAGGCCCTGTGTGTCCAACCAGTCTTGGTGCAAATACTTGTCAGTCCACCTATTGTACGGCACTGTGGAAGTTGTTTTCACCTTATAAATAGTAATAATAACATGACATAATTGGTGTTTTTCCACAAATGTCATTAAGCATTTTATGCATAGCAGGCATTTTTTTCCCTTCTGCTTTATCAAGGCAGTTGAAGTAGGGACACGGGGGTTAGATGGTGGTTTTAACACTATAGGGTCAGGAACACATGTTTGTGTTCCTGACCCTATAGTGATCCTTTAACCCCTTAAGGACACATGACATGTGTGACATGTCATGATTCCCTTTTATTCCAGAAGTTTGGTCCTTAAGGGGTTAAAGGTTTACCACCAGCATCATAATCACTATAGCCTACTGTAGTGGTTATGATATCAGGAGAACCCTGGTGCAGGTCCCTGTTTTTGCAACAGTTTGCCCTCCAATCTTGATTCCCCTGGGGCCAGGTCTCCAGTTCTAGCTGCTGTGTTTACATCTGGCTGCTGTAGAAGCTAGATGTCGATTCTGTCAGCCATTCATTGTGCATAGAAACATGCACGGAATTGACGTTAGCTAGTCCAGAACTCTGCGAAATGTTTCACTTACAGACATCCAGCACCATGACCACTTTAGACCACTGAAATGGCCATGATGCTTGCAGTAACCCTTTAATACCAGCTCTCATTAACTAGAACTCCGTTTCCCCGTTCCTAGTACAGTTTGTGTTTTTCCTACCTGCTCCAGGTCATCTGAATGACAGCATGTCTGGAGGGATTCAGCTACTTCCAGAGCCACTTTACTCCTTGCCTACAGATAACACATATTTATTGTCCATAACCTCAACTGACAATGGGCGCATCTTCATGTCTGGAAAGGATGGCTGTCTCTATGAAGTTGCCTACCAGGTGAGTATAAAGATGAAATGAAGAATTAAGTAAAAGGAATTTTTCATACTGAGCTAATTGGCTCCATTACGCCCTAGTTAAACCTGTGCTTTTGTGGGGTGTTTTTTTGTTTTTGTTTTTTTGATAGTGTGGCTAATTTTGTTTACTTTTGTGTTCTTCAGGCAGAAGCTGGTTGGTTTAGTCAAAGATGCCGGAAAATTAACCATTCTAAGAATTCGCTCTCTTTCCTTATACCTTCAATATTGCAATACCCTTTCTCAGAAGATGGTGAGTCCTCTTTGTTATCCATATTTGTTTTTCCTTCTTCTTAGTGAAATATTTCTATGTTGGTCATCAATATCTTTGTCGTTTTATTTCCTTTAAGATGGCTTGGTTCAAATTGCCATTGACAACTCAAGGAACATTCTATATACTCGTTCGGAGAAAGGTGTACTTCAGGTAATGTATATGGAAGCTTCATATGCATAATTTTGATATAAAAGATCTTCAGGTTCAAAAATAATATATATTACACACACACAATATAAACATTCCTCACTCTGCATTAATTATGCTAAAGAAGAGATTCATAAATCAGTACGCGAAAACAATATTTCATTTATTAAATACTGACCCAGTGTGATTCAAAAAGGCTACTGGGAATAATTGGTGACCTTATCCTAAATACATATATCATGCATATGAAACAAACTCATAATGTATACAGATAATATTTACAACAAATGGCAATCCCTTTTCATATATCATACACGAGGTATAAATTCATGATAAATACAATGCTATGTACAATTAATTACAGTCCTAATATCCCATGCTTGTAGGGGTAAAGTATCCTAAGTGGATCCACCAAATGCTAGGCCTTTTGGAAAGAAATAAAACAATACTATTATCACCAAATAGTTAAAGGAAAAAGAAGAGCACAAATTAGGCAAAAAATTTATTGTAGTCCAATGTTGAAAAATAGTGCACTGAAAAATACTGCTATATATGGGTGGATCTCGCCAAAAGTGGAGATGTCTTTGCAGGGATCGACTTGTAGTATAGAGTGTTTTGCTTGGTGATGGAGTAGTCAAAAAGAGTCCTCCTGAGTGAAAGGTTCGTATCTCGGGACATCCATGTCCCTTCGAAGGCCCCTGCAATGAACAGATGAAAGAGCTGCTAAATATCTCTAATTGGCGGCTGTTCAAGACTCTCTGCCTCTTCAATTGCTTCCGCTTTGTCGTGGAGACGTCATCATGCGTCCCCACGTCACATGTAAGAAACTTTATTGTCCATAGTATACAGGGCAATACACAGTAAGAAAGTCTGTACGATATCCCATACAGACATATGGGAATTAATGCGTTATTAAAACAATGTATCATTAAAACCAAGAAGCCACATGTACTGCTACAAATCCTATGGTAATATAACAACCAATATCAGTATATATATCAGAGACAGAAGTAATATCAGGGGCAGAGATACAATAATATTTGAAACTAACTTATTTATGTAAATACTTTAAAGGGACAGTTGGTCCTGTGTCAAACTGTGTCAAGGCAGATAGAAACTATAATTCTGATAAATCACAGATAACTAGATGCATTTTGTATACTTAATACACAGGATGCACGACTAGATGCTCACCTGCAGCTGATGACCGAAGGGAGAATGAAGCAATGAAAGAATAGTTTTGTATAAGAGCTAGTCGAATAACCAGCTGTAAAAATAAGATAAAAAGTTAAACGAGTGATGAATGACAAAAAAACTGAAAAATACTAGAAAGCCTATTACATATAAGTTACCCGCCGTGCAATCTCCCAAGATATCCGGGGGCATGCAACATGAGACCCCGAACCACTGCCAGGTAGCGGATCCGTGAAGTTACACGTATAGTAATCCTTAACAAAAATATTTTTGCCAGATCAAGGGCGAACCAAATACTCCCCCTTGATCACGCTATTGCAGTGTGAGCAACTCAGGCATGGGAACGTGCCTTTCTTAGGTTCAGAAAATAATCTAGTCTGTTTCTTGAAACTACCAGTGCCTGACTTCACTAAGATATCCTTCAGATTAGGAGCCCTTTGGTGCAAAAAAAGTGGTGGGTTTTGAAATATCGGGGGTAATTGGGAGTCCCCCTCAAGGAGCTGGCAATGTTTTATATAGAGATATACGTATATCTCTATTCAATGGGGTGTATGGTGATACAAAATCTAACCTCTCTGTTTTGTTGACTGTACTGGAACCAAATAGTTTCCTGACGAGTAAAATTTGCAACTTTTTGTCTCTGGTTTAAAACTATATGTGCGGGATAACCCCTATCCATAAATTGTTGTATACATACATACATACATAGTGGTCCATAAGTCCCTACCCATCCATATATCTTATGTATCCAGTGTATCTGTGTGGATGGGTCAGGACTTATGGGCCACCCTGCATAAGTGTGTGTGTGTGTGTGTATATATGTATGTGTATATATATATATATACACACGTATTCCAGTGTGAACCTATTTTAAAGTCCATGTCCCATTTACATTTTTGTATTTATTTTATATATAATATCTATATCTCTTTCCTCCACATGGACATTTTGATATTCTGTGTTTTAACAGCAATGTCAGGCGAATGGATGCTCAGCATCCTGCTGGTGCAAATTAGGCATGCATAATTAGTCTTTCTGTCCAAGTTGTAGGTTTTCCTGTCTTTTGGCTTTTCCCTCACAGTGAGCCTGATGTGCACATTTGGTCTGGTCCTGTGCAGAAAGTTTTTTTTGCTACTTTTGAGGTGGTGGGGTTGTTTTTGTCCTCGTATACATTTAACTCTACAATGAGAACTTCATAGAATAAATAAAAAGTGTGTATTTTATACAATTAATCTCAGGAAAGGGTAGGAGCTGACTTCTGTATTTGGCTTGATGAAGTCACATCTGTATTTGTAAAATACAACATGCATCCATCAATTACATTCAAATCTATCAAAGCAGAGTGAGGAATCCTGATATAAAACTTACATTTTTATATTAACAGTACATACACATTCCTTATAGAACTCTTCTGTTTTCAGGTGTATGACTTGGGCCAAGATGGTCATGGAATGAGCAGGGTGGCTTCTTTATCGCAGAACCAAATTGTATCAGCAGCTGGAAACATTGCAAGGTAACAGCTCCATCTAGTGGTAGCAATGACCTGAGGCTTCTTCACTACCATGACATGAAGGAGTGCATTGCCGTATATATTCAGTATCTAAATGTAGTGTTCCACCGGCCTTCAGTTTTTATTTTTTGCTTTGAGGATTTTTCATTGTTCTCATTATACCAATATACTTCGGCGTGTGTGTTGGTGATCTTTCAAAGAGACTTACTATAGTGTATTTTTTTTTTATTTTTTTTTTTGCAGGACGATAGATCGGTCGGTTTTTAAACCCATTGTTCAGATTGCAGTGATTGAGAAATCTGAATCTATGAATTGTCACTTGCTTGCTGTGACGCACGCAGGTAAGCAATGTGTGATTGTTTAGTTAATTTCATGATCAGTTTTATTAACAAGTTTAGAGTTCAAGGTTTGTACCGTATATACTAGAGTATAAGCCGACCCGAATATAAGCCGAGGCCCCTAATTTTACCCCAAAAAACTGGGAAAACGTATTGACTCGAGTATAAGACTAGGGTGGGAAATGCAGCAGCTACTGGTAAATTTCTAAATAAAATTAAATCCTAAAAAAATTATATTAATTGAATATTTATTTACAGTGTGTGTGTATGAGTGCGCGGTGTGTGTATGAGTGCGCGGTGTGTGTATGAGTGCGCGGTGTGTGTATGAGTGCGCGGTGTGTGTATGAGTGCGCGGTGTGTGCATGAGTGCAGTGTGTGTTTGTGTTGCAGAGCCTTGGTGGGGGGTGGGCATTTTTATAAAAAAAAATTTTTAATATTTTAATTTTTTTTGTTATATTATTATTATTTTTATTATTATTTATATGTATATATTATTATTTTATTTATTTTTTGTCCCCCTCCCTGCTTGATACATGGCAGGGAGGGGGGCTCTCCTTCCCTGGTGGTCCAGTGGCATTGGCAGTTCAGTGGGGGGAGGAGGAGGGCTGGCAGAGCTGTTACTTACCTCTCCTGCAGCTCCTGTCAGCTCTCTCCTCCTCCGCGCCAGTCCGTGCAGCTCTTCTGTCAGCTCACACTGTAAGTCTCGCGAGAGCCGCACTATGACCCCGCGGCTCTCGCGAGACTTACACTGGGAGCTGATCGAGGTGCTGACCGGACCGGCACGGAGGAGGAGGGAGCTGACAGGAGCTGCAGGAGAGGTAACAGCTCTGCCAGCCCCCAGTCTGTATTATGGCAATGTAAATTGCCATAATACAGACAGTGACTCGAGTATAAGCCGAGTTGGGGTTTTTCAGCACAAACAATTTGCTGAAAAACTCGGCTTATACTAGAGTATATACGGTAATCATGAACAATTTAAGAGCTCCTCCACTGCCAAAATATATATAATTTAATTATATATTTTTTTTTTTTTTCCTTGCTATTTAGTAGATGTCCACCAATGAAAACAACATGCAAGCGTGTTAAATATATATCTCTAAAAAGTGCATGCAAAAGCTGAAGTCTCTTGTCTTCAGCCTTTGCAAGACCCCTTATATTTCTGCACCCATTTTCTGTGGCTGTCCAATCACAGACTTCCCAACTGGTCCTGGAAGTTTAGCTGCCAGGTGGGAGTTCGGGGGGGAATAAGGTTAATTAATAAATGTGCCAATTTCTATTAAAATATACACCTTTTTTAATATGGTTAAAAAAAAAAAAGAGGAATGCAATCTTAACACATAAAGCACCCCAGCAGGTTAGTGCCTAGGGTGTTTGGAGTGTTCCTTTAATAGGTTGACTAGTTTGCTGTTCATTCTAATCTAGAGTAACACACTCACATTCTCATATTGCTAGTAGTGTTGGTGGATTATCTTCTCTCTAGTCCATAGTTAAATAACCTTTCTAATATTATACTCATTATAAAACTACATTAATTCCTACTTTAACCACTTACAAATCCTCAGTTTGAGTACATGTATGAGTTGTGTAGTGATTCCCACACCAGTCCAGATTTTATGGGCTCCTTGAATGATTTTTGATTTGGTCTTTTGATATCCCTTTTTAGGTGTTCGGTTATATTTTAGTACAGTGCCGTTTAAACAATATGCAGCCCGTCCCTGTATGTTGTCCTTGGTGCATGTTCGATTACCTCCAGGATTCTCAGCTTCCTCAAATGTGGAAAAACCATCCAAGGTGCATAAAGCCCTTTACAACAATGGTAAGCCTGTCCTCCACATAACGATTAGTGTCAAACTACTGCCACGTTTATATAGGAATAAAATAAAATACCAAATGTTTAAAAAAATAACTCCTGTTTAATTATTGTGTACTACAAATTCTGCCATGCTAGACCAACTTTGTCTAATATTCATTTATTTTTTTTCTAACTCTTGTCATTTGAGTCTTTTTGTTCTCTCTAACTTTGCATTGATCTATTTTTCCTGTTCTTTAGGTGTCTTACTGATGACTGCTTCAGAAAATGAAGACCGTGACCTTTTGTGGTGCATCAGCCATGATTCTTTCCCATTTCAGAAACCAATGATGGAAATGCAGGTACTGGAACAAATTTGTAAGTCTCACACGGGTTTAGTCGTTAAAGTTCAAAACAGCTGAGTTGAAAGCAAAGCTAACTTGGGGAATTTTCCATGTTGGCTACATTCTCCCAAGCTTTAACATTCACCTGGCAATTCACTCATTAGCGACAACTCAGTGATTAGTATGTAGTTGTGATGCTGGTTGTCTTCATGTGCATTGTTTTGTACACGTTTTGGTTCATGTCAATTCGGTGCTTATTCTACGCACAGAGGGGCATTCATTGGCTAGTGATACTTGTGACAAGTAATGGACTAATGGTGCATAATTCACTTTTATGCAGCAAACACTCTCAGCATGTCCAACTGGATCCTCTACTTAGAAGTCTCCAAATTCTTGTTAAAATTCTTGAAGTCCAAATCCAGGAACCGATCCTCTTTGAAAAGTGAGCAAACACAATTTCTTTAGAATAAAAAATACTTTTCTTAAGAAAAGTGCCAAATAAAAAGGGGGCAAACATACCAGACCCCTGGTTCCACTTAATGCGTTGTGTTTCTTTAGCGGACACTCTGTCAATAAATAAATGAGCAGCAGAATTGGCATCTGGCTTCCTCAACTTTGCAAAAGTCTGATGTCAAAAGCCTACTGAGAGGAGACCTATTACCCAGCTAGGACACAAGTAAGAGGGCAAATCGTAGAAAGGTTTTCCTCTTTACCTGGCAATTGCACCAGGGTATTTCTACCATCATATACTCTGCAAAGAGTAACCCTTTAACTATATGTCACTACGTTATCTATGTTCAAAAGTTGTTTTGCCCTGTCGTCCATATATTAGTAGTATCCCCCATCACCTGATAAATATATCTGAGTAGTATATAGTTCTTAATGTTCGAAAGCTGGTCAAGAGAAAAAGAACATGTATTTAATCTTTGTAATATTATTTACTTACTTTTGTAGGTGGCGGTTCAGGTCGATGGCCATTCCTGGGCTGTATCTGCAATAGATGAAACAAAACCTGAAAAGATTGTGACTCCATTGAATAGTGAAATTATTCCAATGACGGATTCGCCTGTTTTATTTCAACAACACATGGTGCCACCAAAGAAATTTGTGCTTCTCTCTGCACAGGTATGTTTTAAAGAAACTAAAGCTTTTAAGAAAAAAACATTTACCTCTAGTAAGGATTACGTTCCAAAAAGCAAAAGCAGAACTTCACATCTGTTTTTTTTTCAGACATCTTGATCAGCACTACCAATAAGATCATTGGTTTTGTTTAATTTGCTGAAGCTGTATTGCTTTCTGGAAAAGAGAGTAATTATACGGATTTCGTTCTTCCCTTCCTAAGTTTTTTTTTTTTTTTTTCTTCAACTCCAGTTAATGAAGCCCTATAAGCTGTGCCCATTTATCTATCTGTTCAAATCAGATGTCCGTTGTCAGGCCCCGTTTGTACGGGCCCAGATTTCCGCTTAATGAATTCCTCTGCTGAGCCTTATGGTTTGCTAGCCAGCTGTCCCATTCTTTCTCATATTTATCTATACATCCATTTATTTTGCTGGTCATCCTCTCATATGTACTAATCGTGTCCATTTTAGTGTGTATACTCTCTATCGGTGGGATCTGTTTGCTTTTCCAGTTGCCAGCTAGGGCTGTTTTGGCTACTGTGAGGATGTTTAAGATCACTTTCCTATGGGGATGTAAATAGAGATCAGGGATGATATGGAGTAAGTATTTTTATGCGTGTAGGGGAATGAGAAGCTTTGTCTTGTGGAAGATCATGATCTGGACCTGTCTCCAGAACTCCCTCAGTTTTTGTCAACTACAGAACATGTGAAGCATGGTTCCCGTTTCTGTTTCGCATCTCCAACAAAGCCCTGTTATGCCTGTGTACATGGGTGCTAATCTATGTGGCACTAGGTACCACCTCATTGTGATTTTGCAATATGCCTCCCATAACGAGAGACTGCGCGAGGCTTGTTTCGTACTTGCCATCGGAGACTGCCAGTCTGTGAGAGGGAGCTGACAACCTATTTCTGTCTCCCATTGTGTCATGTATAAAAGAAAAATTATTGCGTAGGCGCTTCACTGAAATTATGGCCGTTTGGTATACAGTAAAGATATACAAGTGGTGTAACCGGTATATTAGTGCTTCTCTTTTGCACCAAATATTAATAGTATAGTACAAAACACATACCAGTGTATACACCTCCCCAATGTGATTTCAAAAAATGGGGTGATATTACCAATATGAAACTTGATTTTTAGCGTAAACAACGTAGAGCTTGATTGAGATGTAAACTAAAACAAGAAAAAAAATACAAAACAACATAGTGTAGACTGTATAGTAGCTTATAAGTGGTAATAGATATAGAACTCCCACTCACATTTTCCAGAGTAGTACCAGGCTCACGGGTGCCAAATACTGACGATCCAGGTGATTCAAGCAGATGAGACTCCAGAAGTAGAAAATATATATTTTTTTTGTAAAAAATATCAGTTAAAATATATACACTTTAGGGCACAATATAACAAAGTTGGAATTCCACTTACCCCTCTATGTAGTGGCCCAGATTGTCAGGATACAGATGAAATGACAAATGAAAAATGTTAAGTTGTGTATCTAGGCATGCGTTTTCGAGTGATATCCAGAGCGGGCATTGGGAGGTTTTGGGGAACGCAGTAGTCTTCTCCCCTGTGCTAGAAGGGATGCCCTATAAAAAGGTCTTATGTCCGGCATTCCCAGTCCCCCTTTTATATAGGGATGGTGCCCCCTGGTGTGCTCAATCCTTGTATGGCTGTGTCCTGTTTAATAATTCTTACCAATGGTTCTAAGCATAATATAAAGATTAAGGGGGGGAGAGGCCATCCCTGCCGGGTACCATTACATATATCGAATTGGTTGGAGATGAACTCAGTGCTAAAAACGTTGGCGGACGGGCAGTGATATAGTGCCATTATGCTTGATCTGAAAGCGGGAGGGAATCCCATCTTCATAAGTGTAAGTAGCATATATTTCCAGTGTAGCCGATCAAAAGCCTTTTCGGCATCTAGTGCTAGGAGTATACCCGTTTGGTGTGATTTGTTAGCCCATTCCACTAAATTTAGGAAGTTCTGGTATTGTCCCCTACCGGTCTCCCCTGTACAAATCCTGCTTGCTCCTCCGAGACTAAGTCCGGGAGGATTTATTTTGAGTCTGGAAGCTAAGAGTTTAGCGTAGAGTTTGGTGTCTACATTTAACAAGGAGATTGGATGTAGATTTGCACATTGCGTGGTGGGTTTGTTGGGTTTTGGTAGTGTCACAATATGCGCTTCCAACATTTCTTTGGGCATGGTTCCAGATTCTTTTATAAGGTTAAATAGTTTAGTGAGGGGTGGTGTTAGTTGGTTCGCTAATTTGATATAGTAATAACTGGAGAGACCGTCTGGCCCAGGGGCCTATTGCTTGGGGAGGGATTTTATCACTTCTGCGACTTCTTCCTCCTTGAATGGGTTTTCGAGGAGGGAACATTGTCTGTGTTAGGCTAGGCAGAGGGGGCCCTTTCTAAAAAGAGGTGTATCTCCTCCTCGGTTGGTGTGTTTTGGGATCTGTATCTAGTTGGTATAGTGTTGCATAATATTTTGCCAGTTCGTTCACTGTATCTTGGGGATTGTATAACTTATCCCCATCTTTAGAGGTTATGTAGGGGATTTTAGATTGTAGTTTAGTCTGTTTCGCTTTCCTGGCTAAAAGTTTGCTCGCTTTGTTGCCCGTAACGTAATGAGACGGTTTTAAAAATCTCAGATGTTGTTCTGTTATTGTTAAGTGTAGGTTATGGAGGGCCATTCGGAGCGACATTAGTTGTTTGTGTGTGCTTGCCGTGGGAGCTGCCTTGGCCAGTTCCTGTTCTAGTCTGCTCAATTCCAACTTGCGTGACTTCTTTGCCCGAGCCCCTGTTTGAATTAGTATGCCTCTCGTTACTACCTTATGGGCCAGCCATTGAGTAGTAGTGGAAGTTTGGCAATTAGCATGATTTGTAAAGTATTCCTTTACTTGGGACTGTAGCCCCTGGAGATGCTTTTGGTACATCCAAAAGGCTGTCGTTGTGCCACGTCCTCTAGCTGGGTATGGTATTCGTATAGTCACGCTTTGTGTCGCGTGGTCGGACCACGTAATTGGTCTTATGTGTGCCTTAGTTGCGAAAGGCAAGGTTTTGGTATCTAGTAAACATAGGTCAATTCTGGTGAAGGTCACGTGTGCTGCTGAATAATAAGTAAAATCTCTCCCACTAGGATAGAGGCTTCGCCATGTGTCGTACCTGTTTGTTGTTTTTTGTTTTTTTTAAAAAAGATCTCTATTTAACTTGTAGGGGAGTCTTATTTTCTCTAAGCTGCGGCCAGTGGATCAGCTACGACATCTCCTTGTTACCAACACTGGAGGAGAAGGGGAAGAAATAGAGCAGTTTTTCAAATTGCATCAGGTAACATACCTTTTTTTTAATTCATTGTAGCTAATTTTAAAAATCTGGAGAGAGAAGTTATGCAGAAAGCAAAATATCAACTCTTCTTCACTCCCCCCCACAAATGTTTTTTTTCTCCTTTTAAGGAAAACCAAGCCTGTGCTACTTGCTTGATTCTTGCTTGCTCTACGGCTGCATGCGATCGAGAGGTCTCCACATGGGCAACGCGGGCATTCTTCAGGTACTTTTGATTCTGGTATAATATTACATTCAGTTTTAAATGTTGGTTTCTTTATACACTTGACATCACATGACTGTATGTTTAGTGCTTCCCCTGTAGGAAATAGTAATACTTTTATTTAACAAAATTGCAGCCTTTAGCAGCTGTATTGCATGTGTCCTCCATGCAGGTCATATTCATTCCTGTTACGCTAATTCAAGTTCGCTAGTAAAACGTGTATAAATATTTTATATTTAGTTATTGGAAAAATTAGGGAATTACATGATTTTTTTTAATTCTGTCCCCTGCCACCCCTCCTCTTTAGGTATGGCGGAGAGGCCCAGGTGAGACTTCAGCCTTCACTACCTGCTCCAAGCACTGTGGGACCTATATTTGGTTCTCCTTTGCCCATAGGTAAGAAATAAAGTAGTGTGTGAAGATTTTATGATGTGCATTCCGTCACACATTATGCTTAACGTCTGTTGTGTATTGAAGTACTGAATTACCGGGCAAGCATCATTGTTTTAAATGGGAAATGTGTGCAATTACTCTTCTGTAATTCTGTGGGAAAGATCTTTTCAGACATTCATTTTTTTGTGAGGCAACCGTGATTCAAATATTTGTTAACCAAAATTTTAGTCCGTATGTAGTGTTGTAGTACTTCCAAATCCACATTTTGAAACTGTTAAATCTGCTCTGAATCCTAGACTTTTTCAAAGCATGATGGTTTGATTATTGCATAGTGAGACAGGACACTTCAGGCACCATAACCACTTATGCTTATTACATACGTTAAGGTGCAAAGCAGTCCCCTGTTACCTTGCCCTTAGCTATAATCCTGTTTCTTTACTGTTGTATGACAGAATAAGAAAATATACTTAAAGTAAAGCCAGCCTTGAGTATTTACCTGTAACTTCAATCCAAGCCTGTTTTATGTGATCGTACTGGGGATCGTTGTAAAACACGTGTGAGGTCCATTGTACCATTGCAGAGGAGACTGTTTTATGATATTGTTTGCTACACCCATACAATGCTGGTTCTTTCCTGAAGGAAAAACCTTCCTGGTATTTTGAATCAGAAGCAACACTTCTCTCTTATGCTTTCCGCAAGGTATGACGTCTTTAGGCACTATGAGCAAAGGCTTTGTATTACCGTATTGATAGGGAGATTCTAAGCACTGGAAAAAAAGTAGGATTTGGCCATGTAGGATAACTGCTGACCTTTTGGTGTGGTAAAATCACAGTTTAACTCCATGCAATTCACACATGCTGGTACTTATTATGCACACATGTGCTTCTGATTTTGTTGCTATCTTTGTTCTATCATTTATACATTTATGCAAGTGGAGAAATAGATTTCCGAGTTAATGTGACTGCTTCTTGAATTTTAGCATCCCCTATGACTGTTGCCAGCCCAGGTCCTAATCCCAGCTTTCTTGGTACTCCAACTCAAGGTAAGTGCTTTGTTCATGGACACTGGCATTTTGATGGTACGTTAATGTGTACTTGACTGTTTTGTTTTTTTATCCCTGCTGCAATTCTCAGGTATCTACCCTACAAATATCTCAACCCCAGTGCATATAATTGGAACACCTGTACATCAGCCTACCTCTTCCATAACTGGCATAATGGGACCAGAAGTCGTATATTCTGGGAAACACAATGGTATCTGCCTCTATTTCTCTCGAATTGTTGGGTAAGGTTATTTGTTTATACTAAAATCTGGGGAAAAAGGATAATAAATATTCAAAATCCAGATTTTTTTTTTTTTAAATTTTTATTAGTTTGTTAAAGGGGTATTCTCTCTAATAACCAAAACTGCTTCAGCTTAATGCCTAGATTCAGTCCTGCATCCCTGCAGGCTGATAATTGTAAACATTGCCATTCCTGAGTAACATCACTGTTTACATTTGTCAGTCTGTGTACTTTTATTGGCTGTTAAAAGGTACTTTCTTGTGAAGACTGTAACAAAGGAGTCCTTTTTGATGAATTCAGTAAATTCTCTCCATGGAGATGTGTTGTAATGCTCTCTCTGATAAGAGTATCTTATTAGTGCTACACGTGTGCAGTAAAGCAGTCAGTGCTGCTCCGTGATTGGCGAGGTTTGTGTATGTATGGTTGCATACATGTATTTATTTCTACAGGTGGCTCAATAATCTAAACGTTAGCAAGGCTACACAAATTATAAATATGTGTTTGTTTTTACAGCATTGAAGGTGTGTTTGCATGTGTCTCCAAATATGAATTTGGTCAGTTGGAATGAGAAATTTGATAAATGTTTCTTCTTCTTCTTCCAGTAATATTTGGGATGGAAGCATGACTGTTGAGAAAACCTTTAAGAGTGGGAACAGAGAAGTCACAGTGGTAAGATTGGAAAATGCCATCTGAAAAAGCATCTTTTGGAAATAAATGCGTGATTGTTACAGGAAATTGTTTGCCCGTTTACTGACTGACCTGGTCCATTTCAAAAAGTCATCCTTTTTGTTACAAATTTTTTATGATGTACCTGGTTTTAATGATGTGGCTTACATTTCACTTCAGGTTCAACCATCTTGTTACCCTATCTGCACATCATTTCAATATACCAAATATTATTTTGATCTAAGAGCACTGTTGTGCTGAACTTAAAATCTTCATTAGAGCATTTCAAATTCAGAGTGCCTTATTTTGCACTATTCATTATCTTGGACTTCTTTTGTTTTGTTAGTTCAGTGTTTGCTAAGATAACACCATCTGTGCTTGAATGGAAAAATCCAGATAACCTGCACTCTTTAGTAGCAACTACTTTTGAAAGCCTCTGGTACATATTGCCAGTTTTTCTGGTGCGTCGTGGGCCTTAGTGCTCCTCTTGTTTGTGAGCTATTTTCACCATGCATGGGTAGAGGAACAATAGACACAAACTACTTGAAACGAGTCATGAAAGCATGTCAATCTGTGTTTTCTTTACTTTCTTATGTAGGTTGACAGCAGTGTCACGCCACAACATCTAGCGACAGTGCTCCACAAACTAAAAGGATTACTGGAGTTTCTCGATAGAAATTCACAGTTTGCTGCAGGATCCTTTGGAAACCCTAGGTAAGCTACAGTCCTAAAACTGCGTATATTTTGTAAATTAGAAGTCCATATAATCATGATTGCTGTTGACTAGGTCAGGCCTAACACAGTCCAGGGTAGCTGTAGTGCTAAATCTTAGCCCTCACTGACCTTTTAATGAGGTTATTCTTGTGTGGTTCTATCCAAAACATGAAAGATTGTGAATAAAGGGAACTACGTGGTTAAAATTCTGGAAGTGGGACAATCTCCATGAAAACAAATCTATCACGCAAGTTCCGGGGTGCGTCAGAGATTTTTACATCTGTTGACATAAAATGCAAGGCAGAAAATTACTAAGCGATATAGTTTAATATAAATGCTGAGTAACTTGCCAGTGAAATCAAACCAGCATATGAACTTGCTGCGACCTAGCCCTCTTACACTATTAATATTTTATTTTTATTTTTTCTCTTTCCATCTGAAGTTTTGGAACACCTGCAAACCTTCACCACAGATTCGTGAACCTTGGACGGCATGACACTGGAAATTCTCACCAAGTCCAACAAGAACTCCAGAGAAAATTCCATAGTAAGAATTTGTTTCCTAAATGCCCTACGATTTATTGCTTATATATCAGGTTTGTTTCAGATATCCAAGATGTATACAATCTAAGTAGTGTAGTAAGTGTTCATGCTGGACCATACTGACTTGGTGCCTCTTCAAAGACAATAACTCTTGATCTATACATTACACTGCATTATATAGCATTTTGTGGTTGTTGCTTTGAGTGTTTTTTTTTATTTATTTTTTATTTGTTTTTTTTAACCAACTTGCCAGTAAACACGGTCTCTCTGAAGGGACAGCTGCATGTTCAGGAGCTCTGTACTCTCTTGGGCGTTGTTTTTTGTGGACTTATTGGTGCTCAGTGATCACTGTTTAATGGCACTTTGACTGCACAGTTTCAATACATGTTCTAAAATGGTGATCTACAGAAGCATTTTACATTGTGTGCTGTTACTATGTATTTAGGTTTTTGTTGGGGATTTGGGTGCTGGTAAGAAATCTGTTGAAATGTTTGTATGCGTGTCACTTGCTTTATAGAAGATTTTCTGATTTGGAGGCATAGTTTGATGAAGTGTATATTTTTCAGCTGAAGCACAACTGTCAGAGAAGCTGTCTCTTCAAGGGATCCATCAGCTGGTCAGGAAAACATGCCAAGCTTTGTCCCTGTGGAAACTACTTTGTGAAAACCAGTTTAGTCTCATTGTGGCTGAACTGCCAAAGGTGTGTTTGGAATTCCAATATGATTAGTAAACCACCATTTCTTTAAAGCATTTTGCCTTTCAACTTCCATGCACTTTGGTTCTCTGTAAGATTTTATGTAAGTCAGACATTTTTAACCTCTAATTTTAAAGTGGAAACCTTTTTATTTGTTCCACGCATTTAAATGATCATTAAAACTCCTATTGTTCTCCATTCTGATTGACGTGCAATTTACTGTAACATTACTAACTTCTTTTTCATTTCACAGGAGCTGCATGAGCATTTAAAGATAACTGCTTTTAAAGATCTGGTGGTACGAGACAAAGAGCTTGCAGGAGCTCTGATTTCATCATTGGTCAATTGTTTTATTCGGGACAATACAACAGTTGATGCTATAAGCACTTACCTGCGGGACGTTTGTCCTCTCTTTTACAGCACTGATGATGCAGTGTGTTCAAAGGTACATAATCATAATTTTTTTTTATTGTTTTGGTATTCTTCATGTTAATCACGTGCCTAAAAACTTTTGATACTTTTCTCTTCTTAGACTAGTTTAAATTTTAAATATATAAACTCTTCTGTTATAGACCTGCATGTATTCAGGAGCAGTCACGTTTCTTGTAATTTCTTAATGAAAATTGTGAAAATTTAACTAAAACATTTTGAGTGGATGTTTTCAGGTTCATGGGTTTCTTTATCTTGCAGGCAAATGAATTGTTACAAAGATCACGCCAAGTTCAGAACAGGTTGGACAAAGAGAAGCTGTTGCGAGAATCGTTAAAGGAATACCGCAAAATCAGTCATCAGGTTGATCTTGCAAATGTGTGTGCCCAGTATAGACAAGGTAAATGAGCATAAAGGTGTATTTTTATTTTTTATTTTTTTTTGTCCCAGCATATAATTAAGATGTAGGACTAATTGGGAAAGTGGAGGTGTTGTGGCTGGGCCGCATACATACCGTTAAAATTAAAATTATGATTTTACCGCACATCCTATATCTCTTCCAAACAATCCCTATTGCCCTCCCAAATAAACTCTTTAAAAATTTCCAAATGCTTAGAAATGCTCATATCTGGGGGGAAAAAGCCCCCAAGAATGCCACAGCACCTACATTGCCTTGTACTATAAAGCCTCATTAATTTCCCAGGTTTTGTCAGTAATCACAAACTCCTCATAGCTGTTTTGGCTACATCTGGAAAATGCACAGCCCCAGACATCGTGGCCCATCTTCTTTGGACTGCTGCTCAACCAAACCCAACTAAACATAAAACAATGTTACCAACTACAAAACATCTTCGCGGTACGTGGAAGAGACAAGTGACCTCCTTAAAGGGACACTGTATGCACCCAGACCACTTCAGCCCTTATGTATCCAACATCCTCTGCCTGTTGGAGATGCAACAAATACCGGGGTATGCTGTCACATCTTTTGGGACTGCCCTGCTTTAAAGCCATTTTGAGAGTTAATTGAGGAATTTCTATCCTCAACACTGAATATTAAGATACCCCCTCATCCAGAATGTTTATTACACCTAATCCCCAACATTAAAACTATCGAACAAAAAGTAGTCGCCATACACGTTCTACTAGCTGCAAAGACTGCTATTGCAGCAAAATGGAATTCTACCCATGTTCCCACCAAGCAAGAGGTCCTTGACAGAATAGACAGGACAAGCCAATATGAAGAAATGGCGCATAGACTAAAGGGCAAAAGTGGCAGAGCAGGATTAGATTTAGCAAGAACCAAGTGAGATAGTCAAGGATCGGGGTTTAATAACCCTAATCTAAAACTCATTACTGTTGGGAATCACAATAACTGAATGCTCAGCCCCAATAACTGCAGGATATGGGTCTACTGTCTCCACGCATTGTGTTATAACTTGTTAAGTTTGTTATTTTCGTTCCTCATTGTACTTCTTCACATGTCCATATTTCTGGGGCTTTGTAATATAAAGGGTCATCGATATAGATCAGAGCACACCAACATAAATGGTGTCAAAGTAAAACACGGCAATAGTAATAAAATCACTTTCTGAGCCACAAGACACTCCTATCCACTTAGAACTCCTTGTTCTCGTTTTACTACTCTTGCACATTATCCACTCATTGGAACAAAATTGTGAATTTGAGGATGCATCTACTGGGTGGTCTCAGGAGAGGAGATAAGCGTGTCAAATATATATTTTGATAACACATATACATTATAACATTGTTATCCACACTTATACCACAGTATATGACCATAGCTTTCAGCTAGGCTGTTTCCTGTTCCAGATCTATGCATTGGGGACACAACCCTCCATACGTGGTTAACTCACAAATGCTATGATCTGTAGTCATGAATGTATGTCAATAAGCAGTTTGTGACCTGTCCATGTTAATCCTGATATTGTTACTCTGTACTAGACAATTGAGACCCTATGTGATCTTTGTAATGTATGAAATATGACGTCATATGAAGACAAAAAAAGAAACTTGTAACTAATTTATATTTATACCAATAAAAATGGTACATGGGGAAAGAAAAAGATGTAGTACTAAGTGGGATGTTTTTGGGGCTTGACACATGTACCACTATCTGTTCTCTGAAGTGCGTTTCTATGAGGGAGTGGTGGAACTGTGCCTTACTGCTGCTGAGAAGAAAGATCCTCAAGGACTTGGGCTACATTTTCACAAGAACGACGAACCCGAAGAAGATGCTGCTGGTCTCCAGGCATTCCAGGAGAGGTATGTGTCTTGCTGTAGTCACCTCTTTTTATGTTTTGCTGAGGAAGAGGCTTCAGGATTTGAAGAATCTTTCAAGAGCCAGCTGTGTTTGAATTGCAGTGTTATGAGTTAATACTCATTTATAATAATAAGCATGTTGATGGATCTTTTTTATAAGCTGCTCGAACCTTGTGAAATCTGCTGAGCAGTTAAAATTCTCTTGCAGACATTTGTTGCTTAGCCTACCCTGGGTTCAATAGGCTATGCTGTGTCTGCATTTTGTTTTATGGGTTTTCTGGTGTACTGCATTTCCTATCACTGCACTAGATGAATAGTTTGCATACTCTGACATTGCTCACGTTCTGTATACTCTTTATCTTTTTTTTTTAATGTGTATTTATTTTTATTTTAGATTGAACTGCTATAAGTGCATCACTGATGCCCTCCAGGAGCTGGTAAATCAAAGCAAAGCTGCCCCTCAGTCCCCCAGTGTTCCGAAGAAGCCAGGTCCACCGGTTTTATCATCTGATCCAAACATGCTCAGCAATGAGGAAGCCAGTCTACATGTAAGGAGCTCATAACTTGATTACTGCGGTATTGGGCCTTCTTTCAGAACAGGTTCACTGTAAAATATACTTTTCTAGCTGTTTATGTGATCGGTTACTCATGCATGAATATGAATTTAGCAACTAGACAGGGAAAGCTTTCTTTTATGTGCTCTTTATTCCTTCATTCAAGAGCTTTCAACTTAATGTCATTTAAGCCAAGTGACAAAGTTAAAGATCACAGCAAGTGCACATGGGTATCTTGTTGATCATAGGATTTTATTAACAATGAAGAAATATATACTCACCAGTAGCTTGGACTTTCAGAAGTAGGCCTCCTCCTTTAGATACTAGAAATTGCAAAAAAAGAGCCTTCTTTTTATGGTGCCAGAGATAGATTTCATACCAGAGCTAACTAATATGGGACTCCCCTCCTTCAACTGTGGCACTGTACCCAATGAAGGGTGCTGAGGGAGCTTTCATTGTAATTCTTTTAATAAAATACAAATCTGATAAGTCATACCTCCAGTATAAAGAAAGAACAAACTAGTGGGACTTCTGCCACCATAATTTTACAATATGTTGCGACCCTTTCTGAATTTTTGTAGATGGTCTGAAGTGAAGTCTGTTCCTGTATTTATTGCTGCCTTTTTTTCTCCCCCACTCTAGTTTGAACAAATGCTGAAGTTGGCTCAGCGCTCTACAGACGAACTCTTCAACATTGCGCTGTTCAATTGGCTGATACAAGCAGATCTTACGGACAAGCTATTGGAGGTATGTGTTTTTGCTTTGAAGAACAATTGCACATACAGAGTTATACACTAAAGTGAGAATTCAAATGTATGGCCAAAGTAGCCAAAAGGGAAGTAGAGCTGACTAAGGAGGATTTGTGTGTTAATTGGCAGATTATACATTTTAAAACCAATGATGTTTTGTTATGTTTCTCTGTAGCTTAACTCTCCATTTTTGGAGCCACATTTGGTTCGTATGGCGAAGATTGATCAAAATAAAGTGCGCTATATGGATTTACTCTGGAGATACTATGAGAAGAACCGGAATTTCAGCAGTGCTGCTAGAGTCGTTGCCTCATTGGCAGATGTGCATAGGTGAGACCTCTTGTTTCTCCAGCATGGAAGAGTCTCGACAAATATTTTTCAGAAAGGTTTACAATAATCTTGACTTTGAGGATTTACTTTACATATAGGATATACTGAGAGTTGTGTATAAAGAGCTGTTCTGGGGCAATTTGTAAATATGGTGCAATTGCCATGGAACCAAAAGAATGTTCCTGCAAATTGCTCAACATTTACAGGTTTGTCTCTAAATGACATTTAATGTAATGGAGTTTGCTTTGATGTCAGAGAGTTGTATTCATCTTTTGTTTATAGAAGTTTGTGCAGGTTTATGTTTGTTGGTCTTTTGATCACCAGAAACAACATCTCACTGATCTTGTCATCAAGCATCTGCTCATAATTTTAAAATCCCTACTTCATTACCATTCAGGCTTTTGTAAAAAAAAAAAAATATATATTATTCCTGCAGTTCACCCTCCACTTACTTTTTCCAATGTCAACATTCCACTTTTTAATGTTTTAATATGAACCTTTTTGCACTTTTATTGCAGCTCCGATATTTCACTCAGACAGCGCCTCGAGTACCTTTCTAGAGCCATACTAAGCGCTAAGAGCTCCTCTGGAATGTCTGCCCTGCCTGCTGATGGAGAGTTCCTGCATATGCTGGAAGAAAAAATGGAGGTGAATTTCTAATTTTTCTATGTAGGGGAGTTTTACATGTATTACTACTTCTGTGTCCCTTTTGTTGCCCTGCAAACATGTAGCAATGTTTTGAGTGCAGTAATCTTTTTCTTCCAGGTTGCCCGGATACAGCTTCAGATTCAGGATGCATTATTAAAGCGGAATTTCTCTCAAGCGGAGGTGCAAGAAGCTGTTGCAAACCTAGACTCCCAACTTATGGATATCTCAAAGGTATAATGAATGTAATTTGTGTAGATTGTTATTTCAAGTAGAAAGTTGGCACCAGAATCAACAGGTTTTCAGCCTCTCCCGGGTGACTTTACTGAAAGTGAGAGTATTTTTGTTTAATGGCATTTTACATTTTTGTGATATTACAGTGTTCCATTTAAGAATATTTAACCACTAATACATTATCATCAATTTAAAGTATCCAGTCGTATAGCAGAAGACTTTGTTGAGAAGTCAGAATTGTTGACCAGTATTGAGTGTTAATCTGAATCTCTTCCAGCTTTACGCAGAGTATGCTGACCTCTTCAAGCTTTCTGAATGCAAGTTGGCCATTGTACATTGCGGTAGCTATTCTGACCCCATCATGGTTCAAACCTTATGGCAAGAAATCATAGACAAGGGTATGTCTTCAAATAATTATTTAATTCCTCCACATTAATCTAGCATATTCTTTATTGTAAAACTGTCATTGTGTTGCATTCAAATGTCTTCCATTTGCTCCAAGATTGAAAGTGCGTTTATCTGTTGTCTGTGTGGAATGTAGATTCCCGTACTAGCTTTTCATTTTATTGATTCCTAGAATTGGCTGACAGCAGAGACATGGAACCTGCAAATCAGATGCAATCATTAAATCTGAAGCTTACATCACTTGGAAAGATTTACTCTAGTACACCTCGCTACTTTCCTTTGGGTAGGTTGTCTGGTAGGATTAAAAAACTATTACCTTTGTCTATTTTCTTGATCTTTTCATCAATGGGGTGAAACAAATTTTTTTTTTTTTCATTATTTGATCAGCAATTGGTAACGCAATTCGTTTGGATGTAAAGATGTAAGCATATTTGGGGCAAAATTTACGTTTCTTGACATAAGGTCTAATGCATATTGTCCTCATTGCCCTCTTTCTATAACTGTAGAATTCTTGGTTCGGTACTTGGAACAGCAGGTTTGCAGTTTGAACTGGGACGTTGGTTTTGTCACGTATACCATGGAGGGAATTGATGTGCCCATCTCAAAATTACTTGAAGTTTATGATCACTTATTTAAAGCACGGGTAAGAATACATCACCTATATATAGGCTATTTACTATGATCTCACAAAAGAAATTTGACAATTTTATAGTTCTTTAAAAATATTTTATTATGTATTTCAACATAAATTACTTGTGCTAATAAACAGGTATGAGCATTTACATGGATACGTTATTACAGTGTTCATTCTTTTCAGAACACTGCAGTGGAGATTATTAGCTAAATGTCTAGATGTTGTATTACTTGTGCCAAGCATTGGTAAACTAAATGCATGCTTGATTGTTCTAAATCTCCCATAAGAGAAAAACTAACACAAACCATTGAAATTAGAGAACTTGGTATTGAATTCAACCCACATCTTAAAATGTATTATTGAGACAGCGCATTAACCTCTTCTTGTCGAACATAATGTTAAGAGAAAAAGATCACTATACCTTTTGTTAGCAACTCAGGGCATACCCAACTTAATAATGATTTAAAATATGTATATTTAATTTTAAATGTGCCTTGTTTTGCACCAAATGTCCAGACTATGCCACTTCTGCAGTGACACACTTATTATTTAGATGTCTTTTTTTTATTGGCAATAGACGTGTAGCAGTAGTTATAAGTAAACGGTGTGCTGCAACCATCAGTACTACATACTGCACTGGCCCTCTGTGGCAGCTTATTATTCATGCAGTTGTGTATTAGAAACTCATAACTTGCACACCTTTTAACCCCTTAAGGACCAAACTTCTAGAATAAAAGGGAATAATGACATGTAATGTGTCCTTAAGGGGTTAAACAAAGTACCGGTGGAAGATTAACCCAACAAGTTAATATTTTACTACTACCACCCAGCTGCAGAAAGGCAAGGAAAGTTCGTCACACACTTATTTTCAAACAAAATGTAGAAGTTACCTTTTTACAGACATGGCCTTGCTGAAAAGGAATGACTGACTGAAGCAGGCACTTCCTTTGCAACTTTTCACGCTTTTTAGTGTTTTTTTTTTTTTTTTTAATTATGGGATACAATTTTGACTAGACAATGGCGATTAATAGTCCTTTAGATAATCCACATTTACCCTTGTCCTGACAGGGATTTATTAACTATGTATTTCTTGCAGGAGCCTTACTGGAACCGAATGAAGAAGCCTTTACACTTGCTAGAATGCATCCACATGCTGATCCTCTCTTTTGTGCAAAATCCAAGCAAAGTCCCAAACTACGAAAGGTTAGCAGCCTTTAGTAAAGTTATTTCTGTACTTTTACAGGTGACGTCTAATAGTTTCTCGCATTAATTATATAATCCTGCACAGCCAGTCATGGAACCCATACCCTTATGTATCACATGTGCTCATTACATACTCACCTGCTTTTGGCATCAAATGTTCTAGATTAGGATTTTTTCCATGGTTTTTGTGCAAAAATCGGCAAAGTAATGCCAAAAAGATGACACTATAATCAGAAACTACTAAGGATGCTGATTTAGTTAAAATAAAAAAACATTTATAATATGCTGTGTTCAAAAACCACAACACAGTCTCTGAACTGACAAAAATGCATGACACTATAATCAAAGTAATGCCAAAAAGATGACACTATAATCAGAAACTACTAAGGATGCTGATTTAGTTAAAATAAAAAAACATTTATAATATGCTGTGTTCAAAAACCACAACACAGTCTCTGAACTGACAAAAATGCATAATCCAACCTTTTAATTAGTAGGCCTTCCCAGAAGGCGGTTGATGCAGTACTGTGATTCCATGATCATATTGCTCTCATGGCTGGTAAATTATCTATTGTAGCATTACAAATTGTATTCAGGGTTCATTTTGTGTTACAAAATAAAATGGCATTGGCTAATGAATGGCAAAAAGATGTTTAGCAGCTTATCCTCTCATGGCACTGTTAGGGAACACTTAATCTTAATACGTAACCCAAAATGTTTTGAGATTTGGCTACAGCAGAAGACTCAAGATAGTCAATAACAAAATTAACATGCCTTACAGTTTTAGTTTCAGAATATTCATGTATTGGTTCTAGATCTGAGGTAGTAGTTGGCTTTTTTGTGGTCCTACATTCTAGAATGTTTAGGTGGGAGTGGGGGATGTAGCGGTGAGCACAGCCATAAAGCATGTGGGTCTACCTCTTACACCCAGGAGCTCAGATCTTGCAGATGTTGGCCCACAGCTGCTAGAAATCTTTAAATGCAAATCGATGGCCAGAGCATCATGGGGTTGTAGTTCAGCGACATCTGGGAGATTGAAATATTGGTGTACACAATCTTGATGACGTTTAGAAATCCTCCGACTTTCAAGATTTAAGAAATGCATTATTTAATCATGATCACTATACTTATTTCTATTCTACTCTTCATTAGATTAATGAGTGTATTCATTGTCTTTGCAGGCGGCGCTTTGTGAATGTTTGTTTGGATGTGATTTCTTGCTACCTCGTGCATCTTCAGTCAATGGACTCAACCGTGTCATTGCAGACAGCCATTGGGAACTTCAGGTCTTTGCAGGCCAAATTAGAAAGATTGAACTACTGAGTTCACAAGAGCAGATATCTTCTCTCTTAAGTAATAACTATAAACTAAGAAAAAGCTTCTTTCAAGGATCGACTTCAAGCAATCACCTGGTCTCTGAGCTTCTGCAAATTTGAGCAGACTGACTATTGTATTCTTTTTTTACAAAAAAAAATGACTGTAAATTAATTTAATAGTTCACAGTGGTCATATTTTTTTTAACAGACTTTGCGAAGTTTAGAACCATGTACCAAAAAGAAGAGTGTGGGAAAAAATAAATTTTACAAAACAGTATGCAAATCTTAAGGCCTCACACTTTTTTTAAATTGCTTAAAGGACAACTGTAACCACAAAAAAAACTATTGCAATAGATGCTTAATGGGATTTTTTTTGGGGGAGGGGGGGGGCCAGGGGGGGTTTAAGCATATGTAAACTTTTAAATAAATACCTTGCTTACCTCACACCTAACTGTATATTAGCTAACGGTTTAAAGAAGTGGACTTGAAAAGTGAAGTTATTGAGTTCAGTTACAACATGATTCAGAAATTGTGGCGTTATAGCACAGTGAATAGATGTCAGCAGTCAGTATGCTATGGTAATTACTCTGCAATTCCTGAACAATATTGGAATTCTAATCACAAACTTTTTAGCTCCATTTTTTTTAACTTCCTAAGCTAATATACAATTAATTATGAAGCAGTGAGAGGTAAGAAAATGTAAAAATGTACATATACTGTGCAGTTATATTTTGGTGACTGGTGTCCTTAACGCAGTATAATTGAAAGGCCTCAATTTGCATACTGTTTTTTTTCTTGGTACACAGTTCTAAGTTGTTGCAAAGTCTCTTAAAAGGCTTTGTAACAGGTTAGAATGTATGGGTATTAACAAAAATAAATAAGTACCCAGTTTATGCCTGAAGATACTCTCAAAACCAACTGGTACACCTGGGAGATTAACTAAAATGAACCTAGTGGCAGCCATACTGAAAAGCCCTCACAGACCTACACCTCCTATGACACTTTGCCAACCTTAAGCTATCTGGAGATCTATCCTTGATTGCCCCAGACCTAGCCCATCCAGACATGCTAGAAAATGTTTTTAGAGCACACCTCAGAAAGCAATTGTGCAGAACACCATTGTGGAGATCCCTACATACATTTTACAACCAGTACAAATTGAACATGATCTCTTTCTGGGATCCAAGGTTTGGCAAGATAATCTTTCAGTCCATTATTAAAATGCAACACATGCAAGTGACAGTTTAAGCATTTATCTTTGGTGTTATATTTTCCTTATTTTACTACAGTCTTATATGGTCTCCCAACACTGCTTAATACAATTGATTATTTTTGTATCAACTGAATGCTTGACTTTATATTCAATTTCTCATTGTGTCCGTTCGTACAGGGGACAGTTTGTGCCAAATACTGAAGTGACAGAGGGGGTACTGCTCTTTTAAAGGAACCTTCCGGGCACCATAATCACTACAGTTTGCTGTAGCTGTTTGATTGCAAAGTAGCACTTCCTACATTGTAAGGCAGGCTACCCCAAACTCCAACTCCCATGATTCTCAGCCTGTTTAATTCATAGAATCATGGGAGTTGTAGTTCAGCAACATCTGGAGGGCCGGAGTTTGGGGAAGCCTGTTGTAAGGTGTTAAACCATTTTTGAGCAGCATGACTTCTTACCTGGAGTGCACTGAGTAGTGTTGCCTACCTCCACTACAAACTCCAGAGAGCCAGAAGTTCTTCAGTGGGGACTTCCATTAGCTAAGCCCATGCTCTCAGCCAATAAGCCCTGCATTGTAGTGGAGGGGCAAAAAAAGTTTGACGCCATGTTGGGGGCGCGCAGTGGGCTGTAGTGGTTATGGTTTTTGTTCTTTCACTTAAAATGATTACGTTTTCAGAATGGACAAATTGAAAAGATTGCTGATACATTGCAGTGTCTATTAACTTGCACGACACAATTTATTATGAATAATACTAGATCTATGCCCGGAATGGTGGTTAGTTTTGATAATATACAAAGTACTCTGCCAATATACAGAACAATCACCATTATAGTCATACATACCTCATTCAGTCTAGACTTTAAGACCCATCAAAATGCTGCGTTTAAGCATATCCATGTGTATGAATATTACAGACTGTATTTTTTTGTCTACTCGGCCAAAGATGCATTTTGCCACTGCCACCTCCTCTTCGCCCTCTAATTGTGCAGCTCTCATTCGGATATCATAAGCATGCTAACTAGCACCAAGATATCTGTGTGAGAGCCGCACAGTCATGATTCCGACAATCACAATGTTGCATTTACTTTTAATACACCTGCAGGCGTAGAATTTAAGGGCCCACTACACGCTCAAAAAAAAAAAAAAAAAAAATGTACACTATTTTATTTACTTATTTTATATGGTTCCAGCAAGCCTACCTACAGTTGTTTGGGAATGCTGGAGTGGATCACCTCCCTGGTGATTAGTGGGTGCTGCAGTGATTTCTGGGAATTCTCTACCCAGCTCCCTGTGTGTGCCTAGTACTGATATAAGAGCTGCAGAGATGTCACATTCCAGCATTACTGCAGGACACAAGAGGGAGGTGTGCAACCAGAGCACACGGTGATCCCAGCTCCCACACCACCCACAGGTTGTAGTGGTTATGACACTGGAAATGTATTTTTAAGGGAAAATTTATTTTCCACCTTATTTTACAGCATTACCCGAATGCTCCCTTTACAATAAAATATACTTTAACAACAATTTGTTGTACACCGTTTTGGTCACTGGGTGATCTTGTTTGGGCTTCTCTAATACAATGGAGATCCGCTAAGGCCCATAATGCTTTTTCCTGATATAGACATGGCAGTAGTTTCTTATGGGTTAGACCCTCTCTTCACAGCAGAAAGTACAGGAAATAGAACTATAAAATTAATATAAATCGATCGTCACTGTCATGTCTTTCATAGCAGTTTGAAAGGAGTCTGTTAGCAGGCCTAGATTTTTACTTGCACACCAGGCCAATATTTTTGGGTTGAGTCTCTAGTCCCTGAAGTGTCAAACAGCACATATGCAAGAGTTGCCTCCCTGGGTACCGGGGGCAAGGTTGCAATTGCCCCGCCAAGCCGCCTTTAACTCAGGGCCGCCCGCATCCAGCAAAAAAGGGAAAAATCCGAATGGACTCTATTTTTCAAATTCGCTCTCAGTCTGCAGCCAGTGGAGTCAGCCAGCTTCTCCTGATGGCAGGAGGAGGGGGCGTGACTTTTTTGACTGCTCTTCCCACAGGACCGCTTGGGAGTCTGGGAGAAGAGCAGAGGAAGTCACATACCCTCCTCCTGACATCAGGAGGGGCCAGATGGTTTCACTGGTTACTGCCTACCCCTCTCTGGCCTAAGGTAAGACTCAGGGAGGGAGGGAATACACGTTAGTTTTTTTTTTTTTTTTAAATCCGCTTCCTCAGCCCACAGCCCCCATAACATCCCCACTACAGCGCCTCTCCCCTAATTGCAACCCATATCACCCACACCACAGCCCCTTTCCCAAATTGTATACATCAACCTACTTCAGCCCCTATCCCCCCATTAACTTTCCTAACTCTCCCCTCCCCCCTACACAGCCCTATCCCCTTACTCAGCCCCTGTCTACTGGCTTTAAAAGTGTAAAGTTTGTGTGTGTGTCTCCGTATGCCTGTAACAGTGTGTGCTCTCCTCCCCCTCCCCCCCCCTTCTTTTCAATCACATGGGTAAGGTGTTTTTACTCTCCTCTTGGTGCAATGTGCCACTTGACTGGATTTGCCCCTAAGGCTGCCAGCCCTCCCCTGCTGGGTACCCCCTTTAGTGACTGGATTCTGGCCTAACTCACTAAGGGAATAGCAGAGGTCCACTGGACACAAGGCTAAGCCTGTCTTTCTGAAGACCCAGTAACCAGCACTTACAATAGGTGACTACATGGGTGTGCCTCTTCTATATATACCACCATATCCAGGGTCTGTTATAAACCTTAATCCCCCCCCCGCCCCAAATTGGTGATGGCATATTCCCTCTATGGCTGTTCTGTTTCCCCATTTATGATTAGTAGAAGTACCTGAGTTTCTGTTCTTTCCAAGTTCAGGAGGTTTTTGTTGAGTATTTAGGTAACTTCATAAATCTTGTGTTTGCATTTTATATAATATGGCCATGTCAAGTCTGCCTGAATACTACAGTCCTGAAAATCGAGAAAATGGTAAATACCAACGGTAAGAGAGAGCTTTCCTGGGTGACTAAACATTATATACAAGAATACTTCAATTAAAACATGGTTTTAAGTCCACACACATACTTGTTCCTATCAAGGCATGTAGCTGATTTTTGCCCTGTGGGGCATATGTCTCCAGAGATTAAAAATATTCAGAAAATGGATCATGCTTCAATGGAAAAATTATAGCTGTCACTTTTTCCATTCTAAGCATAGCTCCACCCACAGCCAAATCAGGAAAGAAAATAGTCAAATTGAAGAAGAGACTGTATGCATGAAAGGTCCCTCGTCCTATACTGCAGTCAATATTTAAACAATTAAGAATAGTCATCCCCCCCAAACTCCCCTGTCCCAACTGACAGGCAGGGATTTTTTGTTGATCCCACATAAAATAATTTTCATTTCTGGGCTCATTACCATGTTTAACATGGTTCTACAAGGGGGAGTTCAGCCTCTCTCCCCCTGTAGAAACCAGTAAACGGGCTGTGTTGGCAGCACTAACTGGTTTGAGTCCCTTGTTAGCACAAGAGACTCCACCATGGGAATAATGTCACATAAAATACCAGTTTATACAGCAGGGCAAGAATAGCCTCCCCTCCAAGTAGTGTGGGAAGCCATCAACTTACCTTCAGTTGGAGCATTCTTGGTCACATTTCGGCAATTTAGGAGCTGGCTGTACTCGGATTTAAGGTTCCCAGAATCCAAGATGGCGGCCGCAGCTTCAAATTATCTAATTTAACAATACTGGGGAGGAGGGGACTTATATTGACTATTCTTAATTGTTTGATTAATTCCTGTCCTGACAGCTGGGGAGTAGGTAACCCATAAGTGATGCTGCCATGTAGAATAGCCAGGAAAAGAAAATTACGATAAGTTTGTAAATAATTTTCTACTATTTGTAACATATTTTACTAAAAGGACTCGACTATATACTGTTGTGTTTGGTCTATTATTTTAGCCTATATTGTCTTCTTCTATAGATGGCCTCTTCCTCACATCATTCAGTCTCTAGAAAACATACATAAGCCAACGTCTTATTTTTCTTTATATTGGGGATAAAGTGCCAAAGGGCCCCATCATAACTGTATGGCCAAGCAAGAGCTGAGCAAAGTGTCCCAGGAAGCAGAAAGATAAATCCAATCGCTGCATGGGCTACAATCAAATAGCTCCTGAGGGAAAAATGTATACCTAAACTGCCAATCTGAAGTCATAGAATTATATCCTAAAAAATGCTCTCCGCTGGAAGAGCTTAAATCCTGGATAACACAGACCATTGCAGAAGGATTTAAAGCTACTGATAAAAGCATGGCCCCATCTTAAAGTAGATACCATTTCTTCCACATCAGATTCCAAAGCAGACTATTTTGAATGTCTCTCAGAAGATGAAGTATGTAAAATAGCTTCCTGTTTCCCTGGCTGGGTACCTCCGCCAAGGACCGCTTCCTAGCTGGAATAGGGGAAAAACCGCAGCACTTCTGCCCACAGTCGCCATGGCTTGACTGGAGACCTGGAGCTGCTCTCTCCCGGAGCCGAATGGGGAACTCGCTCTAGCAACCCACAGGCACTGGACGACACTCCGTCCTGAGAGCTCATGTCCTGGAACTGCTCCCTCCTGGAGCCGAATGGAGAATTCGTTCTAGACAACCCGAGCCACTGGATGACACTCAGTCCTTGGAGCTCTAGTTCTTACAAGGACTTTCCCCGTTGAATCCAAACAGTGATTAAAGAGTAGCCCTTTCCCCTCCCAGTAACCAGACGACGACACATAGTTCTGGGAGTACAAGCTGGGATGCTTTAATGGCTTTATATGCATGTCCCCATGCAAGGGTCACTCCCCACTGGACCTGAGAGTAAACCACAGTAGAAATAAATACGCAATTACACTGGCTTTCAGGTCCAGGACACTCCTATACAAAATCTGATAATCCCTCCTCTGTGCCTGGGAGATAATTGGATCAGGAACTGTACTAATCTAATCCAATTATCTCCAAGCTAAAAAAAACAACACATTTTTCAAAACACCCCAAAAGTACCTTTAAAAATACATAAAACCCCACAAAAGTTACATCCCCCGATAGCCATGGCAGTGGATAAATTAAAGGGATTCTCTAGTGCCAGGAAAACAAACCCTTTAATATCCAACATTAGAGAAACGCCAAGGATTCCAAAAGAAAAATCTGAATCCTTACAATCAGGCAGGTTCTTTGAAGAACAAAATCTTCACAGCCTACCTTTCTAGCTGATCATTCTATTAAAAACGATAGTGATGAATTTAAAAGGCCGGAGAAAAGGTTACTCTAAAAAAAAAAAAAATAGAGCTCCAAAAATGTATCTGTGTGGTTCTAAAGATTGTAAACATTGGTCGATTGAGTTTCAGACAGATGGAAAAATTGAAAAAGTGCCAATTTAATGACAAGTGGTCCTCACTTACCTGAATAACGATGGCTCGGACTTACAACCAGCTCTCTAGCATAGGGATTCGAGAAAGAAGCCTTCACTCAAAGCTAAGAGAATGCCACCAAGAAGTTCATTCATATTGTGGAATCATAAGACCAGACAACAGAGCAGTTGCGGCTTACATAAAGGAGGTACGAGAAGCAAGCCTGAAAGTTTTCAAACCTTTGACAGAACAGTGGGGCATATCTCTAATCGATCTCATGGCCACCCGGAGGAACTCCGAAGTCAACGTGCTACTTCTCCCTGGCTCAATACCCACAAGCAAAAGGTCAGGATGCCTTTTATCAAACCTGGAATTTTGATCTGCGCTATGTGTTACCGCCCCTGCCTTTAATTACCAGGGTTTTGAAGAAAATGTAGATGGAAGGAAGGTAATAACAAATCCAAACCCTACTTAGCAACTCTGCTCCTCATTGGGACTTATCATTAGTCTTAGACGCTCTAACCAAATCCTCTTTTACTAAACATCAATATTCATTAACTTACTTAAAAAGGTCATATTTCTGGTGACCATTTCTATTGCAAAATGCATTTCTGAACATCAAGCTTTCTCAAGTGATAGAATTATTTTTGCTCTCTCTTAAATCTGTTTTTGTTGCTATCTCTTCCAAACATTCCAAAGGTGAGTCAGATAGGATTGCAAGACCACAGGAAGATCCCAAAGAGGTGTAAGGTGTTTAACTAGAGGTCTAATCCTAAGCACCACCTTAAAGAACCTCATGGCAATATGATTCATCTAATGTTGTTAAAGGCAAATAATGAACTTTATAGGTGGTTCGTGTAAGGAACATAGAAACATAGAAATTCAAAGAATTCAAGAATATTGGCCACAGAAGTTTTCAAAAATGTAATATGTTTAATGATCTGAATATTTCCCATGTTTTATGGTAGCAGATGGAGTTGGAGATTTTTCTAGTTTTTAAAAGGCTATTTGAAACTGTGTTCGGGAGCCACAGATTACTGTAAGTGAAAGTTTAGGCTCCAGTGATCATCAGTCAGTGTTGTTTAATATAAAAACAGTGACTAAGTCGCACCACACAAAAACAAAAGTTTTTTTTAAAAAACAGACTTTTCTAAAATTAGAATGTGTAAAAGAGGTCAAAAGAGCAATTTAAATGGAGTCCAAGAGAAATTGGATCATTTAAAAGTTGCACTGCTGAAGTCAACAGAAAATTGCATTAGGCTTGTCAGTAAAAGCAAAAAATTCAAGAAACCACTGTGGTACAATGCAGATGTGGACAAAATAGTAAAAAACAAAAAGTTAGCATTTAGTAATTATAAAATTTTTTTTTAAAAAAACAGAATGAGGAAGACAGAATGCTCTATAGGATTAAGCAGAAAGCGGCTAAGCAAGTTATAAGAGCTTCCAATTCACACACACAAGAGAAATAGCACAGTCAGTTAAAAAAAAAAAAATAAAAGGGTGAAAAATGTTTTTTTAGATACATAAATGAGAAACGGAAAGTAAAACAAGGATTAGTTTGATTAAAAACAAAAGAAGGAAGAGGATAAGGGTCTAGCTGACTGCCTCAATAGTTTTGTTCAGTATTTACAGATGAAAATGAAGGAAAAGGTCCTCCGGTTAGGAAAAAGGACTAATGAGTAATTTGTTACATGTGAGTTTAAAGATGAAGAGGTTATATTTCAACTATATTTGGATCAACAGCAAAAAACAAATGTGAGGAAGGCTGAACTTGATGGACGCAAGTCTCTTTTCAGCTATGTAACTATGTAACTGTCAAAAGTAAAGACAAATAAGTCAATGGAACCTGATGGAATACACCCAAAGTTATTAAAAGAGCTTAGTGGTGTACTAGCAAAACCATTAACCGATTAATTTAACCAATCATTAACAGGAGTAGTCCCAGAAGATTGGAAGTTAGTGAATGTTGTGCCCATTCACAAGAAAGGTAGTAGGGAGGAGTCTAGCAACTATAGGCCAGTAAGCCTTACTTCAGCAGTGGGGAAAGTAATGGAAACCATGTTAAAGGATAGGATTTTTGAACATCTAAAATCACATGGATTTCAAGATCAGAGACCGCATGGGTTTACTTCAGGGAGATCATGCCAAACTAATCGTGTTGATTTTTTTGATTGGGTAACTAAAATAATAGATAAGGGTGGTGCAGTAGACATTGCTTACCTATATTTCAGTAAGGCTTTTGACGCTGTTGCACATAGAAGGCTTATCAATAAATTGCAATCTTTAAGTTTGGATTCCAATATTGTTGAATGGGTAAGACAGTGGCTGAGTGACAGGCAACAGAGGGTTGTAGTCAACGGGGTATATTCAAAGCATGGGCTTGTCACCAGTGGGGTACATCAGGATTCTGTACTTGGACCCATTCTCTTTAATATCTTTATTAGTGATATTACAAAAGGTCTGGTAAAAAAAATAGATGGTAAGGTATGTCTTTTTGCTGATGATACTAAGGTATGTAACAGGGTTGATGTTCCAGGAGGGATAATCCAAATGGCAAATAATTTAGGTAAACTAGAAAAATGGTCAGAGTTGTGGCAACTGTAGAAAGTAGAAATCCAGGCACTCCAAATTGTTCCAACTAATAGGCAATTTTTATTGGACCCAAGAACCACACAACGTTTGGACCGCTTAGGGCCTTTGTCAAGCGGTCGAAACGTTGTGTGGTTATTGGGTCCAATAAAAATTGCCTATTGGTTGGACAATTTGGAGTGCATGCATTTCTACTTTCTAAAATTATACTTTATACATGGTCTCTTTGGTGCTGGGACTGATCCAGCAGCACCCTGAGATTCCATAGCAAAGGGATAAGTGCAGTTCCAGCACCTACCTATCAAGCGTTGTGGCAAATGACATTTAATGTGGATAAGTGCAAGATAATGCATCTTGGACATAAAAACCCAAAGGCAGAATATTTGACAGAGTCCTAACCTCAACATCTGAGAAAAGGGATTTAGGGGTGATTATTTCTGATGACTTAAAGGTAGGCAGACAATGTAATAGAGCAGCAGGAAAGGCTAGCAGAATGCTTGGTTGTATAGGGAGAGGTATTAGCAGTATTAGCAGGATAAAACTTACAAGGCAAGGTTAAAGGAACTTAACATGTATAGCTTGGAGGAAAGACGAGACAGGGGGATATGATGGAAACATTTAAATACATAAAAGGAATCAACACAGTAAAGGAGGAGACTATATTTAAAAGAAGAACAACTACCACAAGAGGACATAGTCTTAAATAAGAGGAGCAAAGGTTTAAAAATAATATCAGGAAGTATTACTTTACTTAGAGGGTAGTGGATGCATGGAATAGTCTTCCAGCTGAAGTGGTAGATGTTAACACAGTAAAGGAGTTTAAGCATGTGTGGGATAGGCATAAGGCTATCCTAACTATAAGATAAGGCCAGGGACTAATGAAAGTATTTAGAAATTTGGGCAGACTAGATGGGCCGAATGGTTCTTATCTGCTGTCCCATTCTATGTTTCTATGGTCTTTCAAGAGCCATGCCGCTAGGTTTAAAGACTGAGGTGGAAAGTGGACTGGCAACATATATCTCAAGGGGAAACGGTGGGAACCATGTACAAGTTATTTACTGAATACCGAGTTTTGGTTGTTTACACTGCCGTGATGTAAGATGACGATTGATTTGTTACCGTTACTGAATGTTATACTTGATACGCTTTTGATTATAAAGTAGCAGATACACACAAGTCGTGCGTGACCTCAATCTGCTCAAATTTGAATCGAAATAAGCTGTTCTACCATTACTTTATCTAATAAAAACAGATTCACAAAAAAAAAAAAAAGAAAGTGGACTGACAAAAGCATCAAACGCTATTTTGGGCAAGAACCACATGTGCGGTCGGTCAGAACTTTACCCTGGTGTCGTTTCCCCTACAATGCATGAATCTGAGCGCTTTCTGGACAACTCGGGTGCTCAAATCAGGGCTGTATGGGGATGTAGGGCATGTGGGGTTAGGTTTTAATTGTGTTTTCAATACGGATAGGCTCCAGGAGGACCCCAGTCAAGCTAAGGCTTGACTAAAACTGATTGCCATGGTGTGCCAAGTTTATGCATTTAAAGTTGATTGCCCTGATGTGCCAATTGTATGCATCTAAAGCTGGTTGCCATGATGTGCCAATTTTAGGCAGCTAAAGTAGCCATGCTGTGCCAATTTTATGCCTTTAAAACTGATTGCCATGGTGTGCCAATTGTATGCCTCTAAAGCAGATTGCCAAGGTATTCATTTTTAAAATATGCATTAAAAGCAAATGAGTCTCGAAAAATTTGATTTTATGGGTCTTGGCCCATAAAAGTTTGGGAAGCCCTGATTTAAATAATTGCAATCAGTATTACTCTATGCAGCTGGGCAGTTAATGGTCAGGCCGGGGAGCATCATTGCACACGCACAGCTAAACTGAGTCAGCTGTTTATGTGCAAAGCAGCCAGCTTCCTTGCTGATTCAGGAAAAAAAAATACCAGCATTTGCATTCCCGGTGTTTTAAAAGGGACACTATCATCACCAGAACAACTCTAGTTTAAATTAATGTAGTTGTTCTGGTGTGTATAGTATGTTCTTGCAGGCTTTTTGTTGTATATACCGCCTTTTCAGAGAAAAGCCAGTGTTTACATTGCTCCCTAGGAACACCTCAAGTCGCAGTCACTCAGAATGCCACTAGAGGTGCTTATGGGTGACATTCAGCGTCTCCACATTCTGCATGGAGACGCTGAACATTCCTTATAGAGATGCATTGATTGAATCTCAGCCAATCCTTTCCCACAGGAAAGCATGGATTGGCTGAGATCACCAATTCTGATTATCTTGGCCACGGAGGCAGATTGGGGCAGAGCAAGCACCGGCAAACCTGCGTGACACTGAAATAAAGGTAAAATGTAACCTTATTTATTAGGGTAAAGGGGAGGGGCAGAACTTAAATAGTTTTGGGGTTTTTTTACACTATAGGGTACGTAATGCACGTTTGTATTCCTGACCCTGTAGTGTTCCTTTAATATACCAGTTCCAGATGGACAGCCTCTGATACTGGCTGTGCCAGTAACCCTAGTATCTCTCATCCTCTCTGGCAACCCAAGTTTCTCTTATACGGTTAACCCCTGTCTGTGTATCCCCTTGCTCCTCCTTGTGCCCCCCTCCTCCACATACCTGATCGGTAGGCTGATTACAAGCTGGGAACTGAACTGCTGGCTGAACCTGCTGCCTGAGTAGTGTTCAGAGAGTAGAGAGAGGCAAGGAGATAAAGGAACTTCCTACACAGTGCCACCTACTGGCTGGCACCAGTATTGCTGTGTAATTTCATATGGGAAAAAAATACAGCAATTTGTATTGCTGGTATTGCCAGGCAGCCTCAAATACCAGCTATGCCAGATGGCAACCCTAGCAATCCAATGTGGCAACTGTTAAGAAAAATTAGAAATTCTTGGTGCAGTATTAAGATCATTTTATTAAAAACATATATACTGTTAGTCCACCCATTGTACAGTGCTACGGAATTTGCTGGCACTATATAATAAAATAATAATAACAATATATGAATTACATTTGAAATCATAACAGCCAGCATTGAGAACACCGGCAATTAATGACACAGCGGTTACAAGATTGTTGTTTTAAAATTATGCTAATCCAACAAAAAATGTCTTACTGATAACACAATATTTATTTCTGTATCTATGTAACTACTAACAAACTGCAGTGTTTACTTTTGTAATTACTAAAATACAAACATTTGGAGACAATAAAACATCAAAGTAGAAGGGTTTCTATGCCATTCACAGGAGCATAGACTAGACCAGACTACAGCTGCAGAGAGAGCATCACAGAAAGTTAAATAAATGTGAATATTTCTTGGGTGAAATTAGGATCTGATGGCTGGAGCTAGCCCAGCTGATCCCATGAACAAAGTTTGCCAAAAGGTAGATTACAAGATACTTTGCCCAGTTGTTAAACTACATTACCCATGATTCCTTTGTGACGATTCCTTGTTCCTTCACACTAATAAATACTTTACTGCGGTGAATAATGTTAGTTCCCCATGATGCTAATGCACTCTTGGACACCGACAGAAAGATGCTGTACAACTGCATATATGTACAGTCATTCCTTCTATAGTGCTGTATGGCCCTGGAGAGGTTCATTTAATATACTCGGACAGACAGGGATGCCGCCTCGTCAAATAAAAATAAGAACTAGTGAGATATTTTTTAAATAAATAACGTTTTGTCAACTATCGATTTAAGCATGAATCTCACTAGTGGCAATCCCTCTTCTAATTTCCTCCTCTAAGTTTGAGACAGCAATGCATCATGGGAGTTGCAGTTCTACAGTAGCTGGGGAATCTACTTTTTGACCACCATAGATCTTAGAAGAAGTAAGAAAGACTGGGTTCTGTGCATATTCACGACAAAACCTCTAATATAATCATTTAATGTAAATTTAAATTAATTTCAGGATTCTTCTTGGAAAACCTACTCGGACTGACACAGCATACAGTTTTCCATTTATTAACCCCTTAAGGACACAACTTCTGGAATAAAAGGGAATCATGACGGAATATTTCCGTTGTGTGTCCTTAAAGGGTTAATTGACTACATCTCTCTTGAGTGACTAGGAAATGCCCCTGTTTAATGGTTTCAATATTATTTATAGCAAGTCCCAGACGCATCATTCATTTTTAACGACAGGGGCACTTTCCCAAACCATAAATAAATATATAAGGTATCACGGTAGTATATGAAGCTGCAATTACACTTGCAATGTTGGCAAGCTCTTTAGAACCACCAGTACTGACTTGTATGCGAAGTACCAAATGAACCAGCCAGAAAGCAAAGAATATCCCAACCACAGCTGTGATGCTTATAGTTGCTCTAATTTGTGTTTCTGCAGAGAGATGTCTAGATGGAGTCTTAGCTGGACATTGTTTATTGGTAAATTGTGCCTTAGTATCTTCCAGTAAGCAGCTCTCCTGAGGACAAGCAGGTACGGCATAAACCATTTCAGAATTACACGTAGCTGGCTGATCAAATTCTTCATGTAGGTGCATGGTGTTTGATTCTGGAACCAAACCATTACTTTCCACATTGCAGATGAATGCTTCCTGGGCTACTTTATTATAGCTTAACATACAAGGATCATAAATTATGCTCACCGGTTGCAGTTCTTCTTTCTCGTTGTTCAAGGTTTCTTTTTCATTAGGACTTAGTCTTTGAAACAACACTCTTCTTTCCACATTTGAAATAATCACTTTCACTTTACTATCGACATTTGGACTAGAGTTTTCAATGGCTATCAACCCTTTTGTTGTAGTTGAGACACAAGACATAGACTGTTTAAAAACAATATTCCCCACACAGTTCTTTTGGCCTTCAGACTTTGGATCAGTGCTTCCTATTGCTTTACAATTTTCAGTGCCCATATTAAGCCTTGGAGAGATAATTAATTTTGAATTTGTAGCCTGACATCTCTCCTTTTTTGGGAGTTTCAATGCAGTAATGCGTCTTCTATTCCTGGTTAAAACCGTAATGATCCTTATATTGATAACTAGCATAGATATGATTGGAAGAGCATTGGCTAACAAGAGATACATGAACTCATACGTGCTTTTTTGAAAACCAGTAGGGAAGCCATCCCCGCAAGCAAAAATCCTTTCTACTGACTCCTTCTGGGATTCTTCATTTCCATTCTTCATGACATAGACGCTACAGTAGGAGAAAAGTGGGGTGCTAAAGATGATAGCTACAATCCAACCAACAGTCAACGAGATACCCAGCAGACGAAGCTCAGATTTCTGTAACATTTTGCAGTTGGCTGGTCTGGATACCACCAGTTTGTGAAACCAGAAAATGCTTATGGTAAGTGTAGTAAGGATACTGTCAGTGATGGTCAGACTTGCAGTAAACATGTATATTTTGCAGTAAATATTACCCAGAAACCATGTTTCGTAGACTTCAGCCAGGATACTTGGGATATCCACCATACAGTTAGTGAGTAGGTTAGATAATGCCAGGTTGATGAAGAGAACCTTATAGGTTTCGATTCTGGAATGTTTTGATGGCAGCGAACACAATAACAACGACAGATTTCCTAAAATACCAAGGAAGCACAGTAAACCCCGGAAAAAAATTTCAGCAACTTTAGATTCGCGCAAAGGCATTTTCAAAGTATAAGAAATGTAGACTTAAAACCCAAACGTTCTCAGCTACAGTATCACCGACATAAACCAATCTCTTGCCTGTCTCTCAGGTTGTTTGTTGGGTTTGTTCTAAAGTGTACTGTGTCTTCACGTAGGGTTGATGTCATCCTATGCCAATTATAAATTTGGTTCCCACTTGTTTGTGCACATTACTCTAATCCTTCTGTACATCCGACTTGTAAATCTTCAGGGGTTTGCTATGCAGAGGATTAGCATTCCCTGTCATTCATACACACTGTAACTCTGGGAAACCAACATATTATCGAAGCATCCAGATGATAATGAGGTCATTAACAAGAAAACTTATGCTTACTATGGTTCAGGCTAGAGCAAAGTACATTAACACGGGATTGATCAGCATGGGGCTTGGTACAGTTGGAATGTAGCTCCTATATATCTACATTGACCGTAAAGCCTAAAATATAGGTAGATAACCTGCAGATCTCCAACTTAGAGGACAACTCTTTAACTAATCAACAGCTTGAGTGATGCAGATTATGTGCCCTATTCTATGCTTTTAAATAAATGCATGTTGTTAACTACAGGTCATGTCTCTGCTGTAATTCTTTTCCAATTTACCTGAAGGACAACAAATTTTTGAAATTGCCTCGATACCATAAGGCTAGACTTTAATTATAACTTGAAGGTAATCAGTTAATAGGTAATTAAAACCTCTCAACAAGTAATAAAAATTAGACGCACATTTGGACTCAGAATAATTTAATTTCAGACAATTTTCAGAATTCTGAAATTCCATAGCATCCAAAATGATTGAAAATAAAAGATTTCTGAACAAATCAGTGCAAAATTTTTCAGGTCCATTCGTTTTCATAAGGAAAGCAAATTAGGGACTTATTTACTAAGCAAAATAAAAAAAAATTTTTTTTCTTAATTTTGATCTTTCAGCTGTTTAGTAGATAGCTCCCTGATTTGGTATCCTTACATGGGATTGCCATAGTTAAGGATACCAGATTAGGGACTTCTCTATTAATGAACTGAAAGAGCAAATTTAAGAAAAAGGACTTTTATTATTTTTGATCTTTCAGCTAATTATGTATCACAAGCATGTCAAACTCGCGACCCATATTTGCGGCCCACCTGCCCTGGGGCCACTTTGTGGCTACGACCAGCCGCAAGACAGGAAAGATATTTCCTGTCTGATTCTTGTCTTCCCTCCCACAGCCGATCGTGTGCTGCTGCAGGCCAGCCACTCCCCCTTCCCTCCTGCTCACAGTGCCAGAGGAGTGTCTGGCCTGCTTGAGCAAAGAAGAGCAGGGCTGGAACTGGAGGACGGATGGCTCAGAAAGGGAGAGGGCAGTGTATTAGATTGGGGGAGGGAGTGGGCATATTTATTTATTTAGGGGAGGAAAGGGGCCAATGTATTAATTTGGGGGAGCAGTGTATTAGAGTGGAGGGAGGAGGGCAATCCCCCACACTGTTTATGAATAGACTGCTAGTAGGTCTTCTTTACACCGGATCCGCCACATACGACTGGATCTGCAGCAGTACGCTTTTCACCAAGAGCCCACAAGGTACAGCTTTACTTCAGGCTAAATCAGCAACCCATGGAACGGAGCTCTCAGGCTTTGCATCCTATCGCCAAGGTGGTCAGGCTCCGCCCCCGCAGGCAACTTTTTTATACTGTACTTGTAGCGGACCCCGGGGAACCCGACCGCTTACCTCTGCTAATTCCCTTCCTTCAGCCACTCAGGAACCATCTAGAGCAGGGATTCTCAACGTTAGTCCTCAGGAACCCCTACCAGTCCAGGGTTTAGGGATTACCTGGGTGTGCCTAAGGTGTTTAGAAAAAGAAAAAAAAAACACCTTAGAGTCAAAGGTGTTTTTTTTCCCCTTTTTCTAAACACCTTAGACACACCCAGGTAATCCCCAAATCCTGGACTGGTAGGGGGTCCCGAGGACTGGGTTGAGAACCCCTGATCTAGAATATAAAAATACCCATTTCACCCCTTGTAACTGGACAACACACAGTCCTGGAAGTACAACACAATTTTATTGGCCACACATGGCTTTTATTCATAACCCCATGCAAGGGGTCTACCACACAACCATACAGGGTCACATGCCAGGATCCTCCCCCTCCCTGTGGTCCTAGCATGGGAAGGGGACTCTGTTCCCTTTGTCCTCAGAGCCCCCCACTAAAAACATAGGGTTTCCCACCCCAGCCATCAGGGGTTCTTCCCAGGAGCCTCTGTGCCTAGGAGTCCAGGCGCGGGAAAAAGAGACCGTCCCTTTGTCTCCCAGGCACAAAAAAGCCAGTCCACAGGAAAAGAGCTGGTCTCTTTGTCCCTTAGGCTCAGGAAAACTCGCCCACACCAACTTCTGGGAGCCCCTGTTCGCAAGATCCCGGTGTGAACCCCAGACAAGGGGAGCGTCTCCTTTTGGGGTAGGAATGCTCCCCCGGCTGGCGTTAGTCTGTACGAATGGTGGCCACCCAGGGAAGCACTCATTAATTTCTTCCTTTGCGGGTTCACGCGTAGGTTGCGAATGTGAACTTTCTGATTAATTGGTGTGAACATTCTAATGGGGCGCTTGGGAGATGAATGGGTTGGGAAACAACCAAGAATGCTCCCCCTGGCTGGCGTTCATCTAATGAACTGGCAGCCACCCAGGGGAGCACTCATTAATGGTTTCCCTTGCGATTTGACACTTATGTTGCGAGATGGGAACGTTCAAACCTAACATTCTAAATAAGGTATCGGGGTGGTCCCCATTTGGGAGGTCACTAAATTTCCTTTGTGGAAGCAGGAGCGGGGACAATAAATTAAAATACAGGGAAAACACATGTAAAAGAAAAGGGAGATTTACAAATAGGAAGCGGTTCCGTCACACAGCTCTCCCTTAACCACAAGCCAGCATACACAGTCTGATCCCAACATTTCGGCGTGGGGATGTCCGGGGGAGTATTCACAGATCACTTCTCCAGGGCTGGCTGTCTTGACAACCCGTCGGCATTCGGGTTTTGCTTTCCGGGTCTATAATGGATGGTGAAGTCATATGGTTGTAGTTCTAGGCTCCACCGTAACAGCCGGGCATTGTCTCCAGAGACCCAGTTAAGCCACACCAACTGGTTGTGATCTGTGAGTAAGGTGAATCGCTGTCCATAGAGATAGGGCTGCAGTTTTTTGAGCAGCCACACCACCGCCAGACACTCCTTTTCGATGGCGGCGTAACTCACCTCCCGGGGTTATCAGCTTCCTGCTGAGGTAAGCCACGTTCTCCGCCATCGTCCCTGACCTGGCTCAGCACCGCTCCTAATCCAAACATAGAGGCATCTGTGTGGACAAGAAAACGTTTTTTCGGATTAGGAGCAACCAGGACAGGGGCATTCACCAAGTGTTCTTACGGGTTTGAAATGCCTGCTCACACTCTGCGGTCCAGTCTACCTGTCTGGGCAAGGTCTTTCAGGTCAAGTCGGTGAGGGGCTTGGTTAGGGTGCTGTTGTTAGGGACAAATTTCCTATAATAGCCAGCAGTCCCTAGAAGGGGCCATCACCTGAGCCTTAGGGCAGGGACGGGGCCAGCTAGCTACTGCCTCAACCTTGGCTGGCTCGGGCTTCTGGATCCCACACCCTACCCGGTGTCCTAGGTACTGTACCTCTGCCATATGTAGGTGGCACTTACTGGGTTTTAGGGATAGTCCTGCATCCCTAATCCTGTCTAGCACAGCTCCTACATCTACCAGATGCTCCTCCCAAGTGTCGCTGTAGATGGCGATGTCGTCCAGGTATGCACAGTCCTGGAGGCACTCTAACATCCGGTCCACCATCCTCTGGAAGGTGGCCAGGGACTTCATCCCAAATGGCATTACCTTAAATTGATACAGACCAAATGCCAACTTGGGAACAGCATCTGCCGCTAGGGGAATCTGCCAGTACCCCTTGCACAGATCTATCGTGGTGAGGTAACGGCCACAAGCAATCCTATCTACAGATCTCGTCTATATTAGGGCTTGGGGTACGCATCTGAGACTGTCTTGTCATTAAGCCTCCCGTAATCTACACAAAACCTGGTGGTTCCGTCTCGTTTCAGGACCAGCACTCCTATGGAGGCCCAAGGACTCTTGGATGGTTCTATGACCCCGAACCAGAGAAACTCTTGGATCTCCTGCTTCATATGCCTGTGGGTGGCCAGTGGGGTGTCTCCCTCTTCGTAGACAGCATCTGCTGTGCCTGTCTATGTTCCTTCTCGGTTAGCCGGTCTCCTAGGTGGACCTCATCTATGGACCCTGCCTGAGCGCCATCCTCCAGGAGGTCAGGCAGGGAAGATTATCAAAATCCTCTGAGACTGGAGCACATATGTCAGCTACATCCTCTGTCCAGCCCCAGGACCCAAGCAAGGACCGATCACATAAGTAGTGTCACATTTCTGTGCCACTACCCGGTATGGGCCCCGCCAGGCAGCCTGTCATGTCGGACGGGTTTTAAAACAAAAACCTTCTGTACGACCTGAAAGCTACGGGTCCTGGCTCCCTGATCATACAAAGTGCGCTGGCACCTCTGGGCTACCTGGAGGTACCCACGCAACAGGTGAGTTTCTTCAGTCGGTCCCTCAACTCTAGTACATATGGGATGATTGTTGTCCCTTCCCATTCCCCGGTGCCCTCCCGGGCAAGGTCTAGGGTCCTCTAACCCTCCGCCCAAACATTAATCAAACTGGTTAGTTCCTGTGTATTTCTGGGGCACCTCCCAATATACGAACACTAGATGTGGCAGGAATCTTTCCTCAATCCCTGCTGGTCGCTGCAAAGGTACGGAGCATCTGCTTCAACGTGCCATTGAAGCGCTCGCACAGGCCATTAGTCTGGGAGTGATATGGGGAGTTTAGGATCGGTTTAATGCTGCATAACCTCCACAGCTGATTAGTCATCTCGGCAGTAAACAGGTTGCCCTGATCCGAGATGATCTCCTGGGGAAAACCCATCCAGGAGAACACCTGCATCAGGGCTTCGGCCACAGTTCCTTACCATTTGGATCGTGTGAGCAGTATATCATGGTAGAAATTAATTTGATACCGTCACAGCCAAAGCCTGCTATAAATGGCTCTGGTAAATGTTAGTAATTCTAGGGTGGACCTTGCTATTGATTATTTGTATTTACAATATCACACTATGCAAGTTTTTATGTCTCCTTTATAGCTTTGAACTTCTCTTCTGTCTGTGAGAATCCATATAAATATTTACAGTTTCTTTTCCATTTGCACTTCCCACTGTGTATTATATGTATTTTATTGTGCCACATTAGGTGATCAGTGGCATTGGGAATATCTGTGCAATAGTTTCACTAGCGCCATTCATACCTCATTTTGTTTTATCTAAACTATGTACATGATATATCCTTGAACTTCAAAAATAAACAATTTAAAAAAATAAATCTGAAACGCAAGTGAAATACAGCATAATTATACAAAAATACCAAAATTAGAATGGCGATATCCACCAGATTTTCCTGGATAAACATAAGTTAGTCATGTTTATTGGCAACACATGAAAATGTTGCGTAGTATGTAGAATATGTTGCAGCATTTGTTATCGAATCACTACCTCCAACATTTGTCTTCTACATACAGTGCAGCACTTACCATACATTACCCATCATTGTTTATAAGTGAGATTAGCCCTTGAAAACATGGATATGAAATCCTACCCAAACCCATTTATATTCATACATTAAGGCTATTTTCCAAATATTACAGTTCCAGGTTATCAATCCACTAAATAGTTATTTAATGAATAAACGGCTTAAAATTTCCTTGGGTGGGGATTGGAAAGGGGGCCCCTTTGCACAGTGCGTAATGCAGGTACAAAATCAAAATATTGATAAGATTTTAAAACAAAAACATCAAAACATCCCTAAAAACGTAATCACTTTCGCTCTCACAAATTTAGAAGAAAAAAAAATAAAAAATGAAAGGAACAATACAGTGTCAGGAATATAAACATTATTCCTGACACTGTAGGTCTAAACAGCTGTTTAGTCCTCTGCCGCCCTTAGCTTATAAGGGTTTACTCACTTTTTTCCAATGCTGCTCGGGTCCGGTCATGGTTGGCCTCAACCATGCTCACGCCCTCCAGGCTGAGATCATCAAACTTGCATTGTTTACATTGACAGGCAGTAGACACCAGAACAACTACATTAAGTTTTAGTTCTGGTGACTAGTGTCCTTTTGGGGCAAAAAAAATTATATATTATTAGAAAAGCTTGGAACTCACCCCTTTAAAACTTATAGTGTAAGTCTTGCCTCGGTGCTGTGCAAGTGATCAGTACATACAGCACGTTGTTTGAATAAACACATTTGACCAAGACCTATGAGTGCACCCTTCTATTTCTCGAACGAACACACACACACACCTACCTGTAAGAACAAGGCTAGTGTAACAATCATTTTGTAATAGATCATGCCCCTAGATCAGAAGTGGTCCGATCATCCATAATCCCAGTAAATGAATATACTTTGTGCTAGCTGAATTCTTGCAGAGTTTAAACGGTCTCCTTCGATATAGTTTTACAAGTGGAGGGCTTCCATCATGGTGGTATAGAGTGAGGAAAAAATATAAAAAGAAACCTTTTGGGATACTTCTCCAAAGCACAGCTCACAGTCCTGCTTACAGTGTGCCCGAAAGATAGAATCCAGCTGGAATCCCATGCACCATGTCCAACTGCCCTCCATCATAAAGCCTTGAAACAAGAGGAAACCATGCAAGAGACCTATGCCCTGTAGACCTATGTAGACATATGTCTACAGTAACATATGAGAGAAGAGATAAAAATTAAAAAAAAGTAGCAACTGGTTTTAACCTGCCGGCCCAATTTTATCAGAAAAGCTCAGTGTGTTATATTTCGGGAATGACCCTGGTCTTATAATAATGTAAAATTAGTGTCTTCTAAAGTTGTGTTATTTCTGCATGGACTCAATACATGCAGACAGACATCACCAGTACATTTCCAGTTTCGTACTTGCCACCAATTAAGCTAGTACATGGCTTTTATTTATTTATTTAAAAGATGCTGAGTGCACACACGTTCTGGAAATGGCTATTTTTAATGACAGAAAGCAAACAATATGAAATTATATTAAACGTGTAAACAGAAGGATTGTTCTGTCCCAAGCATGCCAAACATATTCCATTAAATAGACGGTCAGTTTATTTATTACACTACCATATAATAACCTTTAATAAAATAGAAATCTAAATCTGTATACATGAATATATAGGTAGAACAATTTCAAAAATACATATCAGATTAGGTAAACAAATAGTTTAAAATGTAGCACACACTAGCCCAACCGCCATATACAATAAGTGCTGTTTCAACTAGTCTATTGAATACAATCCATAGGGTTTGTGAATGGCCAGAAAGTGTACATAAAAATAAAATTCGGTTTAAACATTCATACCATTGTATTTTTCTCTATTCGGGAAATAAATTGCTGCATCATGGCTCCCTGTCAATCATTGTTCTAAGTGCTGCCGTATCACAGCCTTAGCACCTCTAAGTCAGCACAGAGAGAAGTGATGACGCAATGTTTTAGTTTTTTCCTCCTCTTTCAATGTTATGTGTGCCCTGCCTGTGCCAGAACTGAATTGGATTGTGATGTCAAATGATAAATCTTTATATACAGTTAAATTAAAAGGAAGCTTCACGTGGAAAATATTAACACAAATTACAGGTTATGTCCAATGTTTTATGCAACAGTGTTATTCTCACAGAAGTGATTGTTTCCCTTTAAAATTTTATACGCTTCACTTAAAAGACTTTTCTATCTAGATGAAACAGCACCTTTATAAACGCGGCAGGAGATAAAATAAACTCCTCAACTTTTAAAGTCTTACATAATCATAAGATGGGCCACTGTGAACAACAGTCATCAACTTATCAAATATCTGGTTATGGCTGAATATTAAAAAATAAATTATCACAACTCATTACAAAAGTCAAAACAGATTCTAGCCATCAATATGATGAATGATCATTGCTTATTCATATAATATACCTTTCTGGACGGATACAAAACACATACTATAACTCCAGATCGGTAGGCATGGGAGCGTATTAGTGCCAGTTTTACAGGGTAGTGCAGAACTTGACACAAGTTACAGCGTAGACCATTCTGGATCTTCTTGCAAACTATTTTTAAAAGGAATGCGCAGGATCCATCAATTAAAGTGCGCTCAAAGTCATTATTTCTGAGGTATAAACAGAGATATCCTAATAACTCCTCACATACTTCTTATTCTATTGCAATGAGTCAGTCTATTGTGTCTATAACAGTTTCTACACACATCGCAGTGGTGGAAATCAAAATGTCCCATGTCCTCTTCGATTAATTCCTGCAGATGTAGAACTCCTATAGATCAGATTCTATGTACAAGTATGCAATAGTTGGTTTTTCTTTTTCATGTATATATTCAGAGATTATTTATAAATTCCTACATCTTCTTAATGTCCAGTATGTCATTATGGATGGTTTGTTAAATGAGATCCCCACAACCCACTAAGTCCAGCACTACGGTTCTGAAGTGCCATTGCATAGAATATTAAAATCACAAGAATGTCTTCAAGCTGGGGCGCACCGTCAGGAATACAGGACAGGCTGTCTGCGTATCCACTGGTGGTGATCTGAAGAACAAATTAAACCTGAATTAGAATCAGCATAATTAAAAAGATCCCCAGGACTACCATTTTTAACATGTAAAATATAAATCTCGCACGTATAAGTTTCTTATGCATTTTAATACATAGGCAAAAAAATTAAAGTATTTATCTTCCTAAGTTTATTCCTTCACAAAAAACTCTTTTACATTACTTTGTCTCAGAGACTGTAGAGACCGCATTGGGTAATTTCCCAGTAGTTAAAAATTGGAGACATTCATTATGTGAGCCAATGTGGCTCATTCATCCCTATGCACCGTATTTCTGTATTTCTCATTCATCCCTATGCATACATGGATCACGGAAGATCAGATACTGGTTGAGATAACTCTGCCAGTTTGTGATTAAAGCAGACGTCACCAGCAACCTGTGCATTTGCTGCAGAAGAGAAGTCTTCAGAAGTGTATTTTTATGGAAATTTACAGGCTATGGACATGCAGGTGACACATTTGAAAGGTTTTCTATGTAATTCAGTGTCATTTATCAGCTTATCAGAAGGGGTCTTCTCTGAGAATCATTTTCTACTGCTTCTTACTTTATCTGCAGTTTAAAGCAAAGCCTACCTAAATGAAGTTATGTGACCTACCAGTGATGTGTAACCTTGTCATTTCATCTTCCTCTTCATCCTCGCTACTCTCACCGTTTAAGGGAAGTGAATCCAAGTCATCTTCAGTGTGTAAGGACGGCACCTTCTGCTCCTGGTCTCTACTGGTCCGTAACGCTACAAGCCGATGATGGATTGCAGCATAAAGACGTCCAGCATCCTTCACACTGGCCTGAAAGAGGACAATTTTATTTCATAATTAACACACCACTATGAAGATGTTCTAGACATAATGGGACCCATAAAAAGCACTTGCTATCTTTTTTTGTTACCCAGTCAATTGTTTTTCCCTTTAACTTCACTGTAGCTGCAGTAGGCGCTGGGCCAGCTATTGCACTTAATAGCCAGTATAAGCTAAATGCACAACAACAAATCAATTTATTTAATTTGAAAAAAACATTAAAAAGTTCTGGGAGATTTCAATTCGGTGTATACCACAAATTAAAGGTAATGGGGGGAGGGGTTAAATATATATTTCTCTATTTTTTGTAGAAGGAGTAGAAGACCGGTTAAACCCCTTATAACCTGGAAGCTTATGGCAGAATTGCATCTGCTGGCCCCACTCTGTCGATGACTCAGTCCCAGCACACTGAGTTGAGGGATAACAGGAGGCTATAGACTGGCACTCAGCAGAAGCTACCATTGAGGCACACAGTGAGAGAAGAAAAAAAAACAAAAAAAACGTCAAGTCCATATCCCTTTGATTTTAAATTTCTAAACTGTTCCCGTGTATATTTTTATTCCGCAGACTGCATTATTTTTTTTATTGTAGATTTGTGCCAAGTGATTCCCATTGATATAAGGGCCCATTGGTATAAGGCTTTGGATGGTGGACATAGATGGTCTGGTTTTAAAGAATTCCCGAGAAGCTCAAGAAATTTGGAACTTAATAGGACATTTTACTGGCTGAATTTGCTTGAGGTCCATAGAAGAAAATCTGCCAGGAGTGGGAATTTAATAAAGAAGTTTACGAACTATGAATACATTTAGGATTTCTATAGCTAGGAAAGCACATATGGTGCATTGAGGCATGATTTCAGAGTTTTTAAGCTTCCCCTCACCTGGATCAGAAACACTTTGAGATTGTTGTCCGTCAGATCTGTGGCAGTGATACGCAGGCTCCTTCGATTGGCTCTCTCTAATTTCATCTGATCAAAGATTTTGCTGTTGAAGATCAGTTTCAGGCTGCCATAGTTTCTCATCACTAAAATTAAATATTGATAGACAAAAACCAAAATCAAAAACTGATTAGGTTTGGACCAAAGTTACAACTGTTCAAATTAGACTTCGCATTTAAAAAATAAAAATAAAAATCTTTCCCCATGGCACATCTCAACAATTTATGGTAGATATTTGATGGCTTTAAAAAGGAAATGATAACCCCCAAAGACCCAGTGGAATTATATTTGAGAGAGATACAGCCTTTTTTTTTTTATATATCTCATTCTTTGGCTGAGGTTGTAACTCTCCACAACAAATTTGTCAAATTAGCAGAAGGACAAGGACTCCTGAAATTCAAGGATGATGAGAACTACAACATGCTTACTGAGAAGCCTTAGAGTTTTCTTGCACAAGAACAAACACGAAAGCAATTTAAATGAAATAGCCAAGTCCTTCTGCTACCCAATCCCACCCACTAATGATTTGCCCAAGAAAAAACAAAAAACAATACTGTCCTAGACAGATTGGCCGTGCATATAAAAAATAAATATAGTAACAAAAACTCAAATACATATATGCAATTTCTTATCTCATGATTTGACCATGTAAATTCATGGTTTAAAAATTTGGTATCAGATGAAAAAAATAAAATCCATTCGTTCACTTGTTTTTCATTAGGCAACAAAGTCTGTCCATATGTTCATATTGTAAATATGCACTTCATCTCAAGGCCTTAAGGATGAGAAAATGAAGCTAGGGGATATCAGCACTCTCCCACTTGGTTGGCCATGGTATAGGAAAGAAGTGAGGCCACAACGGGCTACCATGCATGGAGTAAGGGTAGAGAGAGGGTGTAAAAACCTAGTGCTGGGTTTATATAGGAGACCCAACACTTAAGAGAGCGAGAAAAAAAAAAAATATTGTGGTGGTCTGTAGAAAGCTGGGACTTTATCATTAACTTTATTTAAATAGTAATCACCATAATTAATGGAGATTTTCACCTTTTTAAAAACTGTAGCTGCCTAACCATAAAATAGGAAGAATTAATCTTGTATTTAAATGATTTTGTCTGATACAATACAGATTATTATGTGCACAGTCCAAGAATTCTAAAACAAGCAAACTAACCTAAAAAGGTGTGTGTGTGCCATACTACTATTATTGGTATATTTAAGTTAACTGTGTGCAGTACATGTATATATTTTACAGAGTGATCCAAAGTCAAACTTTGATAGACCTCCATATTACATCTCCTTTAGAGCATGGGTTTCAAATCATGGGTGACTATAAACATGACTACCTACCTACCATCTGCTGACTCTCAATTGCCAGAATACATCTTGTGAACGTTTATCTGGACTAGAATCCTAGGGGTTTATTAGATGAATACTCTACATACACTGAACTTTTATCGTGTTTGTTAGATACAGGTTCATTATCAAGAAAAGTTTAACCGAAACAGAAAATTTCCACTATGATTTGTTTGTTTTTACAAAATATTGTATTTTAAATGAATTTATCTTTCTTGGGGTGCATTGCTATAAATACAGTCTGTCCTGTTGAGGCAGTAGTAAGACTGCAGGCCAAATACAGGAAATAAAACAAGATCTAAATTTAAAAAACCCAGAGATGTAGTCACCCAATTAACATTAGATTTATGTATGTACTCCTTTAGAAACTCTACTTTAACCTCACAGTGCTATTCAGTTCCTGCCTCAAGGCGCTGTTTTCTCACCTCTGCAATTGTTTAATTTTGCCATATAAGCAAAAACAAAAATGCCTTTTACCTCTCCCTTGGGCCGCCACCTTTCCCTGCTACCTGGCAGGAGTTTCTGATGCCACAGGCCCAAACTTCCCAACATCATGAGTCGATATCTGGTACAGCTTGTCACTGAGAGGAAAAAGTCAATACAGCATTTAAAATAGCCAGAAAGAGGAGGAACGGGGAGCCTTTCCATGTGCCCTATCAATGTGTGTGCTTGTGGTTAATGTTTAGGACTGTGCATCTATAACAGTGGTGTGCCTTCTGTTTTGAAGGATGAATATTTTATGATGGCACAACATTTTAATGTTAGTGCTCCAACAAGTTTGTGAAACTAATTTCACATCATCACATGGGTTTCTACACTAAGGTATCCTACCTTTCCCCCTATTCCACCCTCCTACATTTATTTGGTCTTTACTTTTTGGAAAAGATAAATGCCAATGGTATTTTTCAATTAAAAGCCCTATAAAATTGTAGTATCCAAGGTCCTAGCAAATATGAAGATCATCTGATATTGATATGAAGAGCGTAGACTTCATATCATGTGCGGTTTGATATTTGAAACCATCTGACTGACACTACCTCAACATATGGATGAAAACAAAGTTAATAAAATGCTTTCAGATCTATACTATAGCTATTTGAATGGCAATGCAGGGTAGTGCACTGGTGTATGAAGTAGACCTGGGTAAGAGAAACCTGGTACTGGTGGAACTTCTATTCCATCATACTACCTTGACCTTCTGATTCTTTCATAATGTTTTGTTTTCTGCCCCATGTCTCTAGAGTTCTGGTGCACCTTCTGGTGGTGATCCTCCTTGCTGGTTAACAATTATCCAGCTTTGCCATCAATTACTGACATGTAGAAGGAATAAGGAGCACTAAACTGATAATCTGTGCTAGAGACAGCACGGATCTCTACTCATTTTCTGCTAGACCACCAGAGACAAGGCTCTCTACCTCTACCCCAGAACAGGTAGGACGTTGCAGACTGACAAGTTTTGATTCTAGTTTAAAAAAAAAAAAGGCAAAAATTTTAAAACATTTTTAAAAAAAATAAAATAAAAAATGTCAGGGGAGTCCCCAAAAACAAAATGCATTGGTGCATTTTTTAGGATTGGCCATGTGTCTGTTTTATCATGAGGTGTTCTACCTATTCGTGATCGGAACATCCCACTGTCATGGCTTGCCATATCATTAAGTCGTAGGTAGCCTCGGCCCCTTTCATTCCACGTCTGATTGGTGGAGTTCAAAACGAAAAGCTTGCAGTTTACCTGCAAAAAAAAAAAGGATTTTACATTTATTAAGGCCATCTCGTTCAAGTTTAAACCATACCAAAACACAAACAATCTTTTCTAGCAGTGCCTCTATTTGGTGTGTCCGAGTGTATAATAAAGGTTCGGAGCAAATTAAATTCAAGGAAACTGCCATTGAAAATTGCTAGGAGATCTACAAACTAGTGTCAAACACTTGTGCTGAATATTCATAGTTATGTAGCAAGGAGAGGTGTGCTGGCTTTTAATTGGGTTTCATTCAGAATATGGACAATTCCAGGTCGTCTTGGAGGTGTGTTTGGGGTCGTTATGTTGAAATGCTGCTGCCCAGTCTCCGAAGGGAGGGGATTATGCTCTGCTTCAGTATGTCACAGAACATGTTGACATTCATGGTTCCCTCAATGAACTGTAGCTCCCCAGTGCCAGCAGCACTCATGCAGGCCCAAACCATGACATTCCCACCAGCATGCTTGACTGTAGGCAAGACACACTTGTCTTTGTCCTCCTCACCTCAAAGGTGGAAGGAGCTTGACCACTAGAGTCCAGAGCAATCACAAGCATGCCAATTCAGATCAACAATTATATATATCTTAATATATCAGACCATGTGATCCATTAAAGTATCTCACATGGGCAGTAGTTCTGCTACAAGCAAGTTTTAGGACTAAATATAGCTGTAATCGGGATCATATCATATCCTAGTGGATATGTGGACCGTCCGATTGCTTGTCTAGTGTTTCTTGTACAGAGGGCTTACAGCTTTTGAACACATACATACACACAGTTACGCACGCACCCATTCTGCCATTTTTGAAGGTAATTCAACAGAGGTCAACAGTCTACACAGAGAAAGATGTCCGTGTGAATACAAAGGTGCATTATTTGTTTATTGAAAAAAAAACAACAACAAAAACCCCAACAATTGAAAGTGTATTTGTGTTTTATGAGTGTTTCGTGAAGGAATGTGTGTAAAGCTGTATGTGTGTGTGGAGGGTCAGTGCATGAACGCATCAGTTTTATTTTCCTGCAGTGTCAAAGTCTGAATTGGTTGGAGTTCTTGTGTGCAGTGAGAGGATGTGTGAATACAGGTTGACATGCACATAGCATAACTCAATGTAGGGGGGGTTAAGGATGTATCCAGGTCAATGCTACACTAAACAGACAGCAAGGCAAGGATGTAACCCTGCAGTCACCTATCACAGCTGTTACCTCTGCAAGACAGGTCAGAAATTATTAATTTTAATACATGTTGAGTGACAGACCTGGAGAACATTGCGCTCAGATTCCTCTCCAGTTAGGATTTCCACTTGATCCAACTCATACTTCTGCCTGGGCATGGAACTATACACTGCAGCAGACTCAGCAAGGCTTGTGTTGGCACAGGGTTCTGTAAGGCAGTGGGATACATGATAAATTACACAGCAATGGAGAGATCCAATTAAAAGTCACATTAATTTCCAATATATCGAGCACTTGTAGAAATGGTGTAGTATGATAGCTTCTGCAGAGCAGCTTTGATTACCAGAGATGGATTAGGATCAGAAGACTCCAGACAGGAAGCTAAATAGGGGACCAAGAACCTTACACATGTACACTCAAATTACACTAACCAAGCCTGCAAGGCCCTTGTTATTGCATTGGGCTCAGAAGCAGACATGGAAATAAAAAAAATATATATTATATATATATCCCCTTGTTCAGAACACGTGCGCACATAGTAGAAAGTATGGTGTTCAATGCAGAATCTCCAGTTAAAAAAAAAAAAAAGACAAATTTTAGATGACAATTCACAGATATTCCGTTCTTCATTGGATGTTATTATCAGGGAATGGACTGTGTTAATAATCCATTAGGTTATAAGCAAAATTATTGGGAGGGTCCCCAAAATCTGTAACATCTGCCTTAGAGATCTGTCTATACTTAGACAATTATTGTAAAAAGCTTGGTTATTTTTCCATTTTTTATATTATTATTAATCTGCATACTGCTGATGGTTTTCTCCAAATATTTATTTTATCATGTCTTATGTAGATTGTAATCGTTTGAATGGCTGTTAGACTGTGCCTTACTATCGATTTAAATCCTCAAATGCTCTACACTGTAGTTTTTCCGTTCAGATGAAACTAGAATAGGTTTGCTACATTTATTAAACATGGCATAACACCATTATTACAGATAGATATACAAATAGCGCATTGCTGCACAAGTCCTTTAATTCCTGGGGTTGCGTTCCCTAATTTCACCACTAGATGGTAGTGTAAGCATTTGCTTAGAAGGTAAAATTAACCCATTGATTACATAGACTGTTTCAGATACAATTTAAAATATTGGAGCTGAATATAAAGAAGTCTTACTCTGATAAGGTACACTCCTGAGAGTCTGCAAACGTGAGGAGGTGCCTTCACATTTGTACTGGTATGCAGGCATCGGAGACTGTGCAGGTTTCTGCGGTCTCTGGAAATAGAACAGATATCACGTTATCCCCCTCATAAGAAATATTTTACAGCAGTCTTCTAGCATTACAAAAAATGATATATTTAGCTGCTATCGGAGTAAAGAATCATCTTCAACTTTAACCATTTGAATAGCAGGGGTGTGCCCAAAGCAAACGTACTTTATTTATTAAGAATACAAGACAAGAAAAGAAACAATTAATAGCAAACCTTCAGTCGGAGGAATTAATTTAACTCTTCTGTGATGCAGTCTCTGCATGTGCTCATACGTGTCATACAAAGAATAGATTACGGATAGGTTTATCAAACAATCGATCATGAGCAAACAGCATTCTAATTATCTGCTTATGCTATGGCCATTCTTAATACCACTTCTACACTGATAGAAGAGTTAATGATTAATAGTAGCTGGCACACGTGTAATAAAACCGTTCACAGCCAGGGTGTAAAGAAATGTCCATGGTGCTTTCTACCCTACGTCCAGTAACAGTTGTGAAATTTGCAAACATGGCTCCACTTACTGTATGAACCAAGAACCAGAACAATTTATATCTGGTAGAATTAAACCCATTAAGAATCAAAGAACAGGCATAGAAAAAAAAAATATATAAAGCGCACACACACACACACCTTTTAAGTCACGAAATGCCATTAGTGGCACCTATGGGTGTGTATTATCCCACTCATTACTAATCATCTTTTCAAATAAATGAAAATGTGGTTTTAAACTTTGGATTTTCTGTATATGAAAGAACTACACAAAAATGATTCTTTTACAGGGTTACAATGTCTGTTTGCCTCATAGGGCAGGGGAGTAAAGCAGCAAATAAAGTGGGGAACCAGCATTTTAGAATTGGAAACCAAAGGTCAGCCTCCCTCTCCTGTCGTCACACAATACATTAAACAAAAAGGTTATTATGTGGCGGGTTAGACCTTACACAGTTATTGGAGAAACAAAATCGATCTTACACATGCATCAAAGTGATTATTGCCAATTCTGGCAAGTATGCTGTAATTTCAGGAATGGTATGGTCCAATTAAAATGTATAATAGGTAAGTGTGGTGATACTCTCTCATATTCTGTTATTAGGTTCTACAACATGCTCCTTCTCCGTTCCAGGGATAATAATTGGTGGTGATGTTTATTCAACAAATTGTCCTCACTGAATAGGATCTGTGTGCTGGAGTTGTATCTACATATATTAAAGCTGTAGCACTAGGATATGATATTTGGAGCAAAACCACTGAGCAAACAGCTTTTGTGCTGGTTGTTCTACTCCATGTCTGTGCCCCATAATTTTCAGTAAAAAAAATAAAAATAATATATATTTTATTTATTTTCCCTCTAGAAATGCCTCTTACCGTGACTCTCTTATCCATGTTTTCACCAAAAACAAATTCTGAAGTGGTTTTGTCCAACCTTGAACTCTGGTCAAATGGATGACTTCTACAAACAAAACACCAAAATTGTTACTTAGTTTCCTCTCATTTCCCCTGGACTACAAGCTTTCTTTTATCAAGTTCGAAATTCACATATAATGTCCATTATCCCAAAGTTGCTTTTTGCATCAATATTGATTAGGATTTATTCGCCATAAACCAATTTAGATCTTTAATAGCTGGCAAGAACAATATGTATAAACCTGGGAATACTGGTGCAAAGTTCTAAAGTGGAGCAAGAAAAATTATAATCATTTCTATGGTGATTGTTGGCTACAAGAAATTTGTAACACTATTCATACATGTGTACAAACAAAACCAAACAAAATACATTTATTACTTTGTGCTTAAGTCCAAAACACAGGTAGGTCCACTTCCATGTTTTGATGTGCTGCCAACATCCATCGAGGTGCTGTAGTTTTCATTTTCATTCTTCTAAAAATGAAAAAAGGTACAATCCCATCTGAATAAGGTATCACAGATGTAGAGGTTACAGAGAACCCTACAACTCATTTCACATGTACATTCCAGATGACCCTCCCCTGCACAGTTTATCAAAACCACTTTGACAAATAAATAATGAATTCACAATGCACAATGGACCAAGATGTTTTCTTTTGGAACAGCCAAATTGACACTACTTATATTCCAATGTAGCACTGCAAAGAAAAATGTAAATAGATGTGCAAACATTAAATGCACAGGGTCAATGCCAGTCAAAAGGATTCCATATATACACTGGTTATAATAAAATGATTGAGTTAATTTATCCTGTTAATTATTGTCTGGGGCAGAGCATGGATGAAGGTAGATCGTGTTTGACAACAGATAGAAAGGTTTTACTGCTCTGCTCTCAGTATCATATTTAGCACTTTGTGTACCTTGTCTTTAGGTTGACATTTCAAACAGTCCGCTGTAGATACCATCCTTTTTCCATCAATGCATTGGGGTACTTGTGGAGGCTGCAAGGTTGCTGGTTTAATCACATTCCAGGCTTGTGAACATCCTGTAAAAATAACAAAAAACACACTTCTACATATTATATACACTATGCACTAGTTTCTTGTCCAGGTTCCATCAACCTCAAAATTATTTTTACTGCTGGGACAGATATAACATTATTAGGTTTTTTTTTTTTATAGGGTGGATGATACAAGGGTATACACAGCAGGTGTAGCACAAGATGAATTACTTACTTCCTAATAATTAAAGAATGTGTTATTTATATCCTGCTAAAATTGCATTTCCCTTGGTGAAGTATGTTCATCAACATGGTTAGGTGATCACAATATTGGGAGGGCAAAGATGTGACAAAGATTTACTTAAGTACTCCATGGAAGAGTACAAAATCTATTATATCCAAATCCAGGAGGGGGACATGCACATCACAAACACAGTCACCTATGATGGAACCAGACTGGGCTGGCGAGAGAAACAAAATGTTGCTTTAAGTCAATAAAGACTGCTCAAAAAACAAAAAACAAAAAAAAAAAAAAACAGCTTTTTGAGTGCCCATGCATACATCTGTATTTCTTTATATAGGAGGTAAAGAATATCTTGTCTACGAGTTCTGAATCCTCAGGCAACTCACACTAAGCTGACCTACAGAAAACATGAAGCTACTTGCCAACGGTAGAGCAGGTGCATAACATTAACCATCTATCATTTTCACCACACACCTATGGGCTATTTCCCACTCTCCTTCACAGCAGCTACAGCATGTGAGTAACAATGCACTGTGATTGCTGTGATTATTCTTCTGGGGAGCACATTTTGCTCCATGCAAGAGGAATGTAGAATTTGAGTAAAAGATGAACTTAGACTGGCAATGAAGGCAGCATATCAACGTCATAAGGATGGAAAGGGCTTCTACCAATCAGGGGAAAATGGGCAGAGGGTGGGAGGAAGGCATTATGGAATGGGAGGTAGTATTACAGTTAATGTAAAGCCTAAAAACAAGAATCACAGCTGCTGCAACAGAACGGAAGGTGGGAGAGTAATTGGGGGAGGGGGGATTAAATATATATATATAATTTTTTTTATTATTATTATTTTCCCCACAAAGAAATATATGTTATCTTTATGATAAATTACATTCCTAAATGTTTCACATAAAAAGATACCATCAGTAGAAATATGACGACTACCATAACAGATTACGAATGAACTTACCATGGTTGCTGGTGTTAATTGTAGGATGTTCCTGTAGCAGCGATGAAGGCATAAACACATTGTTCTTTAATCCTGAAATAAAACAGCACAATTTACTTTTATGCAAAATAAATCGCGTGGTACGAAGTATGTGTGAGCAGATGTTAACATAGAAAAAGTAAATCAGACAGACTTTTATCTCTCGATAAACATTATCAAGATCCTGGGATTAAAACACACTGAAGTACATATTTTACAAAACACAAAAAAACAAAACCTGTGACAAGGAGATAAGCAATACATTATTTCAGCTCTCCACGGGTCCGCCAGCACTGGCCCCACTCCCTTGGAGACATCATCAAAATTGGCGATTTTTAGCCAGTCCAATGCTTTCCCATGGGGAATGTATTGGATTGGCTAAAATCGGCAAGGGTCGGGGCCAAACACGGTTTTCTCTGAAAAAGCAGTGTTTACATGAAAATGCCTGAAGGCAGCGATTATACTCACCAGAACAACTACATTAAGCTGTAGTTGTTCTTGTGACTATAGTGTCCCTTTAATGAATTCATAACTGTGTACAATGGTCTGCCATACATTGGAGCAGAGCACAGTGGATATAATTTGAACCAAGCAAAAGCTATAATCTAAAGGCTGAATAAAACCACAAAAAACACTTTCCCCACTTTGAGAGGGGGGAAGTTTAGTGTTAGGTTTGTGATAATTATTCAATGTTCCGTGAAAAACGTGTGTAAACATTAGCAACATAATCACCATCTCTTTGAATAACCAAATCATTTTTTAACCTTATTAATATTTGCCCACTGCTCTAGATTCATTCTAGAGCAGTGGGCAAATACTGAAAGCCATGAGGTAAAAAATAAATGGAGAGATCTGCCAATTATCTTTGATTGATCATGCTTAAATTGACACCATGAGCACCAAAATAACTTTACTTTAAGAGTGCTATTGGTGTACAGATCAGGTCTCTGCGGTCCAACTGCTCAATGCTCTGCCATTTAGGAGGGAATTCAATTTGGTTTCTGTTTATACAGCCCTAGCCACATCTCCCCTGCTTGTGACTTACACAGTCTCCCTATACACTTCTTGTAACTAGAGATCACATTTTTAAAGCTTCCTTTATTACAGTGTGTTTAAACTTAAAATTCCATATCTCATACTCTGCTAATATGAGCCTCCTGGTTGTTTGATTAAAGTTCAATTAATAGAGCAGGAGATAAAGTCTACAAGGAAACACTGTGTTGTCACATCTGATTAAAAAAAAAATTCCCCATGGAGATTGTGTGTCTTAACGAGGGTAAGTGTGGCTAGGACTGCATAAGCTAAAACTAAAGTGATTTAACTCCTAAATGACAGAAAATTGAGCAGCGAGACTGCATTGGCCTGAACTATACACCAGAACCGCTAAAGTGGTTTTGGTGTTTAGAGTGTCCCTTTAAGGGTTCGAAGTATATGAGAGATAGAGGGATGCATGTCGGCTCTTCCCAAAGGCACTGTTACCAGGTATGGAATGTCTGAGACAACCGGTAAGAGTCAGTTCTTCAGTTTGACATTACCTTTAATGCCCAAAATAACTAGACTGCCTGAAGCTTCTCCACAAACCTGCTGGTAAATTCCAGAAATTATGCTGGTATTACAAATCACATGATGGCATCTCACCTGGTGGCGATGGTGGGAAAGCAGACAAATATGTAAACGAGGACGATCGAGTCCTTTTTTCTTTGGCACCATCTAGAAGTAGTAAAAGAAGACACTGATGAATACTGCTGGGTTATCGGTTTAGTTTGGGGTGAGGAAGTCTGAGGGGAAACTAATTTCCATCAATATTAGCCAGACAAGTATTGAGATCTGCGAGAAGTGAACAATTTTCATAAACAGGAGCTTTAAAAAATAAAAATTAAAAAATAAGTATTTCGTTATTCAACTGGCCTCCAGTGTTGGCCACGGTATGTTTTAAATTGCAAGTAAGAAAGAAAAGAAATATTGTGCTTTGTTGCAAAATGAAAATATTTAGATATATTCAGATCTTACTTTACTTCTTTATGTACATATCATTTGTGAGAGGGTGGTGCGAGGAGGGGGGAGAAGCTGTGTGAGCTTGCAGATCATTGATTCTAAACTTTGTGCCGATACCGTCTTTGATAACTGTATAGATTATGCATACATTTATGCTAAAGCAATACACATTTTTTTTGTCGTGATCATAACAAGAAGTGATATGTTGCAGTCAACAAGGGCCAATATGTTCTTATCATACGGTTTCTCTGAAAATATTTTTTACCTGTCTGAGAGGACGAGCAGGATGGATGAAATGTAAATGAAGAGGACCGTGCTCGCTTTTCAGGGTAAATGATGAGACCTATAGTGTAAATAAATATAAAATTGATTATATTAAAAGCTAATACCAGTACTGTTCAAATGACAATACCATTTGGAGCTCACTCATTTCAGGCACGGCAGACCTGATCATTTTTGCCCAATATCATAACAGTGAACCAAGCATCCACACTTAGTGGGGACTTGTAGATGAACGCTCACAGGATTTAGCTTAAACTCAAAACTATTATGAAGACGTGTTAATTCACGAAGCACAAAATTATAATGAATCCAAAAAATAAACAAGCAAAAATTGCCAAGCTGTTACGATCGCAAATGTTGGACTTTATTTTTTAAATCATTTTACAAATCAGTATTGTGTATGTGCAGAGAAGAAAAAATATGTTTAAAATTAGTATTAGGTTATTTTCTCCTGTATTACACAAAATGCACTAGAATTTGTGTTTAAATTCCTACTGTTTTCACTACGTGCATATTAGGAAAAATAAAGGGACAATCCACTGACAAAAATAAATAAATGTTTCGTACATACACTCCCCCAGTGAAAATATACATTCATTTAATTATATAAGGTTTTCACTGTGGGCCTAAAAAAAAGATTGCAAAAGCTGTGGTCCTCTTGTGTGCTACCTTTGCAAGCCCTCCCCTTCTAACCCCAACTTTCTGAGATTGTCAAATCTTGGCAAGGCAGGTCCACTGTGCAATTGCCTGCCTTGAGTTTAGCTCTACTGAGGAAGTAACAGGATAGTTGTCTGATTGACAGTGAAGGGGGGCAAGGAGGTTCAACAAGGTTAGTTTATAAAAATGCCAATTTAATTTTGACATCTGCAGTTTTTGTTACATTTTACAAATAGAAAAACTTTTCACAAACAAAACTGAAGCACTTTGAGGGTTAGTTATATGCTTGAGCATAAGGGTATTTAAAAGCAAGTTAAAATAGAATAGTTTGCACCTTTTGTTGTATTTTTTCATACACAGGCTGACCAGGCTCATCCTTCATCTATACGGGTCAAGACTAAAAGGGACACTATAGTCACCAGAACAGAATTTATAATCATTACCTGCAGGCTTTTTGCTGTAAACACTGTAATTTCAAAGAAATGGCAGTGCTTACATTAGCAGCCATCCGAGGAGTGGCCATTGGAGGTATCCCTAGTCTGTAGAGGTTCTTCGTGGGGCAGTGCTGCACAATCACTGCCATTCAGTGTCTCCAACCTCTTCAATGTCTTAACCCTCTGCATGCAGATACTGAACTTTTATCATAGAGATGCATTGATTCAATACAGCTCTATGAGGAGACGCTGATTGGGAAGGGCTGTGTTTCGCTTGGGTTGGCTCTGCCCCTGATCTGCCTCATAGCCAATCCTATGAGAAAGCATTGTGATTGCCTTTGAATAATACTACTGATGATGTCAGTCAAGCAGGCAGATCCAACAGCAGCAGACTGCAGTTAAAGTAAGATTTTTACTATATTTAGAGAGGCAAGGGGGGCTGGATGGTGTTTTTAACACTATAAGATGAGGAATACATGTTTGGGTTCCTGACACTATAGTATATGTACATAGATTTCAGGAATAAACACAAAAGCAGTGCAAATATCAGTGATTGCTGCAGCTCAATGGTCATGGTTTGACAGATAACCTTAAGACAAAAGCAGCTGATATACTTCTTACATATGTTTACATAAACATATTTTTTTAATTTTTACATCATAAAACAAACAAAAAAAAACCAAACTCTTTAATATAGATTTTACAATTTATTTTTGTCACCATACTCACCAGACTCTGATTTCAAGACAAGATCTGAAGCATGTCTCTATAAAAAAAGAGGAAAAAGAAAGAAAAACCAGGTCAAATTAAAATGTAGGATATTTTATGAAACAAAATGTAGCCATTTTCTAAATAATAGGGGAAAAATTAGATAATAGTAGAAGAAAAATTGTAAAGGTAAGAATTCTATATTCAATTAACAGGAACCCACATATTCCTTATATTTTCACTTTAATGAGTTAGCCCTAAATGATATATTATCCGAGAAAGCATGTTGTACTGTGTCATTAACAGGGCTATTCCTGTGGTGATTAGACAACTAAAGTGCAAGCCTTCTGTATAATAGTGAAGCTTGAAAAATGTAGAAGCCACTATTTTAACCTAAAAACTCGGAATAGCAAAATTTGGACTAAAAGCCACGCTGTGATACATTTATAAATTGGTTCTATTGACCTAAATGTTGGTGGTTTTCAATTCTGTCTTTAGTGAACAAGCTCATCATACTCCGCTTTTATGGGAGGTACAATGGAGCTCCCTAGGTCAGCAGATTGGTCAATAAACCCCCCTTTGTAAGCAAAATCCCCCTCTAGCTCTCTAGTTTCACTTTCCTATGAGCTCAAAACAATTGGTGTATAGGAGTAACAGAGTAATAAAAAACACTAATGTTTTTTTTAAACTATAGCAAACCTGTTTAGACATTAGCTTGTGTAAATAAAATACGTTAGTCTTGTTCCAAATCACTTACGTAAATAGCTATCAGAAGATCATAAAGTTAACTAAAATGTTAAACAGCTACTACCGGTTGTCACACCACCAGTCACATCTCTTGAAAATAAAACGTCAAAATGGCCAAAGAAGAGATCCTTTTGTGAGGATTAACATTGGGATGGGGAGTGTAAGAACCTTGCTTGGCGCTGTTTTTTTACCTTTTGCAGAGCTTTTCACATACAAAGGGGTTGAGCTAATAGTTCCCAACAGTGCATTAGAAAAGTAAAAAAAAAAAAAACTATATAAATTTATATATCATATATCCATTCAATTGTTATCAAAACAAGGTGTTATGAAAATCCTAACATATTGGGACATTCCTAGCACATTGTCAGGCATGAAGGTGGAAGAAACGCTTTGGACTAAAATATATATATATATATATATATATATATATATATATTCTTATTTTAATTGTTTTTATTTGTGTATAATAAATGTTGAATACCACTTTGGATTTTAAAGTCCTATTCTTTGAGACCTAAGCCTATCCCTGGCGCAATGTAGGACGAAGGAGACTCTAGACCCCAACCCATCAGGGGAGACAGCCTAAGGCATTCCTATTTCACTTCACCTTACACTGATAGAAAGCGCCAATATGGACCATAGCAGGCAGCTTACAGGATAACTCACAACCCTGGAAGATATAACATATGGTGGTAAGAAGCCATGGTTGGCAGGGGCATTGCACAGTGAAGGATGTCCTGTCAAAAAGGGACAAGCCTCTCTGTGTTGTCAATGTGCCTAAAATAAGTGCTCTATATGGGCAGAAAAGCCCAGAGTTTGTTTTGTATTATGCAAACATGCAGAATAACATGCTCACATTGTGTTTATGAGAAATTGTGGATACGAAAGGAGAAGCAAGGCCCAATTTCAGGGTAATTGGGGCGGTATGTGATATTTGACAAGTTCCGTTTAACAAAAGTAAACAACTCTTAAAAATCCTAAAGGTTCACTTATCACTTTAAATATTAAAGTGTTTGTACAATCATTGTAACCAATACAGCCTGCTGTTTTGCAGATTGTTTCCCTCTTAACTGGGTCCTGTTGGCACAAAGCTTTTTGTGGTGAGTAAAATCTTTTTTTTTTTTTTACAGCTTTTACTGCAAGTGGAGGGGGAAACAGGGGCCTTATCCATTGTGCTCAATATGGCACATTACACCGGAATGGTCCACCCCACAAAGGCTTAAAGTAACTGTTTAAGTACGATATATGTCTCTTGACATTTAAAAACCACTTACCTTGAATGGACGTTCTTTCTTTTCCAGGAGAAATAACGGAAGTGGAAGCGTTAATTTACCTGATGGGAGAGGAGAAAAAAAGAAAAGAAAAAAAAAAGGGGGTTAGCATATGTAAATGCACAGCTCAAACTACACACAACAATATCACAGAGGTGTGCCACTACTAATAATAATAAACTGTACTAAGGATTTCCTCCATTCCCTTTATCACTGAATAGATATGTGGATACTTGGCCCCTAAAGCCCCCACCACTGCTTTCCATTCCATAGAAAAGAACCTTAAACCTTTGTACTCTTTATAGAATGAAATGCAGTGGCGATGTTTAACAGACACACACAGAATCTGGTAACACAAGAGGGAGAGCTGCATTCTGGGATGAGTTTCATTCATTTAAACTGACCTCACATATTTATAAAGCAGGAGGAATGATTCACATTAGCAAGAAGAAAGTTCTATCAGTGCTCAGTCATGGATGGAAACCATATATGGATTTTTGTGTAGAGGCTAGAGGGGGCCCAAGTGCACATGCTTGTTTATACACTGCTTTTATTGGTTACGCTAGTTTTAGGAGTGTATTGTTCTTTCTTCTCCAGTGAACTCAAGTATCTAGACTAGTGTGTTGCATCTATGTTGGTACAGCACTGCAGACAATGGTGGTGCCTTAAAAGTAATCATAGAATTACTGAACACACTGGTTTTGACATTAAAAAAAAAAAAATTGCACTAAAAAAATTAAAAAAAAACACACACACACCACACACCTCCTTGGTTAAAATTGCTCAATTATCTTTCAACATTTCATTGAAAATCCAAAATGATCAATAAGAGAAGACAGAATGGGAACTATTGAAAAACTATGGTCACTTGAAATGTGACAAAATTTGACAGCTTTTGTCAATTCACAAGAACAATTGCAAGCAACTGCTGTGACAAAAAGCAACGTCTTGCATACCTGCAAGCAGTTCGAAGTGAAAATTTCCATAGACGTCTGTTATGTACTTTAGCCCGTGTGTGTACACAATAGCAACAAGGCTCCTGGTAGATGAATCGCTAGGAGCTGAAAAGGGGAATGGAGAAACATGGTAGCACCCACAAAGTAGAGTTCCAGGTAAATAAATATCGTAGTAACCTCACTCTCCCAGGCCGCCACACACCAAACAGGCATGCAACTGTTGGGAGTTTTCGCATACTTTGAAATTGATGGGATTTTTATTCGTCAACTGTAAAACAGTTTATATTCTGGCGAGTTTGCCTCTCAGCAGATCAACTTTAGAAAGAGGAATATACTGATGAGTTGGGTAATAAAGTTAGCGGACTGGGAGAGTTTTTCAAATTCATCTGTTTTGGTTTAAATTCCCGAGTGAATTTCAGGCAATTCCTGTGGCTTAGTGAAGAACGATTTACTATTTTTTTTAAAGGAACACGATAGTCGCCTAAATTACTTTAGCTAAATAAAGCAGTTTTAGTGCAATTTCACTGCTCAATTCACCGTCATTTAGGAGTTAAATCACTTTGTTTCTGTTTATGCAGCCCTAGCCACACCTCCCCTGGCTATGATTGACAGAGCCTGCATGAAAGAAAAAAACTGGTTTCACTTTCAAACAGATGTAATTTACCTTAAATAATTGTATCTCAATCTCTAAATTTAACTTGCAGGGTCTAGCAAGCTATTAACATAGCAGGGGATAAAAAAAAAAAATCTTAATTAAACAGAACTTGCGATAAAGAAAGCCTAAATAGGGCTCTCTTTACAGGAAGTGTTTATGGAAGGCTGTGCAAGTCACATGCAGGGAGGTGTGACTAGGGTTCATAAACAAAGGGATTTAACTCCTAAATGGCAGAGGATTGAGCAGTGAGGCTGCAGGGGCATGTTCTATACACCAAAACTGCTTCATTAAGCTAAAGTTGTTCAGGTGACTATAGCGTCCCTTTAAATTAAATAAAATGCTTTAAAAACGCTTCTCACAATTTATCTGTTCTACTTTTATTGTGGATCTAAATATACACACAATCAAATTGTACTTTTATAAAATCGGTATACCCGGCCTGAAAAAGATACCTTTGTGATCTTGCCCCTTAAAGCTGCAGTTAGTTAATAAAAGTATCTTAGTATCGTTCTTCACCAGTGCAATAAAACACACAAAGAAATCCAGTAAATTAAAAGCTTAAAAATAATGATAAAAATGTCAAACGAAAGACGGTCACCATCTGGCAGTACAAATCCTATCATACCCAGCCATTTATACGTCAGCTCCAATCCCAAGCCAATGATGCCTACACAAAAAAAAAAAACATTATTTCTTACTTGCAGCAGCCATATAAGCCTGTTGTGGCTTAGTCACTGTATGCAGCAATCCATATAAGCAATTTTACTGTTCTTTGTAGTCACTCTGTGCAGCCAAAGAGGCAGTACAGCAGGGAGCAGGAGTAGGCGGACATGGTAAACACACACTGGATCTGACTAGGCTGGGCTGGTTTATCTGCATTAGCCAAATAACCAGCTGTAATGAGAATAGATCCTGTACTGTAACTGGCTACGTAAAGCACTAGGCTTTGTGACAGCTACCCAAATACAGTCGGGGGATGGTTAGTGACTCAGCTCATAGCCAGCTGCCATGGAATTACCAAAATGGCATTGATATATAGTGTTGTTATCTTCCATAGCACTGCACAAGGTTATACTAAGGACTACTACGGTTATAAAGGCACATACTGTACACCAGCATGAAATGCTGCAATTTATTGAACACACACACACGTACATTACTAAAAAGTGAGAAATCAAAGTGAATTTCAAATTTAAGACCAGACAGCCAAAGGGAAAGCATAACTAACTTAGAGAATGTTTTTAATTTGTCTGTTTTAAGTTTAAAGGAACTCTATAGTGTAATGAATACAAACATGTATTCCTGACACTGGTATTTAACTATTTAAGTCCCCAGCTGCCCTTGCATCGCTTTGTAAAGATGATTTTTACTCACCCCTTTCTCCGTGCCGCGACGGTCTTGCCATGGATGGCTCCACCTGGCTCGGCTTCCATGCCTGATATCAGTTTTGGTGATCTCAGCCAATCCAATGTTTTTCCCATAGGAAAACATTGGAGGCTATTATGCATGCGCAGCAAAACACTGTGCTGGGTCAATTAGCATCTCTTCAGAGGTATGCATTTAAATCAATGCAACTCTATGGGGAAGTTTCTGCGCTCCCATGTAGAGGGTGAAAACGCTGAGCGCCGTTACTAGGAGACGCGGTTACTAGGCACGAATGTAAACGCTGCCTTTTTTCCTGAAAAGGCAGCGTTTACATTGAAAATCCTGCAGAGACATGCTGTAGACACCAGAACGGCTACATTAAACTGTAGTTGTTCTGGTTAGTATAGTGTCCTTTGAAATTAATTTTGAATTCTAATTTTAGTGAATAATCCTGCTAATGTTAGGTTGCAGCATTGAGAAGAGTATATTGCCAGACACCCAATTCTCAGGGTTATTAAATAGAACCACTGTCAAGATCTGATTTTCAATCTCCTTCTACATTAAATGTGTGAAATGTAAATGCCAGTGAGCTAATTTTGGAAAACTGAAACTTAGATCCATTGATTACTAGAAGAACACTATAATAGACAGAGGATTGTTTGAGGGAGGTTGCCCAGCTAAATGATCCGATTGGCTCCCTACTCCTCAACACCTAGACCTTTTTAAATAGTGATGTATTTCTTTTTCAGTTCTTTATTTAAACCAGTTTGGTAGGTTATCCAAGTGACAGCATCAAGCCAAATGCAAACGGAAATAACAAGAAAGGAAGGACTCCTACAATCAAGACTAAACAAAATAGTTCAGTGCAATTGAAATACAAAAAAAAAACACACAACTACAAAAACCAGACGCAACAGAACACGCTCTTGCAATCCATGAGTTATGAACTAAACTAAAATCCATCAGAATGATTGACCAGTGAGAGAATGATACAAGTAGGGGAAGAATGGAAGTTAAAGATTGCACAACCGGGTGTAGAAATCAACATAAAACAGTTGAGAGAGAGGTCATGGAGCCAGGGTGATAAACATTGCCTTAAAATATTGAAGACTGCATTTCCCGCAATGCACAGAAAGCCGCATATGTGCATCACGGCAGCCTGGAGTGTCTGGGAGTTTTGCCCAAGGTGATGATAGTGTTACATGAAAGATAAAGATTTGACAGATGCTCGGCATATGGAACCAGCCAATCAATTCCTAACTCTTCAATGATGCACCAACATCCGTAAATGTTCACCTTTCCTTTCACACATTCCTACAAAAAAAAAAAGTTTAGTTCACATATGTTGGCTTGTGATGCACTGTTGTATGGGGTTTATTCACTAAACATTGTACCAATTTCAAACGTATTTAGTGTGGCACTTTTATTTACTTACCCCAAATATCCCTAAAACCCACGAAGGGTTTCAGTAATCTTGTGCCAGTGTATATAAACAAAAAATAAATCAATAAATAAAATACATAGTGTAATACAGTACACCTTTATTGCAATATGTATAGTGTGAGTTAGAACCACTCACATTTATACAAGCCTAATATGATGGCTCAAATCTTTTCTGCTTTTGTGCCTTTGAGGTGGCACACCATCTAAACAGCAATTCTTTACCTAGGTTCTGGAAAACACAGAGGAATGCAGAAAGATCTGGTGTATTATCCTTGAGAGAATAGAAAACCATATGGCACTATATACCTTGTGAAGAGGCCAAGTGTATGAGGTATTGTGTTAAATGTACATGGCACCCCTTTCCCCCAGAAGGAGCCACAAAATATATATCCAAATGGAGAGGGTATTACCAGCTTAAATTAAATGCATTTTTAAACAAAAAAAAAAATATAAAAAGCATAAAAAACCAAAACGATTTTAATCAATCCCCATGGAGATCTTCCCGGTTCAATTTAGAGATTGAGATACAATTATTTAAGGTAAATTACATCGGTTTCCCAGTACCCACCCCTAATCTATAAGATTTAAAGCAAAGTTACTATAGCCAAATTTGGGGAAAAAGTTATTCAGCTCAACTAATCACAGCTTGGCTTTTTTAGGCTAGATTTTGCAATTTTTTTTTTTTTTTTTAAAGTCACTACATTTTAGTGAATAAGCCCCCAAGTCCGTTACGGAGTGCCAGTGATTTTCGGTTTCAAGTTTAGATCTGAAATAAGGCCTCATAAATGACACTATTACATAACCATAGCGAAATTACAAAAAGTACTGCTGAATATCATGTTTATTATATTTTTACAAGAGAACCGCTTACGAGCTTTGTAAACAAGCTTTACCACAATCGCTGGAGAGCGCAACTTCCAAAAACATTGTTTTCAGTTCAGCAAAAAGAATGTTATGGTGAGGGGGAGGGGATGAGATTGTGAAACAGTAATTCACTGTACACTAGGAGTCATGTTTGGAAATATTCAAAACAAAATGATACAATCTGTCATGTGAATCATGGGACAATGTATTAAACCGTTAATTAGATCCCAACACAACATAAAGAAAGTAATGGAATTGGTAAGACATTAAGATACTAGATTTCATGCAGTAAATGTTTGTAGGATAAAATTCTAGAAAACTGCTCAACATTGCTAAATTGCTGTATAAATGACTGGGTCCCTTCTATATTCAATTCATCCCGATAGACTACTTGGGATCACTAAAAGAGCATCCACTAGTTAGTGTTACTAACTACAGTGTGAATTGTCAGGAATTCAAAGTATAGGTCAAAATATCCAAATTGATATTTTTTTAAAGAGGCACTATCCAAATTAACTTTAGCTTAAAGGGACACTATAGTCACCAAAACAACACGACGGAGAGGGGAGGGGGGGGTGAGAAATCTCTGTAGTTTTATTACTCAATTCTCTGCCATTTAGGAATTAAATCACTTTTGTTTCCGTTTATGCAGCCCTAGCCACACCTCCCCTGGCTGTGATTGAAATAGCCTGCATGAAAACAAAATAGTTTAATTTTCCATCCCATGCAACTAACTTTAAAAGTTTTTATCTCCTGCTTTGTAAATTGAACTTTAATTACATACAAGAGGCTCCTGCTGGGTCTAGCAAGCTATTAACAGAGCAGGAGATGAGAAAGTTAAACAGGATTTAAAATAAAGGAAGTGTTTAGGAAGGCTTTGAAAGTCACATGCAGGGAGATGTGACTAGGGTTCTATAAACAAAGTGATTTAACTCCTAAATTGCAGGGAATTGAGAAGTGAGACTACAGGGGCATGTTCTATACACCAAAACTGCTTCAGCAAGATAAAGTTGTTCTGCTGACTATAGTGTCCCTTTAATGAAGCAGTTTTGGTGTATAGATCAAGCCCCTGCAGACTCGCTGCTCAATTCTCTTGACACTTAGAGTTGCATTACTTTGTTTATGCAGCACTAGCTACTCCTCCCTGCACGTGACTTGCACAGCAGTTAGATATTATTTTCCAGGATCTGCACAACATTTCTACTGTGAATATCATGATACGGTGAGATTTAATTGCAATAATAGATGATGTCCCCCACATGTACAGGTTTTATGGTGTTTTAGGAAACACAAGTGCCGATGTGAAGGGGTTAATAAAATCCTTCTGGAGGAAAAAAACAAACAACAAAAAACAAAAAACACACACACAAAACAAAACTATATAATTAAAGTTTGTTTTCTATTTAATATGCATTGTAGTCCAAAGGTAGTTAAACACTATTCAGCATGAAATATGGATTAGTCATGTATTATGAGGCTGTATATTCATACAATATTTACCTTTTGGTAAATGGATTCCATTAATCCAAGTTAATTGAACTTGTGTCATGCACTTTTTTTACAGGAAAATATTTTAGAAAATAAAGTTCCGGAAATGACCTTAATTCCATTTTCATTCTGCAAATCTATGTATTGGAGATATTCTCCAAATATGAGTGATTCACCTCTTAAACAGGAGATAGTTCACCTTGCAATAATGACATTAAAGGATGAAAGTATTTCTAATGGTAAATGACAATATTAGTTCTGATAGAACTTTTAAAGGAACACTATAGTCACCTAAATTACTTTAGCTAAATGAAGCAGTTTTAGTGTATAGATAATTTCACTGCTCAATTCACTCTCATTTAGGCGTTAAATCACTTTGTTTCTGTTTATGCAGCCCTAGCCACAGCTCCCCTGGCTATGATTGACAAAGCCTGCATGAAAAAAAAATTGGTTTCACTTTCAAACAGATGTAATTTACCTTAAATAATTGTATCTCAATCTATAAATTGAACTTTAATCACATACAGGAGGCTTTTGCAGGTTCTAGCAAGCTATTAACATAGCAGGGGATAAAAAAAAAAAAATCTTAATTAAACAGAAGTTGCGATAGAGAAAGCCTAAATAGGGCTCTCTTTACAGGAAGTGTTTATGGAAGGCTGTGCAAGTCACATGCAGGGAGGTGTGACTAGGGTTCATAAACAAAGGGATTTAACTCCTAAATGGCAGAGGATTGAGCAGTGAGGCTGCAGGGGCATGTTCTATACACCAAAACTGCTTCATTAAGCTAAAGTTGTTCAGGTGACTATAGTGTCCCTTTAAACAAATCTGAAAAACATTAAATGCTTCAGAACAGAAAGCTCCCTATTTTGTCCCAAATCACTCTGTCCCTCTTTCATGGGCTCTGCATATTATTGGTGAGATAGAACTTCATAGCAATAAAACAGCAATGAGTCTAAACTACAATACATGTGTTTAGGTATCAATCTTTAAATAAAATACAATATTCTTGTTGTAAATTACATTTTAGTTGAATAAATTATTAGTAAGTCACTTAAAATGTCTCAGAAGGGGGTCCCTGCCCTGGCCACACCCCAGACACATAAAATTAGAGTGTCTCTCCCCCCAGATAGTTTTGGGGATTGTGATCTAGCGTTTCGAAGCCACCCTTTGCCATTCTTGTTTAAAGAATATTCGAAAACATAAGCCTCAAATCATCTGGCAAACAGTTGAATACTAAGCAGTAATTTAGCAATGCACACATGGGTAATGGTTTTAAAATAGACCAATTACTCTAGCAGGAAATCCACAATCATTTAATCACATTTAAAAACCCATGTAAATGACACGAGTGCATATTATCTAGAGTATTGTATTAAATTTAGAAATTAATAAAAAATGAATAGCATCTATATAATTTAGTACACGAAAACCACAGTTTGTAAAATAAATTAATAAAATAAGCCTGTACAGCAATTATTTTTGGATGTAGCCTCATGAGAATGCTATATGCCTCTAGTACAAGTGGCAAAGAACCACTGACTGGCAGCCAAGCTAAGCGAGCCAGGGGAACAAACTGTCCCTCGCACTCTACTAGGAGTCCGCTTCCCTCCTAGTACAACCACTCAGCTTGCCAAATTATATTCTTTTATAAGGATATACAATACTGCAACGATTTAACGTTTTCCTGACTTTGCTGTACCTCTACATTACCCTCACAGCACCTCCAATATTTCACAACTTATCACCTAGTCTTCTTCCAAAGCCAAGAGTATTGTGGGAACGTGAAAGACTTCTGTAAAATCTTTGCAGGTTCACACAGGGCACAGTTACTGCGGGAAATAGGACAAAATAGCAAGAGGTGATAGTTACTGGCATTAATCGGACTGCAGTGGACTACCCCGGCTAGTGGGACCAGTAGGACACACAGATCAAAGAACTCCACATGTTCTGTAAGATTACAGCGCTGCAGAGTTTGTTGGCGCTATATAAATAAATAATAATATTGTTGGATAACTCCTATCAGGCTCAGTCAGTCAGAATATAAGGCCAGTAAAGAGCAGTTGAAATCACACTCAATGTTAAGCCTATAGCAAGCTAGTGGAAATTTCCACTATGGAGTTACAAGCAAGCTCCCCCCACTGAGGCCAAAACGTTTCCTGCTGTGCGAAATTGTGTCATTCAAAGAATTTGCTGAATTGTTGCAACTAACTTCTGCATTTCAGTTGTTTAGCTCTGTAGTTAAAACCCATGATTAAATAAACACACGCCAAAGCATGCACAGGACCGACAACATGGACATACGTGAGGTTTGAGTGGGTGGCATGGAGGTGCAGGTGGCTGCATCCTGATGTACATAAAAGGATACAATGAATGTGTACTCACAGCTAATTAGTGTACTGAATGAACTATCAGGTTTTAAAAGGCTAATCTCAGAGATGGCTAATCTAGCACGTTAGATGCTGTGGACTATATGGTTATGATTTTAATGTATTGCCAATATCTCATATATTAAGTATTCTTGTCCTATGCAAAATCACAACAACAAAAAAAATGTAGCACATTATAACTTAAAATATAGTTTTCAACCAACATTATAACACCATCCGAATGCCCGCTTCCCGACTCCGGATCCAGTGCTGAACTTGCACTATGCTTTTATGGTCTACCAGGAGCTACCCAGCAATCTGGTGCCACGGTGTACTGTTAAGAAACTTCTTCACTCGTATTACACAGCCATCAGCCAATCACTAGAAATGAGTGATCGATAGTTCTCCCAAACACTTTTTTTCTACTGTATAAAGTGTGGAAAGTGGAACACAACTAAATAGTGCACAGACTAGAGGGGAGATTGCAGCGACATAATGGGAACTAGAGTATTGGGCAAGTACCCACCCATGGCGTCTGGATATCTGGCTATGCTGAGAAAATTGCTGAGAGGAATGGGAACCAACTCTTATTTTTATATTGGGAGGAAACCTCCCGTAACGTTCCAATAAATGTACTGGTGCATGCCAGAAGGGCCTGCCGAGAAAGGTGAACACGAAGAAAGTCACACTCAAGGATCAAAAAAAATATAAAACCCACATGAAAAGAATGAAGGAGAAAGGAGGAGGATTACATTTTAAACATTGAAAAGTTTGCGGTTTAGGTCTTAGCACCCCAAATACAATACCCTTTTGGAAACTGCACTCTTTCCACACTATAAGGGTGATACGCAGAACTATGAGATATGAACGGTTGGAAATGCAAAGTAAATTCAAATGGAATATTATTCAACCCAAGAGCTTTGCTACAAAATAAAGCGAGTCGGAAATATTTAGCGTCTTGAGCTGCGAGACCTCCAGTTTAACTGCTCAGAACAGTTTGACACAGAAGCAGAAAGAAGTGTTGGTAGCAACTCACACCGTAACCATTAAACCAGGCTGCAGGGTTTATGCAACTCAGACTGCCCCAAAACAACTCCTACATCAGATAAAAGCTATATTCATGATTTCTGCTGACAGTTCAATTTGGTTTGTTTACTCCCGAAAGCCATAAAAAAAGCTTGTGCAGAGCTAGAAGTAACCAGCAAGTAATTATTCCAGAGGAGGTTACAAATGTAACAGAATTGTGCAATAAAATGTAATACACTTATCAGCATTTTCAAAACGGATTCATCCACAATCCCCCCCAAGGACACAACAGCCCAGTTTTATGTCAAGGAAAATTATGAAAACCAAAAACAGGCATTCCTAACAGAAGGTTTTCACAACTATTTAGACCAGGGGTCCTCAAACCTCCTTTAAACAGGGGGCCAGTTCACGGTCCCTCAGACATTGTTGGGGGCCGGACTATAAAAAATATGAAATAATTCCTATGCACAAACAAGCATAAGGACATAAATACACACACACACACACACACAAACAGCTAATTTTGCTTAACTTTTTTTGCAGGTGGGTGGCTGTGGCTGATAGGAGTCGGCGTGGCTCCCGCGACCTGGCTCTTTTCCCTCCCGCACGGAGGGAGCTGGGAGGAAGTGACCACCATATCTCCTCAAAGCTGCACTGAGTCATTGAATCCCTATGGGGAACAATTTGTGTCTTCATGCAGATATGGTCATAGAATGCAATCTAAACATTACTTTTAAGAAATGGTACGGTTTGTTTTTACAAATACTGCCACTTTGCATTAAGTTGCAGTGCTCTGGTGATTAGTGTCTCTTTAATATAGCGAGTCAGCTGTAAGACTTTTATTCAGAGTATTTATTTTTGTCTATAACGCACACATTGGCATGTTTATACAGTATGCCTGTGGTATTAAAGGACACAACAAGCAACATATAACCACAGCACTCTGTAGTGATTTTGGTGCTAGGACTGCCCTGGTGCCCAAATTCAATGTCAAATCTTATAAAAACAGTTTAAAGGGACACTATAAATCACCTGAACCAATATAGCTCAATGTAGTGGTTCAGATATCTATTGCCTGTCCCTGCAGGCTCAGCAGTGTAAACACTGCCCCTTCAGAGAAGTTGTAAAAGTTTCTTAAATCCTCTAGTGCCATCCTTCCATTCAATATTAAACGAGAGTCCTAGACTAACGAGGAAGTAATAGCATGAGCAGCAAAGGGTAGATGTTATTAGCGGAATGTGTCAGCTGACCACATTCTGCCTATCACAGCACCCATTGCTGGTATGAATCGGTATGGCTTAGAGGAAGTATTTAATCTCTGCCTTAGCCATACCTCCAGGAGGAGCCGGGCTGTCAGTGACCAGTGACACGTATTTAGTGTTAAACTGCTTGAAAACGATTTAACACTGAATGGAGGAACAGTGCCACAGGTCTTAAGGCACTATAAGCAATTCAAGGAGGAGATTACATGCTTATATAGTGTCTATACTGCCCCTTTAAAAGGGAACTATGGCTATAGCTATTTACCAAATATACAGCATCAGGGTTATTTTCATACGGTAACAGCAACCACACATATTGGAACTTTTTAAATCTCCCTTTATGTGAAATAACCTCACCACATGTGTAAGCCTGAGGTTTCTAAGTTTTATATGTGCTTTGTCGATTAGGACAGGACACTCATTCCCTAAATCCTTCTTCATTTACAACTTCAACTGCTGTGTAGACTGTAGCAACCAAAATATAAAATACTTAAAAAAGTTCATCTAAGTTACTGTTAGCGTCTAAGTGGCGGTGGCAGCAAATACCAACTACAATTCATGATTGTAATACCATCCTGCATACATAAGCCACTGTTTTGCAGTTAGATGAAGATGCTTCTACAATTCCATTGCTTTCGGAAAAGGTTAATCTAAATAAAGCAAGTCAATGTGCAATAAAATGTTTAAAACCTTATGTGGAAATCTATAAAACTGCTTCTATGTGGTCAGCTCACATCAAAACCATTTAAGGCTTGCAGGTTTAGGCCATTTTAGGTCAGACTACATTGATTTAGGGATCAAATTTCTAGAATACCAAAACTTTTGGAACAGATGAGATATTGGTTGTGCAAGCACTTCTGGGGCATTTTGTGTAGTGCAAGAATGGAGAAATGCATTACTGATATTACATAGCATGGAAAGCCTTTATAAGGGCGTTAACTACTAAGAGAGCTCAGTCTATACAGAGCCCATGCAGGGCGAAGATCGATTATTTTTATTGTGTCGCGGTTTTGCATTTTTTTTCCTTTTATTTGTTGTGTCGGGGATTATGGATTTTATTTTGTCATTTTTGCGGTATAAAGAAAACAGCTAGCAGAAAGGTTTCTTATGGTAAATAGAGTTTTTTCCGGGTATAATTTTTATTGGCCCTCCTCACTATTATTAGAGTGGTAGGGTTATTTAAAGGAGCACTGCAGTGTTAGGAATACAAATATCTGTTCCCAACGCTATAGTTGTCAGGATACTAGTTGATCCAGCACGCAGAATAGTATCACACCTAGGACTAACGTCTCACTGGACCTTAGAATAATCAGACTTAACGTACCTGACAATAGTTGAAATACTAGCGGACGTCAAGAACACAGTTGCAGGGAATAGCAAATAGTCAGGGAAACCAGAATTCAGGGAAGTCAAAACAAAGCCAAAGAAACACGATCAGGAACACACTCTCGGATAACCAGCAAAGGGAAACCACGACAGAGCAATGAGTGGAAAAAATGAGCAAATTTAAATATCCCTATAGTGGAGCCGATTGGCCGTATCCGGCCATTGACCCCAAAAAGTAAGGCTGCGAGTCCTCTGTGTGCCGTTACCCACACGTCAACGTCACTATCACTGGACAGACGTGGGGCTGACGTGGGGCTATATAACAGCGTGGATTCACAGTGGCAGGTGTCCACCGGCATGTCGCAAAACCCTGGCCTTATGGCATAGGACATCCGAGCAGCACCTTTCCTATTTCTGGAAAGGTGATTATTGTTGTGCCTAGCCTAGCGTTTGGAGTGGATGTATACGTGACAATAGTGCCCTAGTCAATAATTAGGTAACCTGGCCCGCACTGCCACATATTAAAAGGGCATTTTACAGTAGATATGCCCTCCGCCTAGAATATCATTATTGTCCCCACTCACCAGTGGGTGAATGCAGGTGGAGAGCATTAGGTCCCCTCCCTAGTGTCCCAGTCCCCACTTGCTCGCATTAGGACTTCCACCAATGGAAAGCATTGGGTGACACTGGATGTCCTCATACATAGCGTGAGGATGTCCAGTGTCAGTTAGGGAACCAAAAGTCACCTAACCACCAGGTAGTCCCTCTAGTGGCTGTTTGGTAGACAACTACTAGGAGGTAGAATTAGCAATTTTCAATGCTTTCCTATGGAGAGGTCTAATGCGCACGCACGTGGCATTTCCGTGCATGCGCATTAGGTCTCCCCCGCCGGCGGCCGCGCATGCGGGGGAGGAGCGTGGGCGGACCCGAAACCATCAGCGGGGGTCTCATGTAAGGCACTGAAGGGGTTTTCACCCCTTCAGCAACATGGGATGGGTGGTGGGAGGGAGAGGGTACCTGCAGTGCCAGGAAAACGTTTGTTTTCCTGGCACTGAAGTGTCCCTTTAACCCTGCAAGGCAATTATTGCACTTTATCCAAAAGTGCAATTATTACAATTGCAGATTTAAGGGGACTGAGACACTGCACCCAGACCATTTTAAAGAACAGAAGGGATGATCATGTCCCTTTAACTAGTCAAGGTAAAGCATTGCAGTTTTTCAAAAACAGCAATGTTTACATTTAAGAAGTGGCCACTAGAGGCGCTTCCACCGCAAAGACGAGTAAAACGGTCACATCATGTTGCGGCCACCATAGGAAAGCATTGATCTATGGGGAAGCTAGTATGCACATTAGATCCCCAGTGCTCTTCATAGATTAAAGGGACACTTTAAGCACCCAGAACATTCCATTTTAATGTTTTAGTCTGGGTGCAGTGCCCCTGTCATTTTAACTCTGCAAAGTGAAACATTGTCATTTAGTAGATACAAAAATGTTTCCCATTGCAGGTTTAAACAAACATCTAGGGAATGTCTTCCTGATAGCTACTACAGGCAGCTCTGCTATAAAAACAGAGTCAAACTCTGCTCTGACAGCTAACCTCCTTAAAGGGACACTATAGGCACCCAGACTGCCTCTAGTGCCAAGACTGCTGGCGGACATTGGCAATGGAGTAGTGTGATCCTGCGCCAATATGCTGGAATCTGGTAAGTAAAAGAAAGGGCTTTTTTTTTTTAACCCCTTTTGTGGCTCTGACGAGGGAGGGGTGCAGGACCAGAGGGGACACAGCTTTGCATTGCTCAAGTGTTCCTTTAAATGCTTCAACTAGACAGCAGATGACTGGAGGAACACAGCTTTCTGTCACCAATGCTCTTCTATAATATTGGATAGGACAAAAATCTGAAGAGTTGATGTGACTTCTAGGAGACAGTCTTGATCTCTGTACGGAAGGGGACAAACAAAGGGGGTGGGGGAGTCCTCTGAATCACCAGTTTACCTTTTGCACATTTTATATACTACTGGGATCACTTCTTAATAGCATGCTTCTAGCAATCTACCAGGCGTAGTAACAGATACATAAGGATTTTGGCCATTAAAAAAAATAAAAAATGGATCTCTTCAGACTTGGTAGAATTGAAATCACGAACATGGCTTAGGTTTAACCTAAGAGCACATACAATTTCACCAGGCCAAACTGCTAGCAAATGTATAGGTTAAAAGTTATTGTACTATACATAACTTTCTACCTTCTTGGGCTTTACTGCTATGCTATTGGCGGTTAAGACTTAAAGGGGACCATAGCCACTGCTCTGAGGCCGGCCTCCCATTGACGACAGGACAGCATCCCTACCCAGTATAGGCGCCATGCTGTGTGTGGAGGAAACACATTTTGGGTAAATGTCCATATTGATATTTACACTAACAAGAAGGTTATACATAAATGTGAATACAGTCTCCATGACACGTTCACTTAAAAAAAAAAAAAAAGCAAAACCACACACAGGGGCCACTGTTTATCTATGGCTTTTCATAACTTCATTGATAAAGGAAATTGCCTAACATTTTGTCATAAAAAGAAAGAATTAAAGCCTTGTGAAAGGGCCCCAGTTAATGCAAAACACAAGCCTAAACCATCACCATAGGTAGAGCATGGAAGTATCACCCTCACAATTTAACAATTATTAAAGCCATTTATAAAGGATCAGAAAATTGCAACTGCAATTCCGGTGAATTACAACACCGATTACACAAGGCCAGCCAGAAATAAAACAATAAATGACTCAGTAAAATCCTTGAATAACTTACTTCCTATATAAACCCCAGCACTAATTTGTCATGAACACAATGCTATACTTATGTTCTGTATACATTAACAATACATTTTCACATACAGAGCTCATAAACATTTCCCACAAAAATGTGTTTGAAGCCCCATCATTTTGCAGAGTGCTGGAAAAGTGGGGTTGGTTCTAGATTAGAACGTTAGAAGCAATTCTAGAGCAGGGTTCTAAAACTGGAGCAATCACCATGGATACCAACAGAGCTTTTAGAGAGAATGAGCATTATTAGACTTTTGCCCCAGAATTATTCCTTAGAACAATAAACCCCAGATGCTCTAAAACAGTAATGACTTACTTTTGGCATTCCCAAGAGTTGGGGGCCTAATATTACCCAGGATCCCCTTAGAAGTACAGTGGGCAACAACTGGTGTGTCAGAACCCATCCAAAACTGTAGGTGGGTATTAAGGGCACTTACCTCTGTTGCTTTCTTGCTTGCAATCCCCAAGATGTTGCTCACGCTGACTATTTGAATTCTTGGCAGGCACATTGCTATTGTTACCCCTGCCATCTCTTCTGCTTGTAGCAGTGATACACATATTAACTCGCTCAGCTTCTCCAGATCTGATTGCTAAATAACTAGAACTTGCTCCAGAACCACCGCACAGACGTTCTATCTCTGGGTAAAGGACATTCACTTTGATTAGTGAAGCTTGCTTGTTTCTCATACCGGCAGCTCCTTATAAGCAGTAAAAAGCAATAAAACAAAGCTGATCTCTACCCAATGCACGCAGGAACAAAGCAGTTCTACTGTGTGACTCATTCCCTGGCTAAAATAATGTAGCAATTCACCCTCCCGTGGCAATCAGGAGACAGGACCTCTCATGAAACGTTACTGGGCTCTAATAAATGGAGGTGGTGTCTATGAAATAGCTGACTGAGGAACTAAATGGGAGAGTCAGCCTGTGGGAGGGGATAGGCAGATAAGAGGTTCCCCACCCCCCTCCCCTGTGCTGGTAGTAAGCTCTGCAGGTAATTAGCTCATGTAAGAGAGCAGGACAGCCTAATGCTCAGTCAGGAGAGATTTCGAAATCTTAAATTTTATTTTTCATTCTGTCCTACAGCCAGCAGCACTTGGCAGGCCCTAGCCAGTATATCCTGTAACCAGCAGGCTGGAGGTGATTGGAACTGCCTTAGTGACTGATGTGGTCTGTGTGTGGCAGGAAATAACACTTATTGTCATTTTAATTATAATGCATTAGCACACACACACAATGCTGGGCAGAAACTACCTTGATACATAACATTCAGAGAACTTGTTTAGTCAAGTTATACATTGCACCTTATACCAAGTTATACCTAACTGCTTTATTGCCAAGTGGGAATGAGCTGCTGAAATGTACAGCTTTTTTGTGTGTGAAGTAATATGCATGGGAATTGTTTGATGCACGTTGCTACAGACATTTTAGATCGAGAGAGAGGAATAGCAAATATCATTTTTTTTTTTTTTTTTTTCTAGGTTAGAAGCATTTTAAATTCCCTGGCTTACTAAACCTGCAATTGACAAGATTGCCAAGCCAAAATAGCAGGGGTTTAAATTAAACAGAGTTGGGGAATTTTCCAATTCAGCTATTTCAGCATAACATTTGGAGTAATTAATTCCCTTCAGTAATTAATTGATGATTTACAGTTTAGTGAATAACGGTTACTTGTGTTTGTTTCAATAGCTGTCAGTGTTGTTGACATCTATTCATGTAACAGCAACATTGTTATTAGGATAAGTAGGGAGTTGAGTATAATTGCTGTGGGAAGGGACTACACATTTTATTTCAAAATAGCAGAATTTTAGATTTTTGATATTTTTTTTTATTTTATTTTTTAGTTTGGTCTAAAATTTGCAATTCTCTATGGGGGTAATAAAAAAAATAAATTAAAAAAAAGTGTCATGATCATTTTCACACCTGTAACTATTTTATCCGGATGCACCAGTTTCTTATATATCAAACTCTTACTCCAACATTTACATAGTTCCTACATCAAAAGTGTAGCTTATCACCCTAAACGGCAGACAGATGGGGTTACGGCACACCCAGCACCTAGATACCTCCCAAGCTATAGCAATACCTCACAAACACAGAGGGAAGAGAACACCGTAGAGCGATACACTGCACCACTGAGCTCAACACCTCTAGGAACAGCTGATTGAAACATAGGCGGATTTACCCCATAGCACACATCCTAACGGAGCAGACAACTCCAACTAGCTAGACACACGCCAGGTATCATAAGACCTCTCCATAGCTATTATCAGGAGCGTATTTTTAGTACATATTGGCCACTCAACGGCTATTAGTATTACCCAGCTACAACATGTGTACTCATTGCGTGTAGTTAACTTAGCGATTGTTAGCATGTTATACTCTATAAATATTAAATGTGCAACTCCTCAGATATGCCACTGAAAGTTTTGATATTGCTCACAGTAGCTGTTGTGGCACTGCAAGCATGTATGTATCCAAATGCACAAGAAAAATAAAGAATTAAAAAAAAAAAAAAAAAAGTGTAGCTTATATAATGATTGAAAAAGTGTTAGACACGCATATCGGAAAATTATGGCACAGAAATTAGAATAAATAAACACAAATGGCATAAGTACCTAAAAGCAGTTGTGACGCATGTTTTAATTTTTTGTTGTTGTTGTGGAGATCCAGACGACAGTATCAGTAGTTGTACGAATAGGTCAGGTACATCAGTGCCAGTTGAAGAGAACAACACCTCAATAAGACATGCTGAGATGTTAGTAAATGGAAACATTAATAAGCTTGTATAAGGGCTGTATATTTATTTATTTATCAAATATTTCACCAGGAAGGATACATTGAGATTTCTCTTGTTTTCACAAACACTTGGCTCACAAACACTGCATTGTTACAATAGGGTACAATATAATATTTAAAAAAACAATAATACAAAATATACACACATATATACATACATTTACCACAAAATAAGTAAAAAATAGTCGACCATGACAAGAGCATTCTGTATCGAGGTATATTGCCATAGATCTCTTAAAAGATTTTAGATTGAATGAAGATTTGACTGTGTCCCTGAGGTTATTCCATAATTGCGGTGCTCTGTAGGAAAATGAGGATCGAGACACTTTATTTTTGTATTGCGGTATGCTAAATATCGTGCTAATACTGGATCGGAGGTTATAGGAGGTGGGGAGAGCATTCTGCTCAGGTAGGGTGGGAGCTTCCCAGAAAAGCTCTTATCCATAAGGCTGGAAAGATGAAGAGTGTGTCGTAAGGTTAATAGACAGTAGAGCATCCCATAGTCTGCTATGTTAGCATAGTAATGAAAAAAAGCATAGCTGCTCTTTATAAAGATTAATATGACATGGCTATTAGAGTCTACTAGCTGAGTAAATGACAAGGTGTCTCATAACTAGTTGCAAAATTATAAAGACTCTCTGAATCTTTCTATGGCACTTGCTGAACCAATAGACCAGGTGGTAACTAGTCTAGTTAAGCAACACGAAAAACAAATGGTGAAAAAGTAAGGGATATTAGCTAACTATCCAACTAAATCACATATGAAGTATATATTTGGCTGTGAACCAGCTTGTTGCAAGGGTTTTCAGCCATAGAGTAGCCAGCAACAGAACAGACCAGATGGAGAGAAGTGAATCCGTTTACACCCATGTGGGCGGCATAGCTCTGAAAGATCATCTTAAGGAGGAGACAGCATGGGCCCATAAGACCCTCTTGCAATTGATTCGGCGCCACTGGCCGGCCTCCAGACCCCAGGAAAATTGTTGAGGAAAGACACAGTTCCCTCAAGGCCAGACACCACAGATGTAGGCCTCCAATAATTGAAGGTAGTGTGTAGGGTATAATCCCACTGTCACTCACCCAGAGAAGTTCAGTGGCTTAGGTCCTCCCCAACTTCAGCCTAGGCCTCACTTTCCTCTCAACTGATCTTGGCTTTGGAATAGCCAGTGTGGAGGTCTCTCAATCCAGAGAGCATTTTCTTGAGTCCAGTCAAGCCCAAAGGGGCTGAACAATGTGTTAAAAGCATCCTAGAAGCCTTGCTTTGGTTTCAGAGGGGTGTTCCTCATCATGTTGTGGTTCCATGCTATTTTGAAACATGCAGAGTAAATTGATTTATTTAAAGTGGCGCTGTCACCATGTGAGGGCTTTGCAGAATTTGCAAGGACCTCCAATGGTGACATCACAGTTGAGGGTTCAGTGGCCAAGCGGGGGGCAGGTAAAGGTGAGATTTACTTACCTGAACCTGTCCAATGCTGGTGCCGCCATCTTCCTAAGGTGAGTCCTTTTCAGCTCCTGGTGCTTTCACTGCCAAGAGCCAACGTCACTGCGGTACTCTCACACAGCATTGAGGTCTATGGAGGATTCCGAGACACCGTGGGATCCTCCATATATACAGCCAACTCTCTGCAGCCTTCACTCGTGACGGCTGGGGAGATTGACACGTCTAGATGGTAGTAGCTTTGCCCAATGTCTAGAAGTGTCAAGCATTGTAAATTTACAGAGACTACCTTGTCTCAGTATATCTCTTGACTGGTGTGCATGAAACATGGACGCCACACGATGTGTATTTGTGGACCCAGCAGAAGATACCAAACAGTACTGCTGCTATATCTATATAAGTCATCAGTGATTGTGACAAACTTACTTCTCTTGGTTTCCAATCTTTATTAGTTTTCAGTAACCACATATGAAGTCGCAATACGATGGCCAGTGACTGCACCTGCACAACCTTAAAGAGGTCCTCTAAGCACCATAACAACTACAATCCAGAATACAGACAGAATTAATATTGCTAATGCGAAAGTGGAATTTCCGCATTAGCGATATGGACAGTGCTGTGCCCGGGAGACCTTTTGTTTTCCTAAATCCATTTGAAAATTGTTTGACAAATAACTGGAGGATGCTACCAGGGCACTATTGGTACAGCATACTCGTGGGGCCTTTTTCCTGTCTGTTAGGCTGTTAGCACACATTCAGAATTGATTTATTGACTTTCCACTGCCGGCTGACTTTTATTCCTGATGCCAGTCAGTAAGCTGTTACTTTAATAGATAAATACCTTGCATTGCTCTGTGGGCATGGGATACAAGCATATCGCAAGCGCGTGATATTATATTTATATACAAACAACACAAACAAGATAAAATACATAACTTGCATAACTGGTGTACACACGTCAGTGTGAGTATATCTGCAGACTCTTGCACCATGTATGAAAAAAACAAGGTTGCCAGATTTTCTTGCAATTTACTACTTTGGCATATTGTTCAGAAAAGTTCTGCCTAGCAGTGTATATAATTCATAAGTTGGATAACGTTAATTACTTGCATTGGTTTCTGTGGGATCCCCTAAACTCATTAAATAATTTCTCTCCTGTGGTATAGAAATGTTGTACAATTCTGGCGCCAGTTTCTGCTCCTCATCTCCACTACTGACGACGGAGAGCTCTCATGAGCTAAGCCCTGCAATGCTGGTCTAGCTTGCTATCTTTGAGCGTCAGTTACTCACTCTCAGACAATGAGCTTAGTCCTGCGTTGCAAAGCTTAGCTCAGACAGAGAGCTTCTAACTCTCCATTGTTAGTAGTAGAGGTGGGCAGCTGAGCCTGGTGGGCCTTAGTAAGAAGTGAAAACATTCTAAAAAGGTTTGACTATTTACAGTTGGGGGGCGCTAGGGCCCTTCTGGCACCATAACTGTAAATGTAGTGATTATGGTGCTTGAAATGTTCCTTTAAAGGGACACCATAGGCACTGTAACTATGTCATCTCATTTAGTTAGTTATAGTGCTTAGAGCCACTGTCCCTCCATTAAAATATTTTTTGAGCAGTTTAACACTGATTGAGGGTCCCTAGCTTCCATTGCTCCACCCCGTTCGAGGTTTGTCTAAATCAGTATGTAACCATACCTCCATGAGCACTGTGATAGGCTGAAAGCAGTCAACTGAGCCTCTTAGAAA